ATTCTAAAAGAATAATTTAAAAAAGATGAAAATGAGACTTAAGAAGACGTGAAAAATAGGTGCTCAATTCAACACTGACTTTCCTTAGGCCGGAGTACCCCTTTAAGCCTTTGTTAAAGAAGTTAAACCCCAAAAACTATCAAAAATCTAGATTTTGTTCAACGAAAGCTCATGGCTAACGGATTTTTGTTTTTTAGGCTTGTTGAAAAGCCAGAAGTCAGTCAAACTAGTAAACTAAATTGGAAACTAAATTGGAAACTAACTTGGCAAGTTCTTCTTATCATCTCAATCACTCTTTTCTAAGCACTCATCATTCTACACGCACTTTGGAGCATCTTGCACCCACACAAGACACAATAAACAGAAAAGAAAAGACGTAAGCACGTGTGGAGAGAGAAACATATGAAAATCTCTCAAAGAATCCCATCAAAATGAGAAGAACACAAGAGTTTTCACGGTTTTCGCGCGAAAACGTGTGCAAAACGCTTTGGTTCTCATTGGGAATGTTAAAGAGTAGAAAAAAGGCTGTGGGAAAAATTTCTGTTTAGATTTTGGTGTTCGGTGGGATTCAGGGATGTGAGAGAGGGTTCTAGGAGCTGTAGATCAAGTAAACGAGAGGCCAGGTCTATGGGTCGACTCAGGTCTATGGGTCGACTCAGGTCTATGGGTCGACTCAGGTCTATGGGTCGACTCAGGTCTATGGGTCGACTCAGGTCTATGGGTCGACTCAGGTCTATGGGTCGACTCAGGTAGGGAAAATGACTTTGGACCACGGGATTTTTAGAGGCCTAAATATGTTTGAATCTCAGAGACAATTCTGCCTTCGCAATTGCTTTATATTAAAAAGTTTTGAAGATGGTAATTTGGTCATAAATACAAAATGCAAATACGTAAGAAAAGAGTTTTTTAAAAAAGTAAGGAAGTTTGAGAGTTGGACTGGAACTTGAGGGCAAAAAATGTCACAGGTTTGGTAGTCTAGTAGACTATCCATTAGACCATCGGAGGCATTTGTCCAAGGAGCGTGTGACTGCTTTAAGAGGGCTTTAAGCGCCTTTAAGGAGCTCGAAATTCAAGGCGATTATCTATGCGAAATATCTCGCGCTTGCAAAGCGTTTTGGAAAAACTGAAAACGGATTTGGGATTCGCATGATCGATTCTATAAGATGGACTTGATCTCGAGTCAAAAGGTCAGCTTGACTCGATGCTTTTCCGTTTTGAGTTCGATCAAAGACAAAAAAAAATTTGAAATCACAGCATAAATTCAGCATAAATTTTGCATCTTTTACCAAAAAAGGCAAAAAAAAACGGGAGAAAAGTCAATGATGTTGGGGAATGCTGAAGCGAAAAGAGACGTCAAGAGCACTTCGGATTCGGTGGTTGAGGAAAGAGAAGGAAGAGTGACGGACACGCGGAAACAAACACATGACCATGACTGCACATCCAATCCCCACCATCACACCAAAAACTGATCACAACTTGCAATAGCAATAGTTTCATGATGTCAAAAGTGATTCAAGGTTTATAGTTTGATGGGAAATGCTGAGAAATGCTAAAACTAAACGAGATTTAGTGAGACTTAAATGTCTTAAATGTTTTAAATGTTTAAATGTCTTAAATGCTTAAATGAGATTTAATGTTTAAATGTTTTAAATGTTTTAAATGTTTTAAATGTTTTAAATGTTTTAAATGTTTTAAATGTTTAAATGTCTTAAATGTCTTAAATGTCTTAAATGTCTTAAATATCTTAAATGTTTTAAATGTTTAAATGTTTAAATGTTTAAATGTTTAAATGTTTAAATGTCTTAAATGTCTTAAATGTCTAAATGTCTTAAATGTTTAAATGACATTTTGTTTAAATGTTTAACGTTCAATATATATAATAATTTGATTCTTTACCCAAATTTGAATCCTTTACGCGATCTTTGCTTCAAACTTTGAGATCAAACGTTAAAGCGAGTTGAGAATTATTGAATAAAGATAGCTTACAATTTATAAAAATCAAAATCTACTGCAATTTCATATTGCTAATGCTTTTATTGTGTTGCTTTTGAAGGATTGGTTGTGTCCGTTGTTCGTTTTTGTGTTTCGAGAATGCGCAAACATATCCATGTTGTTTTGAATGGATTCGATGAGAAGGGGAAAAGAATCGAGATGATCATCGAAAGAAAAAAGGGAAAAGGGATGGATTGGAATTGTGAGTGTTGGACAATCGTCTGAGACATTGGGTCTCATTGGTCAACTATCTTATATTTGATATTGACTTAAGAAATCATACGTTTTACATGCTATACAGCGAATAAATCGCAAATTCAGGCTTTCCTTCAGCATTCAGCGAAATACTGAAAACTTTGGGCTTCTAGTTCTTTAAGAACTTCTACTCCTTGGAGAACTTCTAGTTCTTTTAAGAACTTTGAGAGCTTCTAGTTTAAGAAAATCTTTTATAAGTCAATTAAAAGCAATCAAAGTACTGTTTTTGTTATGAAAAACCGTAAAAACTAAACGATATGCTCATGTTGAAAAAAAGCAGAAAAACGAGAAAAGGAGTGCTGTAATGAAATACGAGAAAAATGGAGATTGAAAGTGGACAAAGTGTGAGTGAATGAACAACACTTGTGCAAATTTCTTAAACGAGAAAATTTTTGACATTTCCACATTAGTCTCAAAAGATTAATAAAGCAAAAATTTCACATAATATCAGTAAAATGATTTGAAAATATCTCAAGAAATCACCACGAGGCGTTCGTTCATCGTTTGTTCGTTCGTTCCTTCGTTTGTTCGTTCGTTTGTTCGTTCGTTTGTTCCTTCGTTTGTTCGTTCTTTCGTTTGTTTTCTCGTGTGTTTGTGCGCTGAACTTTTTTTGGTGATTTTTTGGTGATTCGGGACGGTTGAGGGTGGAAAAGGGGAAACACCGAATGGGGATTTGAAAGAAAAAGGGGAAAGGATCGTTTCGGGAGAATTGAAAAAAAAGGGTAGACCTGGAGAAAATCCCCTCGCACACAAACATTCAAAGAAGATCACCAAAAACAAAAAAAGATGGAGGCGAGGATTTGCTCTTTTCTTCTCCTTTCCTCGTCACCCGTTCAGATTGTCCCGTTTGTTGCAAATCGGCTCTTCTTTGCATCTTTTCTTCTCGCAAAGCCAGGCGCCACTTCGTCTTCTTTCTTTCTTTTGAACATCACAACGTGCGTAACCGTTTCTCACAAGTATTTTAAATGGGAATAAATCTATCAAAACGAATTTTGATTCAAAACGAAGCTCTTTACTACGAATTACTAGTGTACTTTCCTTTGAATTTACTAGTAGGCTAGACCTTTGTACTTGAATGAATAATAAAACCAAGTTTATTCAATATACTTAGAGCAAATCGTGTGAAAATGTTTCAACGTGGGAAAGGCGTCCTTTTATAAGCGTGACATTGTTTAGGGTACGGTATTTCTGCTCCAGTTTGTACAACGAAGCTCCAAGTTTTCATCTAGAGACAAAAGGGAAATACTTTGATGAAAATTGTGAAAATTGTGGAAGTATCTCGAATAAAAGAAAAGAAACAAAAGAACTTTCACAACTTTCAAACAACTTTCACAAGACAAAATGAGAGAAAACTCTGACTAAGTGGGAAAGGTGTCCTTTTATACGCGCGACATTGTTTAGGGTACGGTAATTCGGATGTCTTATTAGATTGCGGCAGCTTTTTTGGTGGTCGCACAATTGAAAACTTTATGAAACTTTAAAATCTGATAGCATTGTTAAATTATCATTTACTCTTTGTTTCAAAAATGTCTCAAAAATTGTTGCAAAAATGGAAAAATCTGAGATTTGAGAGTCTAAAGTGTTTGGAATGAATCTTTCAGAGTCAATTTCTATATAATTTTCGAAACCTTTTATTCTATGCTTAATAAATCAAGATTTTAAGCATGAACCTTTGAAAAGTTTACTGTAATATCTTTTATTGAATTTCCTTTTCATTTTCTGACATGGGATTGATAAAAGATTGGTTGATGAGAGGAGATTGGTGAGAGAAATTGAAAGCTCCTAGGCTAGAGTTACCCCTATTTTTCTACTTTAATTTAATACCCAAGCACAAAGAAAGAAACGTACTGGTGTCAAGATATGAGCGTTTGTTTGAGCGGAAACTTAGACGACGCGACGCTTCATTTCTATTCTATTTGAAAAGTTTACTGTAATCTATTCTATTGAATTTCCTTTTCATTTTCTGATATTGGATTGATAAGAGATTGGTTGATGAGAGGAGATTGGTGAGAGAAATAGAGCTCATTTATTCTAGTTCTAGGCTAGAGTTCATTTTCAATCTGATTCCCACTAAGTGTACAACAGAAAAAGTGTACAAAATGTGTTTGTTTCCGCGTGTCCGTCACTCTTCCTTCTTTAAACATTTAAGCATTTCCCATCAAACTATAATCACTGTTGCAATCATGAAACTATTGCTATTGCAAGTTGTGATCAGTTGTGATCAGTGGGGATTGGATGTGCAGTCATGGTCATGTGTTTTTTCCGCGTGTCCGTCACTCTTCCTTCTTTAAACATTTAAGACAACAGCAGCTCAACAGCAGCTGACAACTTCAACAGCAGCTCTTTTAAAGGTTTTTTCAAATCAAAAGATAAAACTTTGAAAAATCTACCTCTAGTGGCAAGAAATCCTAAAAAAGTAGCCATTAAAGTGATCAAATCTCGTTTTTTTCGTTGCACATCTAATCAAGATCAGCTCAAAAATGAACAGCTCGAGTCTAGGCGGTCATTTCTCAACACTACAATAAAAGTATACAGAGTATATAGAAATCCTAGCATATTTCTTCATTCTAAACTTAAATTTTTCTGAAAAGCTTTCCTTTTGTGGATAAAGATCAAAAGTTGGGGCTTTATCAAAGACTCCATCAAAACGATTCACGCTTTTTTTCTTTCCAACTCAGAAATATTTTGATAACAACTCATTTTTTTGGAAAGATTTTGATCATCTTGAAATCTTTTATTTGTAAAAATCTAAGATGAAATCATTTATATTCTTTGCTTTACTTCATTTAGCTTTTGGAGCTATTTTTAAGCATGGACTCGTGCATCACGTCTCGAAAATGCAAAAGTAAGTTAAAACTAGTCAATAAAATATTATTTTATTATCTAGGATGATCCGCGCAGGTACATGGGCCGATCATCTTGTGAAAAAACAAGCAATGAAAGCTGAAGCGCTTAAAGCGAACCCACATTTTCGGGGATCATTTCCGCAAAAAGTCAAATCCAGCTTTTCATCATTTAATTCATTTCTAGGTCTATGATTATGAAGATGAAGAATATTTGGGAAACGTGACAATCGGAAGTCCAGATCAATCGTTTAAGGTTTGTGCTGAATAGATTGGTTTAAGTTTTGAGAAAAGGTGCTTCTAGACGGATTACAGACAGGGTACGATAGCTTCTAAGCTCTAGAAAATGCTTTGAAATAATAATTACAAATTCTAGGTGATCCTCGACACAGGATCCGCTGATTTTTGGATACCCGATCGGTACTGTGACCAGGGATTCGATTGTGAGGGATGCACGAAGTGAGTTGGAAAATATTAGGCTGAGGAAAAAGTCCTGACTCAGCTGGGAAAACTTCAATGCGCCCTTTAATAATAAAAATAACAACAATTATTTCTCAAAATATTTCTCATTATCTACGACTTTCTGCCGACTTTCTGCCATTGATCTGCAAGCTTTTGAATCTGGTCAAAGTACCACTCCTTCCGTTTCGAATCAAAGAACTCTTGGCAAACTCTTCAATATCTTCAACATCTTCAACTTCTTCAAAAGACTCAAATGACCTTTTCGGAAATGCTGCAATGATTGGAAGAGAGTGTAGTCGAATGGGGCAACGTCCGGACTGTAGGCAGGGTTCGGCAAAATCTCGACTCCGTCCAGCTCTTCAAACTTGTCTTTGGTCTTTTTGGCGGTGTGAGGTTTAGCGTTGTCTTGTTGAAACAGTACTCGTTTACTCTTCAGCAATAGCGAATCAAAACTCGAAGCTCTTTTTCATGAAAACTCATCTGGAATACAAAGATGAACATTGCTATAACACTATCAGCGCAAAAAACCAGAAAAAATGCATACAAATTTGAATTTTTCGCAGATGAGTCAGAACTTTTTCCTCAACTTAATAAAATTTTGTCGACTTTGTGCTTTTCTTTTTTGTAAGCTAGCCAAAAATGTATAACTTGGGCACGTCGTTTTTTGGGTTACTGTATTCTTTGTGGGTATAAAAGTAGAATTTTTAGACAAGAATTTCATTCTGCTCATTATTGTTAACAGTTTTCGTAAACTGACTGCTACCAATAAAGCCATTCTTTTTTCTAAAAAGTGTAAAAAATTAGATTTTGTGGATTCGAAGTTGAATGAAACGAAAGTTTTTGAGTAAGAAGACAAAATGGAATCAATTTGGCCAGGCCAAGGTCAAAGCCAAAGCCAAGCCAAAGCCAAGCCAAAGCCAAGCCAAAGCCAGGACCAAAGCCAAGGCCAGGCCAAAGCCAAGGCCAGGCCAAAGCCAAGGCCAGGCCAAAGCCAAGGCCAGGCCAAAGCCAAGGCCAGGCCAAAGCCAAGCCAAAGCCAAGGCCAAGCCAAAGCCAAGCCAAAGCCAAGTCAAAGCCATAGCCTTGCTTTGGTTTTGGTCAACCAAAAAGTCAAATCAAGGCACCAATAACTTTCAGACTCAATTGGGATTGCGCTTTCGAGTGCCAAGATGGGTTTTGTTGTGAGGTGCTCACAGAGAAATGGAAGGTATTTCTGGAAAAATTAAAAGTGTCAAATTTTCATCAGAATACCGCTTGGCTTAACTATACACGACAACCGTCAGTTTTTAAAACGGCTTGTGACGGGAAAGCGCGATATGATCTCACAAAATCGTCGACCTATCAAGTAAGCGGATGTTTTGGAAAAACTCCAAAGAATTTCAGCATAACGGGAATGGCTTTGATATCTACTATGGAACTGGATCAGCCTATGGATTCTTGGGCACCGATACGGTTCGATTCGGAGCTGTTGGCACTGATCAATTGGTGGTGAGACAATGAGACAATGAGATTTTCGTAGTTTTCGTGAATCGATTGAACTAGGCTAAGGATTAGAGATAAAATGATATCTTGATAGTACCGTACTCCTTTTCTTGAGTCCAGGTCCCGAAATCGACCTTCGGAATGGCCACCCACATTGCCGATTTCTTTGCTGAAGACCCGATCGATGGAATTCTTGGACTCGCTTGGCCGTCAATATCCGTTAGTGACTCGACCCCTGTTCTCAACAATGCGATCAGCCAAAGTTTGCTAACTTAGCGATCTCTCATCTCACTTTCTAGAGCTCCTCGATCAAAACCTTTTTTCTGTTTATCTGGCGATGATTGGTTTCCAAGATGGGGTCTATGGCGGAGTGTACACATATGGAGCGATCGATACGGAAAACTGTGGGCCAATCCTCGCCTATCAGCCACTCTCATCAGCCACCTATTGGCAGTACAAAATGAGTCAAGTGAGCGAGTTTGGAATTGAAAAAGAGAAATGTTTGACCAAGTGTTTAACCAAGTGGTTGACCAGGTGGTGTTTAGAAACTAAAGGGATTTCCTGGCGATTTGTACTTGTATTTAAACGTACTTGGATTGATAAGTTGTGTGTCTTGATTAAAAAACAAAGAAATTTTATCGATACAAACAATAGTTCACTTCGGTGGAAAATGAATAAAAAGGGTCCAAAATGAAGAAAATATAGTCGAAATGAACATGGCATATGAAATAACAGAAAGGCCGCCTTATATAGGCAAAAGGTCGTTTTATATCCCCGAAAGGGCACCTTATATAGCCGAAATGTCGCTTTATATAGCCGCAAGGCCGTTTTATATCCCCGAAAGGCCGCCTTATATAGCCGAAATGAGGCCTTAGATAACAGAAAGGCCGCCTTATATAGCCGAAATGTCACCTTATATAGCCAAAAGGTCACCTTACATAGCCGAAAGGCCACTTTATATAGCCAAAATGTCGCTGCGACTACAGTAGGACAAGACAAAAGAAAAGGACACACTCTAGCAAACGATGACTCGTAAATAGGTGTTGATTGTAGATTCAACAAATTATGAGCCTCGTCTAGGTTGATGTCGGTTCATACAGTCAATCATCCGGCCGTTTCCAATGGGATGTCATCTCTGACACGGGCACTTCATTCATTGGAGCCCCGCAATCGATCAGTGACAAAATCGGGAAACAATTGGGCGCTACATGGGATAAAAAGAATCAAGTCTATGAGATCGCGTGCAATGCAACCATTCCCGATTTCGTCTTTACAATTGGTGGCAACAAATAAGCGGTCAATCAGAAGAATATGATCGTTACAGCTGGACCTGATGTCAATTTTTGTTACCTGGCGCTGTTTCCTTTTGACAATGAGGTGAAGAACGGATTTTAAAAGTGTAATCTTTGATCTCTTTTATCTTCAGATCTTCAGATCTTCAGAATGTTTCCATTTCTATAATTTCCAGGGATTTGGTCCAGATTGGATTCTCGGTGATCCTTTCATTCGCCAGTATTGTCACGTCTTCGACTATCAACAGAAAAGAATCGGTTTTTCGGCGAATATCGTTCAATGATTTGTGGCTTTTTTTCAGAAATAAACTAGTGCTTTTCTTTGTTTTCTTTGACCGAAAAACGCCTTTTGGACTCTTGGCAATTGCAATTTTGGAGAGATAAAGCGGAAAAAAAAATTTGAAAGCTGAGGGCTAATCCCTTTCACTGATAAGGGAAATCATTTGAATCGGCAATAAAAAAAAACAGAAATGCTTTTAGTTTGAGCTTTTCACTTTTCAAATGTACAGAATGTACTCACTTTTATGGCTTTTTTTTTAGAAAATTTTAACGTTTTAATATTTTTAGGATGCGGTTGCTGATCCTGCTTGGGCTGCTTGGCTTGAGCTGGGCAGCCGTCTGGAAAACTGAGCTCGTCTATCAAAAATCGAAAATGAGGAGGTAAAATTGTTGAAAAATTTGTTTAAGATAGGCTTGAGTCTGTATTTTCAGTGCTTTATTTTTTCTAAAGATTCAGAAGAACCGAAAATCCATCGCTGAGTCGTTAAGGCTCGGTCACTGAAACTCAGCTGAATGCTAGAAAACGCTAATTGTCCTTGTAGACTATTAGAAAAACGTTTAACACTTATAAATACTAAAGCTTTCTTATACTAAAGACTACTAAATACTAAAGTTCAATGTTAAATTCGATACTAAGGTCAGAACTAAAGTTCAAGACTAAAGTTCAATACTTAAGCTGACTTTTAGACTTACATTGTATCTTGTAAGTCTTTTAAACTAACAAAAATCTCTCTATTCATGACTTTCCCTTAATTTAGAATGATCGCCGAGGGAACCTGGGCCGCTCATTTGCAAAAGAAACATGCTGTCAAGGCCGAGGCGCTCAAAGCTAACCCGCATTTTCTTGGATCATATCCGCAAAAGGTTTTTGTTTTAAATTGACAGGAGCTCCGCTACGAGCTCGCAAAAGATGACCCGAAGCCCAGCGGGGGATCGAACCCCTGGACCGTCCGCTTCCGGAGAGTTCGGGACATGAAAACTCAACACTGAGCTCTGGGCGTAGTGGGGACATCCCTTTTCAAGACGCTCATAACAGCGGCAGTGATCGTGACTCTCTCTGGAGTCCCTCTGAAACCCCTGTCCCTTACAATTCTTAAATCTGCCTTGAGAATCTCGTTTAGCTTATAATTTTACAATCTAACTACAGCTATTTCATCATTTTATCCAATTCTAGGTCTACGATTATGAGGACGAGGAGTACTTGGGAAATGTGACCATCGGAACGCCTGAACAATCGTTTAAGGGAAATTTTTGGCTTTACTTGTTCAAAATTTATCAATATTTTCTTCATTTTACACAAATTTTCATATTTTAGGTGATCCTCGACACAGGATCCGCCGATTTCTGGATTCCTGACAAGATTTGCACCGATGACATGGATTGTGAAAATGTGTGACGTATGTTATTTGAAAAGCTAGCAAAAAGCAAAAAAAGGTACTTGTGGTACTTGTGGAGGTACTTGTGGAGTATCCGGGGGGGTCTTTCAATATCCGGTGGGGTAAAATTTTAAGATCCGGGGTAAACAAGATGCACGAGTAATGCAAGAACATAAACATAAAACAAACATAATAATTAAATAAATTTGTGAAGTACAACAGTGACTATTTGTAACAGTGACTATTTGTAACTGTGACTATTTATAACAGTGACAATGAATACTACTTGTAAAAATCTATCAAATTTACTTCTAGGCCAGGAGGCCAAAAACGAGCAATATCCTTGAGAATTTGCTCAAATGCGTCCGCGCCTTTGGGCAAACTAAGGCGCCAGAGTCCTTCAGCAATCCATGACTCAATCATGTGTTCGTGGGTTCCATGACTTAAATAAATTTGTGAAGTACAACAGTGACTATTTGTAACAGTGACAATGTAAAAACTACTTGTAAAAATCTATCGAATTTACTTCTAGGCCAGGAGGCCAAATATCAACACATAAAACTACCCCAAAAAAATGGTTTTGAAGAAAAAAAAAGTGACCCGCCAACTAGGATAGTATTTCTTAATAATAACATAAAAACTTTTGTAGAAGTTACGTTTTTTGATCGAGTATCACCTCGAATCACGTAATCAAGTAATCACCTCGAATAAATTGAATATCTTTACATTTGAAGGGAATTTGCCACCAATATCACTTAAGCGGCTGAATATCTTTAAAAGGGGTCGTATATAAAGTACAGGGTGCGTCATAATTATTGCAACAAGATACTCAAGGCATTGCACACCAAGAAGTTTCACTGGAAGAAGATTTTTAAACAGAAATAGCTTTATTTAACAGTAACAAATAAGGAAACAAGAGATCATTCGATATGACCGCCTTTTGCCTTGATAAAAGCCCTTAATCGGTTCGGATAAGCCTCCACTGCGGCCCGAATGTCATCTTGAGGAGTCGCCTTCCATCCTTTGGTCAAAGACTTCTTCAAAGAATCCAAACTTGTGTGTTTTCGAGAGCAGACATTAGCCTCTAAGATTGCCCAAATGGAAAAGTCCATCACATTGAGATCCGGTGAGTTTGAAGGCCATTCATCCTTGGTGATCACTGAGGGAAAGTTGGCCACACACCAGTCCTGAACCGTCTTCTTCGTGTGAGCGGGAGGCAATTAGGCAAGAATAAAGAAGATAGAACGCAACACAACAAAAAAGGGGGCAAAAAAAAATAAGAAAGCTGTTTGGAAAACGGTCTTTGAACTCTTGTTGCAATAATTATGACGCACCCTGTATATAAAATTTTATTCCACCGGATATTGAAAGACCCCCCGGATACTCCACAAGTACCAAAAAGCTCTTGTTGCAATAATTATGACGCACCCTGTATATAAAATTTTATTCCACCCCGGATACTCCACAAGTACCAAAAAGCTCATAAAATTCATCTAGAATCATTTGAAATTTAAACTGTAAACAACTTTTAATTAAATCATTTGAAAAACTAAACTTTAGACTTGGTTTTGATTGCGCTTTTGAATGCGAGGATGCTTTTTGTTGTGATTATGTCTCGCAAAAGTATAAGGCAAGTTTTTCAAATAGTTTATTGATGAAATCAGGAAGAAAATCGAGTTGTCAATGAACTGAAAAAGTTCAGAATCTAAAATGGTTGAACTACACCCGGCAACCAGAAGTCCTGAAGACGGCTTGCGATGGGAAAGCTCGCTACGATTACACGAAATCGTCGACCTTTGTGGTTCTAGAAATTCTAGAAATATCTCATTCTAAATCAAATTCTTATAGCGTGGATTTGGTGATGGTTTTGATATCTATTATGGAACTGGGTCAGCTTATGGTTTCCTCGGAGTCGACACTGTGAGATTTGGCGAAGTTGGATCCAATCAATTAGTGGTAAGCAGCTTAAAAAAAACTGGCAAACTCTGCGTTTTCTGAAGTGATCTAAAGCACATAACTTTAACTTTAATCAATTTTGAGCAACACGAAAGCTCTAGGTTCCCAAGACGACCTTTGGAATGGCGATTCATCTTGCCGATTTCTTTGCTGAGGATCCGATTGACGGAATTCTTGGCCTAGCGTTCACCTCGCTTTCCGTCAGTGGATCCACTCCGGTCTTCATCAATGCCGTCAAACAAGGTCAGTTCAACTTTCATTCAAAACGAGTTATCTAGAGTTTATCTAGAGATACAAAGCTGTACTTGTTAGCTTCATATTTTCAACATCTGAACTCTTTTGAAATGATCTACTTGCTTTCTTAAAAGTCTTTTAAATGATGATCAAATGATTTTTAAGTTAACTTGGCCAAACTCTAGTGTGCTCAGCTTTACAAAGTATAAACCAATTTATAAAGTTTGTCTGATTTGAGCCAAATACTTTGACCCAAATACTTTGGCCCAAATACTACCAAATACTTTTTTCTCAATTCTATGCGAAACAATAAACTTCAAGGACTCGTCGATGCACCTCTTTTCACTGTCTATCTCGGCATGGTCGGTTTCCAAGACGGCGTCTTTGGCGGTGTCTACACTTGGGGTGGAATCGATCAAGACAATTGTGGAGACATCTTGGCTTATGTGCCTCTGCAATCGGCTACCTATTTCCAATATCAGATGACTGATGTGAGTGTAACACAATTGAAACTTCAGAATTTTAAGAACTCGTCCCTTCTAGGTTTCCTCTGGCACTTACACATTCACCCCTCGTTTCAAATGGAGTGTCATCTCTGACACGGGCACATCGTTCATTGGCGGTCCACAGAAGCAAGTTTTTGCCATTGCGGATGAGATGGGAGCCTCGTATGACCGCAAGAATGAGGTGAATACCCAGATTCTCTAGATAGAGCTATCCAGTTAGATAGATAGAGCTATTCAGTTCTCTAGATAGAGTTATCCAGTTAGATAGATAGAGCTATCCAGTTCTCTCGATAGAGCTATCTCTAGATAGAGCTATCCATCTGCCATGTTATGGAAAATCGGTGTTGTCACTTTGGAAAATCCACAAAATGATAGCCACTATACCAGAAATGCTTTATTAACAACAAAAATGCACTAATTGAGCGACAATTTCTAATCTATTAATCAGTAGCAGCTCCATTCCGCTAAATTCGCTAAAAAACTCGATTATCCAAGCTGTGGTAAAGATTATCAATCAATTTTTGGTCAATAATGGCAGGTTTGAGCTCATCAAAGTTTCGATACGTCTTGTTCGATCGTAAATTTTGTAAACCATAAATGCCCATACGTTTTCGAGTCAGGAGGATAGGCTGGCCAGGAGAGAAGAGTGATTTTCTTGCGTTGTAACGATTCCTGTGCGACGACATCTGTGAATCGAAGCTATCCTGTATAAAAATCAAACTTTTGTTCCGATTCCTGTGCCAAAAAGAAAAAATTCCACGTTGCAAGACGACCCGATAATCCGATTTATTAATCTTCTTTGAAAAAAAAGCATAACTTCACTCCTCCTGTTGATGAAATCGCAAAAAGGCAAAATTCTACGTTCGGTAATAGCAAAAACGAATAAGATTTTGCACGAGTCTGGAAGGTAGCAAAGGGATTTTTGCTATTAGAGACAATTGCTATTAGAATTCTATAGGCATTAGTAAGAAAAACAATAGGGGAAAAAGAAAGCATCAAGCTTGGGAGATCCTTGAAAAATCACAAGTTTTCTCTTTTATAACCTTGGTCAAAGCTTTAAAAATCATGGATTCTGCAAAATTCAGAGGTGCTGTTATCATTATAATAGCAGTATATAATGGTTTAGCTGCAAGAGAATTGAATAAGTTTCATCAATCTTGCAGGTCTTTGAAATCCCGTGCAATGCCACAATTCCCGACATTGTCTTCACGATTGGCGGTAACAAATACCCGGTCACCCAGAAGAATCTCATCGTCACCGCCGGTGATGATGTTGACTTTTGTTATTTAGCCATCTTTCCATTTGGTGGTGATGTGAGTGTTTTAAAACATAAATAATCGAATTTTACTACCATAATGTTTTATAAAAACTCTCAAATACTAAAGTGAATTAATGTCTCAAATACTTGAACTAAAGTGTTCAGGATATCGACTGGATTCTCGGTGATCCATTCATCCGCGAGTACTGCCACATCTTTGACATTGGTCAAAAAAGAATCGGATTGATGACCGTAAAGAAGAAATAAGCACACAATTTCTATTGAATAAAGTATCAATCTAGAGGATGGCACAGAATTATGGAGGCATCTGAATGCTTAAGATACAGATATTAGACAAATCTCACTCGTAATGTACCAAATGTTATACATCTTTTGAAAGCTTGAAGTCTTCTTTCAATAAATATATCATTAAAATTTACTTGAGAACTTTTTCTTTTTTGTGTTCATTTGGTTTATGCTCGCTCCGACACTGCCTATGGATCGCTGCTGTTTTTAGTGAATTTCAAGTAAATTTTTGATTAAGTCCAAAGAAGGAATCAAGTTTTTTATGGAAATTCACTAAATCTTTTAGAAACGGAATACATATTCAGAATCAGCATAAAATTCTGCGTCAAATGGTATAGGTGGCATAGTATTCGGCCGACTCAGCCCAGCCCAGCTCAGCCAGCCTCAGCTCAGCCAGCCTCAGCTCAGCCAGCCTCAGCTCAGTCAGCCTCAGCTCAGCTCAGCTCAGCCAGCCTCAGCTCAGCCAGCTTAGCTCAGCCAGCTTAGCTCAGCCTTTCCTTGTACTCAAGGGAACTCAACCTAATACTTATTGACAAACAATATTCAATCAAAGAGTATTACGGTAAGTTATGTAGAATTATGTAGAATTATGGAGGCATCTGAATGCTTCATCTGCAGACACTAGACAAATCTCACTCGTAATGTACCAAATGTTATACATCTTTTGAAAGCTTGAAGTCTTCTTTAAATAAATATATCAATAAAATTTACTTGAGAACTTTTTCTTTTTGTGTTCATTTGGTTTATGCTCGCCCACTTCCGACACTGCCTAGGGCCGCTGCTGCTTTTGGCTTAGTGCTTAAATAAAATTTATAGGTTTTTGAAATTGGGTTTCTAATCTTTGGTCTCGTTGTAGTTGAATGTAAATTTTATGAATTTCAACAATGATTGTTGCTGATCCTTCAAAAAAAACAATTTTGCGGGTTTTATCGAAGAGTATTTTTCGCAATGCTAAAATTGCAAAAATAGCCGATTTCAGGAATCTTATATTTGAAAAAATAACGCTCAGAATTTGAAATTTTTATGTTTTTTCATAGTTTCTAAAAGATTTAGCAAATTTCATTAAAAAACTTGATTCCTTTTTTGGAATTAAACAAAAATTTACTTGAAATTCACTAAAAACAGCCCTAAGCTACAGGGTGCGGCATAAGTATGGTTACAAGGTTGTAACATTGATTTAAGGAACTGATTGGTTTTATTTCTTACCAAAGGACTATTTTCTCTTAATTTGAATGCTTTTTTATATTATGTAGCAGTTTTTAAGTAAATTTTTAAGTTTGGACATAATGGTGAAGACTTCTCCCAACCGTGCCGCTATTCTTCAGCTTGGAGCACAAGGACGATCAACTTCGGATATTGCCAAACTGCTGAAAATGCATCGAATGACGGTATACCGCATTTTGCAACAAAATAGAGTCGAAGAGCTTCCTAAAAGTGGACGTCCGCCAAAAATTGATCACACGAGACTCAAGAAAATCATTAAGAAACGAATCAAGCGCAATCCTGCCCGGAGCATGAGAAAAATGGCTCCCCAATTGAATGTTTCTGAAAGAACTATCCGTCGTATCGTCAAAAAGGATCTGGGTCTTCATCCTTACAAGTTAAGGAAGCATAATGGCCTGACGGATCTTCAAATGAAAAACAGGAAGCAAAAATGTGCTCTTCTTCTTGCCAGGGCCGCAAATGATGAGCATCTGACGACGCTTTTTACCGACGAGAAATTATTCAACATTGAGCAAGTTTTCAACTCTCAAAATGATCGAATTTTGGCTCACAGCCCTCAAGAAGCAAATAAAAGTGGCCGATTTGTAGACAGGAACTCACATCCAGCAGGAGTCATGGTTTTTGCAGGGGCGTCAGCAACTGGTCGCATACCGTTGATTTTCGTTGATAAAGGGCTGAAAATTAACACAGACGTGTATCTGAACGTCCTCACAAAACATGTACAGCCGTGGAGTCAAGGACATTATCAAAATCAGCGCTGGACATTGATGCAAGACGGCGCCCCAGCGCACAAAGCAAAAAAGACTCAAGAGTGGTGCCGAAACAATTTGCCCGACTTCATTCCCGCCAATGAATGGCCAGCTAATTCGCCCGACCTCAATGTTATGGATTTCTGTGTTTGGGCAATTTTGGAGCAAAAAGCATGCACAACAAAACATGCAAACGTTGAAAGTCTGAAAAAGGCTCTGAAGAAAGCCTGAGCGGAAATTCCACAAAGTACCCTGCGGGCCGCCGTGGAAAGTTATCCAAAGCGTCTTAAAGCCGTTATCAAGAATAAAGGTGCCCATATTGAATAATTTGTTATTTTTTAAATGAATATGATTACTGTTGTTAATTTTAAATAAAGTTTACATGAATCCGTTCATATTTCATTACGATACACGGTTCTGAGTCTGTAACCATACTTATGCCGCACCCTGTATATAGGAGCGAGCATAAACCAATGAACGCAAAAAGAAAAAGTTCTCAAGTAAATTTTATTGATATGAGCTGGGCTGGCTGAGCTGAGGCTGGCTGAGCTGAGGCTAGCTGAGCTGAGGCTGGCTGAGCTGAGGCTAGCTGAGCTGAGGCTGGCTGAGCTGAGGCTGGCTGAGCTGAGGCTGGCTGAGCTGAGGCTGGCTGAGCTGGCCGAATACTATGCCACCTATATCATTTGACGCAGAATTTTATGCTGATTCCGAATCTGTATTCCGTTTTTGCGAAATGACAATCTGCTAGGAGTTATAAGCGTCCAAAGTTTTGTTAGGACTCTAAAAGTGTGGCCATTTGGGTCTTAGCGGCCTCCTTGCGAGGCCGATTCTATGCAGCGGTGGTACGGCGTTTGTTTCCGAAGCGAGCCCTTGCAAGTTCGATCCCTGCCTTGGATTTTCCTTTTGCTTTTTTTGAGAGAAAACTTTGAAGAGCTGTAAGTTTTTTTCTTTTTATCTAATCTTTCTAATTTAAAAAATCTAACATAATTATCAATGATTCTGCGTTGAATGATACCAAATACTTGATGGTTTGACGCGTCTAAACTCACTCATACATAATCGGCAACGACATATCGTATCTGTATTTGAGGCATTCAGATGCCTCCATAATTCTGTGCCAGCTCTGCCAGCTGATCCCTATTTTGGCCATGAAATGCACAATCAAATAAGAATATTAATTGATAAAATCAAATAAAGAAAGCAAAATTTTGGACTCAAAACATTTCAATCAGTGCATTTTCAAGAAAACAACGAAATCAATAAAAGCAGAATCAAAAATTCTCTCAATTCAGCGTTCGGCGAATAAATATATTTGAAAAAGGTGATGTTTGCCTTTTTTTAAACGTGATTTCCGCAAAAATCTTTTTGCTTTCCTTGTTTTGGAGCTAAAAGTACACTTTTTTTGAGAAAACAACACCCCGATTCCATGAAATTTCTCAATTCCTCTTTCGTGGTAGGATTTTATCGTATTTATTCCAATTGAAGAGCCCCCTTTAGACGAAGTTTTTCATTTTTTTCGCCTTTTTCAACTCTCGGATAGTAAAATGCTCAACTTTTTAAAGACTTTCAAAGGCTTTAAATAATAGTTATAGACTTAAAAAAGGTTAATAACGTCAAAAACCGGATGACAATCCAACAAAAACACCTATTTTTGAGCTCTTGAAAATTTGGGTATATTGTATTGGGTTGGTGAATTGAAAACTGAGGGACTTTGAACTGAAATTTATTCAACATAAAACCATGAATTCATTCCAAATAATTTCCATTATTATTGACGACTTCTACCCATTTTACAGACAATTAGCGGATTCCTCTTTTGTAGTAGGATTTTGGTTTGTGTGTGAGACAAGTGTGAGACTCAAAAATGGAGAACTGGAGATGTCCCTGGAGGACGTTTGAGCACTTTCTTCAAAAGAAACCCATTTTGGTGTCAATAGAAAAGTTGTAGAGAATCAAAAATGAAGCTTATAGCCAAATTTCCAAAATGATACGCTAAGTAGTTTCGCTTAAAATGCAAGTTTTGTGAAAATTCGTAAATTTGGCATTTCTTGAAAACCAGTTTTTGAATCGTTCTGAAAATTTGGATATAAGCTTCGCTTTTGATTCTCTACAACTTTTCCATTGACACCAAAATGGGTTTCTTTTGAAGAAAGTGCTCAAACTGACAGATGACAATAGCCGGCAGTTTTCAATTCACCAACCCAATAGTTTCCAAAATCAGAAATTTATTCAATTTGATCCCATTTCCAAGCTATTTCCATCGCAAAATCCCCTGTTTAACCAGCTGTTTGTGACGAAAACAATGAATAACTCTCCAGATTAGTCACTCCATCTATTTACAGTGTTCTTTTCATGAAATCGGCACCAAAAAACGGTCAAAACCATCACCATCTCTTTTTCTCTATTCTCTTTTCCCTTTTTTCTCTTTTTTCTCTTTTTTATTCACAGCTTGCCCCCTTTTTGCCCTTTTGCTGTTCGAGAATTAGCTAAAAAAGGGGAAAAGAGGAGAGCCAAGGTCTCGTAAACAACCACAATCCTTCCTCACATTTCACCATCGTTTTTCGTTTTGTTTTTTTTTACTTTTAATACTTTTTTGTATATTTGATTAGCTTTATCATCTTAGCAAGTTGTAATTTTCATTTTTTTCTATTTAGCATTCTTTTTTAGACTTTATTAATCTTTGTTCAAAGAGTCGCAGCCTTCTTATTAAACTTCAGAAAGTCTTTCCTTTTCTTTCCATAATTTCTTTGAAAAATAACAAATTCACCAATTAACCTATGGTTTAATTCAAATATTTTGTTTTTTTTATGTTTGTTCTTTTTGGTCAATGTATTTTTCTATAAATCGCTTATTAGGCTCTCCAAGAAGTGTTTATGGCTCAATTTCCATCTTTTAAAGTCAATTTTTGGCAAACTTTCAAGTAAATTCATGAGGTAAAACACGTGCTTTTCGTAAAAAACTATAAAAACCTTTACGACGAAATTGGCTGAATAAATTTCTCTGAAAATTTCGCTATATAAAAACACTTTATACTCTGTCTTTTATCTATTGACACGAAGATAGATTTCCTTAGCTAAAGTAGCTAAAGTATTCGAGCATCATCGAGCCGTCGCTCTTTTTGACTATCCCGACTTCACGCTTTCAAACAAATCCAGATATAAGACATTTTAAACTTTGTTTTAATGTTATTTTAAAGAAAAATAATTGGTTTTTCTAATGAAACAAATCGTAATTCAATTAATGCATTTGTTGGTTTTAAACGAAAGTACGAAAAGGAAAGAAAAGATTTTCTAGAGTGCTTAATATTTGGCCCACTTTTAATTCATTTTATTGTTTTGCTAAAACGGATATTGTAAGATTTAAGATTTAATATTAAATTTAAATCTACATTTCTTAGTTATTTTTAGGCATTCACGTATTGAGGAATGGAGAAGGAAAAGGGAAAGGGGGTAGGCAGTAGACATGGTCTTGGATTCAAGTTGAATCGGATTGAATCGACTCGAATGGATTCGTTTGCTGAATCTATCGAAGCAAATCGGATCCAATTGACAGATCAATCGGATCGAATTGGATCTTATTCAATTCGATTCTATTTGATTTGATTCAATTTGATTCGATTCAATTCGATTTGATCCGATTCAATTCAATTTGATTTGATTCTATTTGATTCGATTCGATTTGATTTGATTCAATTTGATTTGATTCAATTTGTTTCGATTTGATTCGATTTGATTTGATTCGATTCAATTCGATTTGATTCGATTCGATTCGATTTGCTTCGATTCGATTTGATTCGATTCAATTCGATTTGATTCGATTTGATTCGATTCGATTTGATTTGATTCAATTTGATTCGATTCGATTCAATTCAGTTGGATTCAATTCGATTCAATTCAATTCAATTCAATTCGATCCGATTCAATTCAATTTGATTCAATTTGATTCAATTCGATCCGATCCGATGTCTAGTGGATCCTAAAGACTGGAGTTAGATCCTAAACAACCACAATCCATCTCTCACACATTGCTATCAATACTTTATTCTTTACATTAAAAAAAAGTAAAAACGGAACATGTTTAATTGACAAAATGACAAACAGTAAACTTATTGAAGACAAGAAGAGAAAACTTGGATACTGCGATTGAAGAATAAATGAATTCTATTCAAATCAAATTCAACTTGTTAAACGATTGAATGAATGAACTCTTCCTTTTGTTCCATGATGCTCGCCTTTAGTTGAACATTTTGTTCTTAACGATGTTCTTAACGATTTCCTTAACGTTTTGAATCGTTTACAGAATTAGATGGACGCTTATATCACCTATCGCTATGGAGAGTTGAACAATTTCACACATCCATCCGAATTATCCGGGATTTCAGGCAGAGGTTAGCTTTAATTGGAAAGCAAAATCTAGAAATCATTAGCCTCATTTTAAACATTTCTCCTTTCCTCTTAAACAGACTTATTTCAGGATGGTACATTGCCGGAGCTTTATTCTCTTATCTTTTGTGCATCTATTTATTTATCGTCTCATACACGATGCGTAGCTATATCAAGCACTCAGGTAACTCAAAAGACTCAAAAGCTATTCAAGATAGGGAAATTTTAAAGCAAAATACTTTAGAATTAATCTAAAATGGTTAGTTTAATAGGGTTTTTGATAATTTCGAGCTTTCATCGCCTTTCATCGCCAGCTTTCAGCTTTCATCTCCGCCGTTCTCTTTCTTCCAATGATCAACGTGTTCATTTTGGTCATTTCCGAATTCTCCGAATCGATGTAAGAAAGAGAAATCTTTTTTTAAAGCCACCTCTCAGATTATTCCTCAAATTGTACCATGTGATCGTGACAGCTGAATTCTTAACTTATGCTCTTTGCTCTCAAATATTAATCACATCATTGTTTTCCGTGTTTTTTCAAGATTCGCCTGCGAATTGCACGTAAGTTAAACGTCAAAATTGAATGCTAAATGGAAATTTTGAATATTTAAACATACTCGCGTCTAAACAAAGCTAGTTAAGGCAAATCAAAGCTAGCTAAAGTTCAGCTTATCAACTGTTTTCTGATTCTATTCATTCACTCACAAAACCAAGTGAAATTTCAGATTTGTCTATATGATTCTACCAATTTCTTCTCTTTGTCTATCATTTGGGCTCTACTTTGTGAAACATTTTCTTACTCTGCGAATCCTGACAATCGTTGTTTCAGCACTTCCCCTTGCCTGCACTCTAATGACTTTCGTTCTTTCACTTGTGGTGAGCTTTTCAACATTGTTTAGCAGTTCTCCTGGCAACTCGAAGCATCACTAGTCTTGGACCAAAATCTCTGTTACATAATAAAGTAAGGAATGGCAAAGAAAGATTTCCGAAGAGGGAATTGAACTCTCCTTTCTTGCTTTCCAGCCAAATGCTTTAACCATTGAGCTATCCGTTATCCTGTTACCGGAGAAGAAAGAGGAAAATAAAAGGAAGAAGAGAAAGCAAGAAGAGAAAGCAAGAAAGAGAAAGAAATACTCTTCAAAACCTACACAACTTCACAACACTTGAAGATAAAGTCTAAATTTATATAACTTGTAGAACTGAGCTTTTCTTGGTTTAACAACTTGTTTTTTAAGAGTATTACGAACAGATCAATCTGTTGGTAATACAAATCTGTTGGTAATACCAATCTGCTGGTAATACCAATCTGCCGGTAATACCAATCTATTGGTAATACCAATCTGCTAATAATACCAATCTGCTGGTAATACAAATCTGTTGGTAATACCAATCTGCTGATAATACCAATCTGCTGGTAATACCAATCTTTTGCTAATACCAATATCAATCTGATCAATCGATCAATCAATCAACCGTGTTTTCAGCTGATTTTCTTAGCCGCAATGGGAAGACACCGAGACGAGATTTTAACGCCAGCTGTTCTCATTTTCTTCTCAATCTTTATCACTTTCTATGCAAATTGTAAGTTTAGAGTTGGCCTTTTCTATCATAATGTTAGCGAAAATGGCTGCAAAGCTCAGTTTGAACTCTGTGAAAGGAAAAGTTTTGTCGAATTCTAGGGGTGAACTTTGTCTCAACGATTCACTCGCTATTCGGTCCATACTCCGATGATCAGATCAAATTCTTTGTGATGGATCATCCAAAAACCCCACTTTTAGCAGGTTTGTAGCAAGTTTTGATAAGGAAGTTGATAAGGAAGTTAATAAGGAAGTTAATAAGGAAGTTGATAAGGAAGTTTGAGGAAGTTTGCTACAAGCATACATTATCCCTTTCATCATTCAGAAATCCTGCATCCCCTTCTCCCAGCCGTTCTCTCCATCTTCCTCTTCATCGCCTTCGATCAATTCCGTCATCCGCTTCGTTTCGGTGGCGGTGTGGTGATTGGCGCTTTTCACAGCCAACTCTTGGTACTCTTTTCATCAAAGGTAGATTAGAATTAGAATATTTCTAGTAGACTTTCTAGTAGACTTTCTTCCTTTTTTTGTCTCCAATTTCAGGTTTTTCCTGTTTTTCTCAGCACCAATCCTTCAATTTTGAGTATTTTGATTAGCATTCGATACAGAATAAAATTGCCCGTCGAATGATATCAAAATTAACTCAAAATATATATGTCGTAGCCGCTAACGAAATTCAGCCGCTAACGAATGAGGGTATTTCCGGGCATCCAATCAAAAAGTCACCCACTTAAAAAATGTTCATAATACATATATTTTATAATAAATTTTTGAAATTAGCTCATTTGGTTCAGTAGAAAAAATTTTTTGAGTCCCCAAAGTTTAGGTTCAAAAATGCCCTGAAATAGCTATAAAAAATTTTCTACTGAGCCAAAAAACTTGCCTAATAGCTTATTTTGTAGCCAATTTGATGTAGTTTCTCAAGGTAAAGCTACATTAAACATTTGTTTTTCAAAGCTAGGAGAAAGAGGGCGAGGAACGACTTCAGTTGAACTCGGTCGCTGTTTTCACATTTGAGAATTGCCCTGAATTTGTTCCTCGCCCTCTTTCTCCTACTTTCAATGAAAAATTGTTTTAGATGGCTTTACTTTAAGAATCTACATCAAATTGGCTACAAAATGAGCTATTAGGCAAGTTTTTTGGCTCAGTAGAAAATCTTTTATAGCCATTTTAGGGCATTTTTAAACCTAAGATTTGGGGGCTCAAAAAAATTTTTCTACTGAACCAAATGAGCTAATTTCAAAAATTTATTATAAAATATATGTATTATGAACATTTTTTATGTGGGTGACTTTTTGATTGGATGCCCGGAAATACCCTCATTCGTTAGCGGCTGAATTTCGTTAGCGGCTACGACATATATATATATCCATGCAAAGTTGTTGGCTAAAAACTTTTGTCTAAACCATTTGCTTCATAACTTTGCATAGATATTATATTTTGAGCTAATTTTCGTATCATTCGACGGGCAATTTTATTCTGTATCGAATGCTAGTAAAAATACTCAAAATTAAAGGATCCGTGCTGAGAAAAACAGAAAAAACTTTAAATTGCAGAAAAAAAAGGAAGGCAGATGTTTTCGTTAGAAGTTTACTTTCGTTCGTTCGTTCATTACAGCTTTTGGGTGCTTGGGTGGAGTTCGTTTTGATCTATATTTTTGTTTTTTCTTGATTTTGAATCCTTATTCTTTCAGATTTGGCGAGCTCGAGGCGGTTCGACGACAGAAATCGAACGGTTGGAACCCGAAGTTCCACCTGCAGAGATTCTATCCGTTTAAATTTAGAGATTCTTATCTTAAGATATCTTAAGATAAGAATCTCTAAATCCTTATCATTCTCGTTCTTTTGGAAATAAATTATATCTATTTTTAAAATTTTACATCAATTTCTCGATAAAGCTAAAGAAAAAAATCAGCATGAGAATTGGCGCATGGGAGAAGAAAAGAAAAAAGACAATAGATTTGTCAGAATAGGAAGACAGATGTTTTCGTTAGAAGTTTAATTTTAGTACAGCTTTTGCGCACAGAAAAGACGATAGATTTGTCTGGATTTTTCGCGCGAATTTTCTCGAGAAATCTATTGTTCGGTTTACAAATTTCTAATGAAAAATCTCTAAATCTACATATAAATAAAGAAAGGCAAGGAGGAAAGGAAAAAAATTTCAACTATTCCAGCGTTCAATTGGTGATTCAAGGCAAAACCTACACAATTCACCCGCAAAACTATTGGGTTGATGCATAATTATCCGGACTTCTTTTTGCGTGCTTGTATCTTTTTTGTTTTGAAAGCTTATCATGCTCTACCACTTCGAAAAGGGATGGTCTGCCGCAGAGTCGTTTCGCGATCTCAAAGAACTGGAGAAACCCCAACGGACTACCACGTCAATCGATCGCTCAAAAATTGGCAAACAAATAAGATCTACAACGATTTGGATGACTTGATAGACGATGTTAAAGCGTGGATTGCCTCCAAAGATCGTTTATTCTTCGCTCGTGGAATCGATCATCTTCCAAGCAAATGGCAATCAGTTATTGATGTAGGCGGTGAATATGCTCCAGAATAATCAATTAAACATATTTTTCTAACTATTTATGTTATTTTTTGTTAAATAAAATCATTTATAAAAGAAGTCCGGATAATTATGCATCAACCCAATATTTATGTTATTTTTTGTTAAATAAAATCATTTATAAAAGAAGTCCGGATAATTATGCATCAACCCAATATCTGATCGATCAGCAGAATGGGTAAACTGTTCAATTCAATTCAATTCAATTCAATTCAATTCAATTCAATTCAATCGGAAACTGTTCAATTGGAATTTTTAAAATTTTAGCGAATGCTTGGTGGCTTTTATGTCGTGGAGCTTCTGGAATTTTGGTAAAAAAGAAGGGTCAAATCCATCGATCCCTTGTCTTTTAGGTGATCCATGGATCCGGCAGTATTGCCAAATCTTTGACTATCAAAAGCTTCGCATCGGACTAGCTCCAGCAATTTGGTGGTAGTTGATTGGATTGAATGTTTTAATAAAAACAGAAACTTCTGTGTTCTCACACCGTATAGCTTTACTGATTGGATTGAGTTTAACTTCTGATTACAGACAACAAAGATTGGATAATTGATGGAATTTCTTTAAAAAATGATACAGTGAGGCATTTGCCAATATTACCATATTTTCTCTAGTAGTAGTGCACCCGGCCGAGCCGAGTTGGTGACTATTTTACGGTTTCCAAGCTTTTGCAGAAGCTCAACACTCTAATCCCCATCTCATCGTCAGCTACATTTTCCGATCCCACATCGATAGGTTCTGATCAGCGGTTTTCGAGATTTCGAGGAATTTCGGCGAAGCTTTGGGTGCACTACTATTAGAGAGAAGACGGTATATTATTTCAGGTTAGGCTAGTAGATCAGACTGATCGAACTATAATATTGGTGCAATAGATTAGAATCTTAGATAGTAAACGGTATTAATTTCTTATAGCTTATTCAATAAACCGGTTCACAGCCATCCCCAAACGAGATCCATTGTTGGCGTTGTGATGGAAGCCTCCCCACCGTGCTCCAACAGCCAGCATCGTGTCCAATATAGTACAAGTACACCTAGATGCTTCTGATTCTGATAGAGATTCTGATAAGCGGTTCTCGAGTTTTCGAGCAATTTAGACAAAGCTCAAGGTGCACTACTATTAGAGAAAATACGTTATTAGCCTATTGCAGCCTTTTAATGTCTCGTTTTTTTGCTTAAATTTTTAAAATTTGATTTTCTCTTCTTTTCTTCTCTTCTCTTTCTCAATAAACGTTCTTTCAATTTTCAATTCATTTTCATTGATTCCTGCTTCACTTTTGAGCTTAAACATCAAAAAGTTTTAAACCAAAGTATGCTTGAATCATTGATCGATCTTTCTAATTGATTGTTGTGAAGCGAAAAGAACATCAAAAAGCTGCAATAGGCTAATATCGTATTCTCTCTGATAGTAATGCACCCGGCCGAGCCGAGTTGGTGACTATTTTACCGTTTCCAAGCTTTCGCAGAAGCTCAACACTCAAATCCCCCACAAGATCTCATCGATCTTTCTAATTGATTGTTGTGAAGCGAAAAGAACAACAAAAAGCTGCAATAGGCTAATACCGTATTCGTAAAAAAAAGAACAGTCAGATTTTTGCACCTGATCTTGAAAAAAAACCGGTTCATTCCAAAGAATACAAAATGATAAGAGAATCTTGTGATTGGGATTTGATTGGGATTTTTAATCAAGCCAAGAAATCAAAGTATCAAAAAACATTCAACAAAACAAACATTAAATGAAAAAAAGTTAAATGTTTAAAGTCTAGGCACATTATTGGATATTTAACAATTTCCCAAAGAAGGAAAAGACAGACATATTCAAGTTAGAAGACAGGAAAAGCTTGACTTCTGACGAGCTCAGCTTCACAAGTCTGCTTGTCTTTTCTTCTTATAGAAGCTCTGTCTCAGCTTGGCTTCTGTCGAGCTCAGCTTCTCAAATGTCTGCTTGTCTTTTTCTTATAGAAGCTCTGTTTCAGCTTGGCTTCTGACGAGCTCAGCTTCACAAGTCTGTTTGTCTTTTTTCTTATAGAAGCTTTGTCTCAGCTTGGCTTCTGTCGAGCTCAACTTCTCAAGTCTGCTTGTCTTTTTTCTTATAAAAGCTCTGTCTATATGTCTGTCTATATAAAACTTGACTCTTAGACTAGAGTTTCGCCTATTCTTTTGCAAACAACACGTTTTTTGCCCTAGTGTTGATGCAATGAGCAATACAAAAAGGCCATCAGTTTCCCCATTTCACGAGTTGACGTCAAGTTCATCAAATTCAGATAAAGATAAAAGTTTTCCAAAATTTTTTCTTTAGATCCGCTTTTCCTTTATTTTTATGTCTCTATACCGATTTTTCAGCAAAAAAATCGTCCAGAAAGCCACCAATAAAAATTATCAGTAATTTGAGCGCTTTTCGAGACGTGTTTTACGGGCGATCGGATTGGCCTCGGTATAAAGCGCAAAATCAAGCTGCAGATAAGGGGAAAGAGGTTTTTTTCTGATTTTTTTGATTCTTTATTACATTAGTGTTTCTTTGTAGGTTTTTAGCTCAAATAGAAACAGTACAAGTCTTGTTTTGGTTTGATTTTGCCTTGAATTTTGTTTCTTTCATCTTCTAACTTCACTTGAACACTTCTATACCGTACCGTACTCTTTACGAAAGCTACCGTACTCTGCTCTAAAAGCTACCGTACTCTCTAAAAGCTACCGTACTCTTCTCTAAAAGCTACCGTACTCTCTTCTAGAAGCTACCGTACTCTTCTCTAAAAGCTACCGTACTCTTCTCTAGCAGCTACCGTACGCTTCTCTAAAAGCTACCGTACTCTTCTCTAAAAGCTATCTATTCTTTCATCCTTATGACTGATCCCTTTACACTTATGACAACAGGAAAGCAGTCATCTATGCTATCTGATTTGAAATCTGACATGTATCTAAACTTATCTTTAAACTATTCACTTCCTACTTCTAGATATCTTTTGAATAATTCTATTTCCCTTTTCAGGTATGAGAGCCTTGACCTTGTTGGCCCTTGTGGGCTGTGCTGCGGCCGCCGTCTATCAGCATCCACTCATGTGGCAAGAGGCTAAAATGTTCAAAATGATGAGGTAACTGGAGAAAGAAGATCTAAACAATAAGATCTAAAAAATAAGATCTACAACTATATTAAGATCTAAAGACTCTTGAAAACATCCAAGCTATCGTCAGAGCTTAAAATTTGAACTCAAACTGACTCAAGCTAAACGTTAAGATCAAGGTGACATTAAAATCTTTATAACTTTCTAGCTATTCTTTGTCATGCTAAATCTTGGTTTTATATCAATTCTTATCTTTTATTTCTTTTTCTAGAACCGGCGAATGGTCCACCTATCGCCAGTACAAGGACTCACTCCGTGTTTCGCGTGGAGCCGTTCGTGCCAATCTTCCACAAACGGTAGCTTCTTTTATAGCAACTGAAGCTGATAATAAGGATTATTTGTTGTTGATAACTCTCGAATTCCACTAAATCTGAATACATTTAAAAGCTTTCCAGGTTTTGGACTATGATGACTTTGAGTACGTTGGAAATGTGACCGCCGGAACGCCACCACAGCAATTCGTCGTCGTGCTCGACACCGGATCAGCAAACTTCTGGATCCCGGCCACGAACTGCGAGTGAGTTCTCAATTTTTAAAGCAATGATATCTGCTGCTATTCGTTTTTCCAGAAAAAAAAACTGGATTCAATAGTAGAAGACTGAAAATCTCCATTTCGCACAATCTCAAATGCACAATTTCAGCAACTCGTGCCGTGGAAAATCGAAATATGACTCGAGCAAGTCGTCCACATACAAAGCCAACGGACAATCCTGGTCCATTCAATATGGATCGGGTGACGCTCGCGGAACCCTCGTCCAAGACACAATGACTTTCGGAGGAATCGGTAAGTGCCTCCTTTACTTTAATAAGCTTGAAATTTGAAAACATTTTACTAAACTAAACCAAACTAAGAGCTATGAAGGAAAACAAAAACTTTAGGCGAAAACCAATTGCAAATCCCGAACACCGTCATTGGACAGGCTACCCATATCTCGGCCGATTTTTCTCAAGATCCAACCGACGGTATTCTCGGATTGGCTTTCCAATCGTTGGCTGTTGACAACGTTGTGCCACCACTCCAAAACGCTTGGTCTCAAGGTTTGGAGTTAAAGTTTTGAATATAAACAAAGACAAAATAAAAGCTCGGCTCTTTAAGGTTTAAGGGACTTTTAAAGCATCTTTTTAATCATCTTTTGTCTTTTAAGTCGAGCTTTATATGTTTAGAACTTACTACAAAGAAATAGATTCGTTTACTTTTATTAGATTTTAAAAGAACACATTCTAGACTTTCAAATGAGTTTAAATCGAGCGAAATTGTCTTGAGAATCTAAAACTTTTGCTTGACTTATCTTTCAAAAGTCCCCAAGCTACCCAAGAGCTGAAGCTTCTATTAGAATGTTTATGATAACTCCTTTATCTATCTATCTATCTATCTATCTAGGAATCCTCGACCAACCCCTTTTCACTGTCTACTTGATGCACCGTGGCGCCATGGAGGGAATCAAAGGCGGAGTGTTCACCTATGGAGCCATCGACATGACCAACTGTGATTCAACTCAGCAGAACTTCGTCCAACTCACCTCGCCAACTTATTGGCAATTCCGAGTAAGAGGACAACTCGTTTTTTAACCAAATTTTCTTATTAGGTCACTCAATTCAAACTTGGAAGCTACACCCAAACGAAGAACTACGATGTGATCTCTGACACCGGTACCTCGCTCATCGCTGGACCCCAAGCCATCACTGATCAATTGGCCAAAGCCGCTGGAGCCACTGTGAGTGCTAAAATATGCTATAAGTTTTCGGAATACGAAAATGACTCAATCTAGAACTTTGGAGTCACTGTGAGTACATAACTTACCGTAATACTCTTTCATTGGATATTGTTTGTCAATAAGTATTGGGTTGAGTTCCTTTGAGTACAAGGAAAGGCTGAGCTAAGCTGGGTGAGCTGGGCTGGCTGAGCTAAGCTGGTTGAGCTGAGCTGTCTGAGCTGAGACTGGCTGAGCTGAGCTGAGCTGGCTGAGCTGAGACTGGCTGAGCTGAGACTAGCTGAGCTGAGACTAGCTGAGCTGAGACTAGCTGAGCTGGGCTGGCTGAGCTGGGCTGGCTGAACTGAGCTGGCTGAGCCGGCCGAATACTATGCCACCTATACCATTTGACGCAGAATTTTATGCTGATTCCGAATATGTATTCCGTTTTTGCGAAATGGCAATCTGCTAGGAGTTATAAGCGTCAAAAGTTTTGTTAGGACTCTAAAAATGTAGCCATTTGGGTCTTAGCGGTTTCTTTGCGGGGTCGATTCTGTGCAGCGGTGGCCAAGTGGTGCGGCCTTTGTTTCCGGAGCGAGCTCTCGCAAAATTCGACCCCTACCTCGAACTTTCCTTTTGCTTTTTTTCAAGAAGTGCTGACTAGTGTTCTTTTGTGCACTTAAAAAAACCTTAGACGCTTATAACGCTTATGACAATTAGCCAATCTAGTAACTCATAAATAGCTAGCGAAATATGAATACATGACTGAGCTGGATATCTATTTGCCCAATATCTATCTAACTTTATATCTATCTTTAGTATGATTCCCGTGACGGAATCTACACAATGCCATGCAGTGCCTCTCCCGGAACCCTCGACTTGACAATCGGCGGAATTGTCTACTCAATCCAAAAGGTCAACTTCGTCTTGGACTCAGGAGACGGTGGAAAGACTTGCTATTTCGGAATTTTCCCCTTCAACTTGGGAGCTTTCGGTGAGCGTTTGGGAAAGTGTTTTTCACATTGTTTCGTACTTGGCAAGCTTAAAAGTAGAAATGCTAGCATATAAAAGCTCTTTTATCAATGATTTATCAAATCAAATCAAATTTTCAGGCCCACAATGGATCTTGGGAGACCCATTCATCCGCCAATTCTGCAACATTTACGACTTCAACCAACAACGCATTGGTTTCATGCCATCGAAGCAACCAAACTAAAAATTTTAACCTTTTAACCTCAACTTTATCACCTTGTATATAAGTAAAAGAAATAAATATTCAACTAAAGAAATTTTTTGAAAAACTGATGCTGAAAAACGGACACAGAAGCACAGATTTCTTCAGAAAAACTAAAAAATTCATTTTATTTTTTGGCGTGCAACAACGATCATTGGTCTTTCTTCTTTGTTTCAATAAACCATAAAAATGCAATCAAGCCATATCACGTTTTTAGCGATTCCTTCTCCAAAAACGAAGAAGAATTCTGTTTCCTTAAAGATTCAGAAAAAGATTTTATCGTTTCTCACAAATCTTAGACGTTTCGATTCAGAAAAAGAAGGAAAATGATAGCAAAGACTGCGAAAAGAGCAAAAAAGTGTACAATGAATAAATCTTTTAAATCTTTATACAGCTTTTACACTTTCAATACAAATTTGAAACCTTTTAGTTGCTTAGATACTTTTTGGCACACTTGCAAAGTCACTTTTCATTTGGTTTTCATTGGATTTTTGATTGAATCAGCTCAATTCTTATTTCAATTCCTGGTAGAATACAAATTTTAAACGTATTCGTCCATTTGAAACACATTAAGCAAAATTTAGACTTGCTACAGCCTTTGCCTAAAAATGAGGATCAACCACCATCCATAAAGCACTTGTCTGTAGGTTCTCGTGGAAAATATGAGGATCAACGAGTTGAAAGCCGAGTGAAAAGATTGGGTTGTCCAGTTATGAATGCGCGTTTGTTACTATTTTGTCTCATTTTTCAAACCGAATATTGTACAAACATTGCTGGATCTTTGATTTACCTTTAACTCATCAAAGACCCAGCAATGCTATTCGGGTTGACTCAATTTGAGCGGAGCCAAAACTTGATCCAAAGGCACCCCTCCATTTTTTTTGGCCACCTCTTCTTCTGTGCAGTCAATTTGCCCAAAAGTTGAACAAATTCAAAAACTTTTTATATCAAAATGTAGAGGAGATCTTCAGCTTTCGAATAATATATAACACTCATATACATCTATTCGATATCTTGAGAAATTTACAAAATAGTAAGAACACGCATTCATAACTGGACAACCCAATACATGAATAAGACAAAAGATGAACTGACTGAAAAAAATGGGATTGTTAATATTACTAAACTGTTTACCAAACTCTGGTAGAATACTTATGTTAAGCATCGCCAAGATCAGCATAAAGCACGGTAATAAAAAGGTGAAGGATGTGTTGAAGATCTAAAATTACAAATGATAATTTGAATATTATTGTGTACAGTCTGATTTTACAATTTAATTATTAATTTAATTATTAATTTAATTATTAATTTAATTATTGTTCCGATCAATGCACCACTCCTTGGCCGAGAAAAAGTTCAAGAACCGCGACGAGGTCCAAATTTGGGTGTCCAACTTCTTCGAGTCGCAGCCGGTCGAGTTCTTCAAAAGGGCATCCATTCTCTGCGTGAACGTTGGCGACAAGTCATTGATGCAGATGGCGAATACCTTTTGGATTAATGTATTGTTATCTTGTTTTTATAATAAAATAAACTTTTAACGAAAACGCGCATTTCTTTTTTACCAACCTAATAGATTACCGATTCAATTGAACACTTTAGAATAAAGTTAAAAGTTATTCACAAGGAAATGTTAACTGGATCCATGGATTTCAACTAGATTTGGTGACCAAAAGACATATGCCACAAGTTATTCGACGCAGAATTCAACGCCGATTCCGAATCTGCTTTCCGTTTCTGCTATGGAGCACTCTGTCAAAAATTATAAGCATGCAAATTTTTGTATGGGATTTTAAAAACCAAACCCAAAGCTTTTAGGTAAGATTAAATCGGGTAAGATCTTACAAATCTCGCCAAAATGCCTGACTTGTATCTTGCAGTCTTGCAGGAATCAAAGAATAAAAGAATTCTTGTAAAATGCTTTTGAAAAGAATTTCTCTAGCAAATTAGCGTTTATTTACACCCAAAAGTATCTACAAATCAATCAAAAAAATCGAAATTTCACCAGTTTCTCCTATCCTTGAACATCGTTGTTGACAGTTTCCTCGTTGCATCCACACGAGACTTGGCATCGACCGGAGAGCTGTTTTTAAAAAAAAAACTATTTTGCTGAGAACTTTTATGACTTACTAGAATCAAATTCAGCGGACAGAGTCTCCCTGGTTGACAAGGAGGACGATTGGGAGTGCAACATTGCTGAAAATGAATTGAATTGGAGATTGTTTCCGGAAAATTGCTGACTATCGGAGAAAAGCCAAGATTACGGTAGTTGAAAACTTGAAACTTTGAACTTTGAATTTAAACTATTGTAAAAATTCTAATCGAAGAAATGGCTTTTCTTTTTTTCAATGTTCATTTCAAATTTCGTTCGCCTACCCTAGCTACAATATACCCAAATTTTCAAGAGCTCAAAAATAGGTGTTTTTGTTGTGTTTTCATCCGATTTTTGATGCTATTAACCTTTTTTTTAAAGTCTATAACTATTATGTAACTAAAACCTTTGAAAGTCTTTAAAAAGTTGAGCATTTTGCTAAAGTTGAGCAGAGTTGAAAAATTTCGTCTAAACGGGGCTCTTCAATTGGAATAAATACGATGTAAATGCCCATGTTTTGAATGCTTCACTTCATGCTATACCCAAAACATTTATCTTAGCAAAGTACAAAGTACAAAGTTCAAAGTCAAACCCTCGTTTATCTCTAGTTTGCCACTTCCGTGATACAGTTTCTGTCGGCGGGACGTTTGCTCAAGCTAGAGACATTCTCCTATCACTCATTTCCTATCACATCACCATTTCTCGGTATAAACTTTTGCTAAAAAGGGGCCGACACCAGCTCGAAGTTCAGAATCGCTTCGTAACCAAGCTAGAAGCTCTAAAGGGCTTTAAAGGGAAAGGCCTTAAAGGGCTTTAAAGCTTTAAAATACAACATAAATATTTAATGCAAAGACATCAGAAAAGAATTTCCCCAAAAATAGGAATACGAATTGGCAAGGAGAGGATTTGAACCCAAGCCACAGACCCTAATAGGTTCTGAGCTAGCACACTATCCGCTAGACCACCGAAGCCGTTGAAAGGTTTCTTTGTGGCGGTCTTCTGAAGAGTTCGTAATTTAAGAGAATTTTCTAGATTCCTTGCGACTGCTTGGGTGTTTGTTTGTTTACAGATTCTTAAGCAGCATAGCCCGAATCAGCAAGTTTTAAGCTTTTCTGTCATCCTTATGAGATGCATTTGGTCACGAAGCGATTCTGGACTTCAAGCTGGTGTCTTTTCCTTGTAATAATAATCAATACCAATCCTGTCATCTCCCCAGATGTATCAGCATCAATTTTTCGTTCATAGTTCAGTTTTAGTATAAAAGAATTATACATTACAAGAAGCTATTTTTAGATTCGATTTTTAGAGATTTTAGATTCGATTGGTCCAAAAAGTTCAACTTTACAGCTAGATACAGGGATTAAAAGTTATTTTACACTTATTTCTTTGCACAAAAGGTAACTCACATATCCCATTGGGCATTGTTTAGCATTAAAACAAAATCTAGGCACTGTTGATGTTGATGGAGTAACTGGGGGTAAAAGTTGAGCATTCTAAACAAATAGAAAACAATTTTTTTAAGGCAAATACTCAAATTCAAAGTAGAAAACTTACAATAAAACCGAAAATAGCCAAAGCAAGAGCAAGCGAGAGGAAAAATTTCATTTTTCAACTACTTTTTAGCAAAATGATATCAAAGCAAGCTATTTATATTGCTTTCGGTCTTTTCTATTTTTGGTTTGTTATGGATTTTGCTGGAAATGTGTACCGATGTGCAAATACAAAATATTTACGATAACTGTCCTATATATTTGAAAATAAAGTCTACATTTCAAAAGTCTTCTCATTTTTGGTGTCACTATTAAACATTTTTATAGTATGGTAATCAATTATCAAAGGTAAATGGTAAATACCGTAATCCCAAGCAAAAATAGAATACTATTCGACATATAGATACTTAAAAAGCTTTAAAATTCTCGAAACAGTCGACTGGTTCACTCTCAGAATGGTAGCAATTCGATCTTGTCGCTCAACAGCAATTCGACCCTGTCGCCCAAACGGTAGCAATTCGAATGGCAACAATTCGAATGGTAGCAATTTGAATGGTAGCAATTCAATCCTGTCACCAAAATGGTAGCAATCGATCTTGTCGCCCAAATGGTAGCAATTCGAATGGTAGCAATTGAATGGTAGCAATTCGAATGGTAGCAATTGAATGGTAGCAATTGAATGGTAGCAATTGAATGGTAGCATTCGAATGGTAGCAATTCGAATGGTAGCAATTCGAATGGTAGCAATTGCATGGTAGCAATTCGAATGGTAGCAATTCGATCTTGTCGCCCAAATGGTAGCAATTCGAATGGTAGCAATTCGATGGAGCATCGATGGGCAATTCGAATGGTAGCAATCGAATGGAGCAACGAATGGTAGCAATTCGAATGGTAGCAATTCGAATGGTAGCAATTCGAATGGAGCATCGAATGGTAGCAATTCGATGGAGCATTCGGATGGTAGCAATTCGAATGGTAGCAATTCGAATGGTAGCAATCCGAATGGTAGCAATTCGATCTTGTCGCCCAAATGGTAGCAATTGAATGGTAGCAATTGCATGGTAGCAATTCGAATGGTAGCAATTGCATGGTAGCAATTCGAATGGTAGCAATTCGATCTTGTCGCCCAAATGGTAGCAATTCGAATGGTAGCAATTCGAATGGTAGCAATTCGAATGGTAGCAATTCGAATGGTAGCAATTCGAATGGTAGCAATTCGAATGGTAGCAATTCGAATGGTAGCAATTCGAATGGTAGCAATTCGAATGGTAGCAATTCGAATGGTAGCAATTCGACCTTGTCGCCCAAATGGTAGCAATTCGACCTTGTCGCCCAAATGGTAGCAATTCGAATGGTAGCAATTGGAATGGTAGCAATGCAATCCTGTCACCCAAATGGTAGCAATTCAATCCTGTCGCTTAGTGAAACAACTGTTATAATTAAAGTAGAGTATGTAAAGTAAAGTAACTACATTATGAATTTTTATTTTTAAACTTTCTATTAGCCTACTCTTTTGTGTAAAACTAGCAAACTGTAACTTAACAGCTTCAAATTTTAATCTGTTTCTTGTTTCTTGTTTGTTTTTATTTGATTTCTTTTCCAAGACTAGAATAATGACATTCATTCATACAAGTTTATCTTCATTTACAAACATTTACAAACATTTGAACATCTTTTACAGCTGAGCTGATTTATTGTGGAGTGGAAGCAGTCTGATCATCGCCGAGTGGGATTTCCCCTTCGGTTGTAAGGAATCGGTCTTCATTCTTTGTTGTAATCCTCGGTCGTCCCTTTTTCTTACATCTGTGCACATTTCCAGACGCATTCATTTTTGCAAGTAACAAGAGAAACTGTTGTGGGCGTACATTCTAAGAGGCGAGCAATGTCTTGTCGTGGCATTCCTTGCTTCCTTGCCTCGACGATCCTATCTTTATCCGGAGTTGGCAAGTACGTTTCTGACATCTAAAAAAATAAAATAGTACCAGTAAATACGAAGCGAAGCGAACGGAAATAATAAAAATTTTTGCAAATGTGAAAAGACTTTTGCACCACGATTTTCAGGGGTGTTTTGACAATTATATTTTTTTTCTCGATTAATAAGTTTTGTATAGCGACAGCGTTTGTGTAAATAAATTGTACATATATTTGTGTAACTAAAACTATTAATGGCTTAAAGAGCGCCATGAACTTTATCAAAGAAAATTGATGAAACTTTTTAGAAAATCGAATGTGAAAAGACTTTTGCACATGACTGTACTAAGTGTATCTTTTTGGAAATTTGGCTATAAGCCTAATTTTTGATTCTCTACAACTTTTCCATTGACACCAAAATGGGTTTCTTTTGAAGAAAGTGCTCAAACTGTCACATATGCCAATAGCCGGCAGTTTTCAATTCACCAACCCAATATTTACGGTAACAGCTTCAAATTTTAAGCTGTTTGTTGTTTGTTGTTTGTTTTTATTTGATTTCTTTTCCAAGACTAGAATAATGACATTCATTCATACAAGTTTATCTTCATTTACAAACATTTGAACATCTTTTACAGTTGAGCTGATTTATTGTGGAGTGGAAGCAGTCTGATCATCGCCGAGTGGGATTTCCCCTTCGGTGCACTCGATTGCACAGATTCCGAAAGACTGGAATGAAGAATTTATAGAAAAACTCAAAATCTATCTTTACTAGAGATTTTTGAATATTTTTGAATATTTTAAAATAGTTTTAAACTGTTTCAATACCCAGAAATTGACAAACGAACCATGAAAATTGGACAGAAAGCGCCGGGTGGACATTCGTACGGATGAGTGCAACAGATCTGCAAGGATTTCATTAAAAATGCAAATATCTAATGCAAAATATAATATCATAAAATATAAATAAACAAACTATAATAAATAAATGAATTTTGTCTTCTTTTTTTGGTCTTCTTTTTGGCTCACCTCTCCAACTTGACAATGTGCTTGGTTGTAACAGAATTGCGAGTTCGGCAGCGGTGCGCCGGTTGATCCACTCTCTTCAATCAAATCGCGTTTCTTCCTTCCATTCGTGTCCTCATTTCTCGATGTATCGATGCTCCCTGTGCTTCCTTCAATATATGGATCCGCTGTTGTCCCAATATCAACAATGAGGAACTCGCCATCAGTTGCATCAGTTTGTGCGCTCTAAAATTTGAAAGACAATGCTTGAAAGGCAAGCTTAAAGCCGCCGAATCGATAAAATTGATAAAATTGATTGAAATCTTAGATTCAATTGATAGAATTTGAGATCTGAATGAAATTTGGAGCAGGAATTTGCGGCTTTCTAGGATTTCAGTCCGATAATTTTGTCTAGAGATATTATTAGTGTTTTTGTGCTAGTGACCACACTGCAGGCTTTAAATGGATGTAGAATTTGTAGAAAAAATAGCAAACTTATGGGATTTGTAGCCAAAAATTTGGGAAAAAATTGGCCCCAAGGATTTGAGCATAGTCATGCTTCAAACAACGAAATCAACTCAGTTCCCAGTTCCCACTGCTCCTTTCCCTTTTTGACTGATCTCTGGAAATGGAAGCACTATATACCGAAGCGGCTCGCCAGATCGCGAGCGTTTACCCAGCACAAGCACAAAGAACACCTTCATTTACACAGAAATTCTTCTTTTGCTTTGTGGATCGCACAAAAAAGAAGGTATTCGGCTGTAAAGTTGTACCCGGGGGTTTTCGAGGACGGTGAATCGATTGAAGGTATTCATTTTATTGAGTCTACTAACTAGAACAAACGGATTTGCTTGGTTTGACTTTCCAATCCCATCCAAAATCCCAAGAAAACTTACCACAAATCCAAGCGCACAAAGAATGGCACAAAGATAAATCAGCTTTAAATTTCTGTTCGCGGGGGTTTTCGAGGACGGTGAATCGATTAAAGGTATTCATTTTATTGAGCCTACTAACTAGAACAAACGGATTTGCTTGGTCTAAATGTCGAATCCAATCAAATGTCAAGAAAACTTACCACAAATCCGAGCGCACAAAGAATGGCCAAAACAAGGAAAAATCGCATTCTTCGCGTACAGAAAAGGTCGTTTTTTTAAGAATATTCAACTCTTTCTTTATCATCCATTTTTATACTTGCCACAAAACTCATTTCAAATCATTTCCATTGTCAAATGGCCAGGAAAACAGAAAATATTTTCCCGATTCAGAGATTTTTGAGTTCATCAAAGGTTTCTCTTTGTTGTCGATGATTCAAATTTTAAAATGAAAGCAAAAAAAGTGAAACTATTTATAATCTAAACGTGTATTTTTCAAAATAAGCTTTCTGCTTCAAAAAAAAAATGACAAAAGAATGACAAAAAAATAACAAAATAACATCAAAAAATGATGAAAAAGTGAGCTTTTTTTGAGCTATTTTCGATAGTTTTCCATTTTCCTTTTTTTATGCATTAAAAGCCCCATTTTCTTTTCCGCTTTGCGTCGGTTTTGGCACCTGAAATGTTGAAAAGCTGATTGTATTGAAAATCCTGTTTTTTTGAGAAGTCCAATATGGAAAGCGATGTTTTTAAGCAATATCAGCATCAATTTTTACGTAAATCTCTAGCCTTTACTACCTATTTTCCCGAGAAAAACAGATTTTGAAGTTAAACAACACAACAATTGCATTTGTTGGTTACTGTATAGTTCCTATTTGGTTACTGTATAGTTCCTATTTAGTTCCTATAAACAACACAACAATTGCATTTGATTTCATACTAGATTCTAGATTTTTCGCTTTTATATAAAACCCTCAACGATTGCTCTGCTTACTTTTTTAGTAAATAACGAAAGGGAAAGTACAGTATTTTGCTAAACAATCAGCAGAAAAGCACAGATCTTTCGTAATCTCTGACTAAAAATCGATAGATTAATTAAAGGATTACACGTAGTTCACAAGTTGACGTGTTGTAGAAAACGAACTATTCCAGAAAAACTGATCAAAGCGCTCATTTGCTGATTATCAGACATAATTATCAGCTAATTCACGCCCCGCCCCTTTTCCCATTAGCTATCTAACTTTGAGCTCAAATTTCTTGGTGTTGGGTTATCCAATTTAGATATTCTTGATATCATTAGATGCCCCAAGTCTTTATCTATCGATTGGTAGAAAAACTAGAGAAATTGAAGAGCCCAACACCAAGAAATTTGAGCTTAAAGTTTGATTGCCAATGGAAAATGGGCGGGGCGCGTATGTCCCACCTTTATACACGCCCCGCCCCTTTTCCCATTAGCTATCTAACTTTGAGCTGAAATTTCTTGGTGTTAGGCTATTCAATAGAAATATTCTTGGTATCAATAGATGCGCCAAGTCTTTCTATATCGATTGGTATAAATATTAGTGAAATTGAAAAGCCCAACACCAAGAAATTTGAGCTTAAAGTTAGATTGCCAATGGAAAAGGGCGTATCAAATTGTAGCTGGCTTCAAAATAGCCACTCTTTCAGTTCAATTGCAATTAGATAGACTGCAAAGTGAACAGATCTATTACTCTACTATTCTAACTACCTGTTTCTTATACTTTGCCACTCCATGCAATTCGGGATGCTCGAAACCGCTTGGATTATGGTAAACACTCTTCTTGTGAGACATCTGAAACGCTCAAGAGTTACCGGCACTTTTTCTTTATTGTATAGCTCCAACTAGAGTTAACCATTCCCTATAAAAATCTTGGTAAAATTTACTGCTTATTTTCAACACTTTACTTCAATATTTTACTTAGGAACTCAAAAATTCGCAATTCTTTAGAACTTTAAAACTTGAGAGCCTCTAGGAGAAACGACTTTCAGCTTTCGGCTTTCAGCTTTCAGCTTTCGGCTTTCGGCTTTCGGCTCTCGGCTGTCGGCTTTCGGCTTTCGGCTCTCGGCTGTCAGCTTTCAGCTTTCGGCTTTCAGCTTTCAGCTGTCGGCTTTCGGCTTTCGGCTCTCGGCTGTCAGCTTTCGGCTTTCGGCTTTCAGCTTTCAGCTTTCAGCTTTCGGCTTTCGGCTTTCAGCTTTCGGCTTTCGGCTTTCGGCTTTCAGCTTTCAGCTTTGGGCTTTCGGCTTTCGGCTTTCAGCTTTCGGCTTTCGGCTTTCGGCTTTCAGCTTTCAGCTTTCGGCTTTCGGCTTTCGGCTTTCGGCTTTCAGCTTTCAACTTTCGGCTTTCGGCTTTCGGCTTTCAGCTTTCAGCTTTCGGCTTTCAGCTTTCGGCTTTCGGCTTTCGGCTTTCAAGTAACGAAATTTTGAACTTAAACAACTAGTTTAATAATGATTAATCATAGATAGAACACTTGTAAATATCTCAATTTATTTAGAAAATCTAAGTTGTTACTTCTTTTTTTGAATAGTAATTCTTTAAGCTCAAAATTTGCTCACAAAGAGTCGCGTCCAAGTTTTGGAGATTTAAGGTTATAGAATTGCTTATAATATTATTCACTTACCGCATCGTATGCGGAAGCCAATTGCTCCAGAGAGACTAAAAATTCAAATTTTTATATATCGTATAAGAGATGAGAAATAACGAACTTTCTGGATTCAAGACTGAGATCTTTTTCGTTGTTCGAATTGGTTCAAACTCGTCCCATCCGTGTCCATAAGCGTGAAGTGGGTAAGCTGCCTGAAAAGCTTTATTTTATACTATTCTGTACTATTCTTATGGCTATTTTCTCATGCCTATTTAATTTTCTTACTTCTCCATGCTTGTAGATGTCCAATCCTTTGATTTCAATCTCAGCTGGCACTCGAAGTTTCCCATACTAGAGCTTTCACTATGTCTTTTTCTTCATTTTCTTAGAACATACTTTTTTTAAAAGTAAGAACACGGGAACCATTGTTGCAAAGGACCAGGTGATGATCGCAAAAGCACAAACGATTTGCCAGAAGAGTTGCTGAATCGAATTGGTTTATTTTTATGATTCTAGTAGATCAAAATTAGAAGTTAAACCAAGTTAGTGAACTATGGAAGGAATCTAAAAATCTGGTTACTATCGAGGTTTGATTAGAAATAAATGAACTCAAAGAAATCCTAGATAAATCTGGTTACTATCGAGGTTTGATTAGAACTAAATCAACTTAAAGGGATCCTAGAAAAACCACTTATTATCGAGGTTTGTTTAGTACTAAATGAACTCAAAGAAATCCTAGATAAATCTGCTTACTATCGAGGTTTGAATAGTACTAAATCAACTTAAAGGGATTCTAAAAAACCACTTATTATCGAGGTTTGATTAGTACTAAATCAACTCAAAGAAATCCTAAAAAAATCCGGTTACTATCGAGGTTCATTCACTATCGAGGTGTTCACTAACGAGGCTCGACTGTATGTGCTTTCATCAGAAACAAACGAATAGTTAGCTAATAGTTAATTGCAATTCTCAACTTAAGGATCATCACTACCCTTGTAACTTTTAAATAATATTGAAATAAAGCCGAAAATTTCAACCGACCGCAACAGGAAGCCATTGCCATCCATGACCGGTGATCGCATTTGATACAGCATAGCAAATTCCCTGTTAGAAAGATTTTAAATGTTTATAAATGGTAAATAAGGAAATTATTTAGATAAATGAAATCTGTAAATAATAATTATAAATGGCTGCAAAGAATTCTGTGAAATTACCTTATGTGAAACGAGGCAAGCCGCAAAAAGTCCCCACGATCCTCCACCAGCGTGTACAGCAAACGCTTCAAGTGGATCATCGATTTCCCATCAAAAAAAAAATTAAAATTAAATCTTTCAAGTTAAATAATATCAGTTTATAACTAATATTTTTATTTTATTTTCAATTTACTCGATCATTTTGTTGCTTAACGCCATGTAGACGAATCCTGAGCCAATTCCCGTAAACACAGCCGCCCATGGTTCCATCTGATTGCACGAGGCACAACCAGATACCATTCCTAATTGAAAGTTTGTTTTTAGATTTGTTTTTCAATTTGTTTTTAAATTTGTTCTTAGATTTGTTTTTAGATTTGTTTTTAGATTTGTTCTTAGATTTGTTTTTCAATTTGTTTTTAGATTTGTTCTTAGATTTGTTCTTAGATTTGTTCTTAGATTTGTTCTTAGATTTGTTTTTAAATTTGTTTTTCAATTTGTTTTTCAATTTGTTTTTCAATTTGTTTTTCAATTTGTTTTTCAATTTGTTTTTCAATTTGTTTTTCAATTTGTTCTTAGATTTGTTCTTAGATTTCTTTTTAAGTTTGTCTTCAAATTTGTTACAAAGATTTTCCATTTAGAACCTGCTAAACATGCGTTGATCGTGAAAAGAAGCGTCAATTTCCCTTTCATTTTGTAGTGAACGATGAGACAAGTGAAAGCGGCCATTGTACCGGATAACATTGTGTTCACCATGGCTCGTGAAACGATTTTCCCGATTCCCGGAGCAGTGATTGAACCGGTTGAGCCTAAGACTTGGATTTGATCATATTTTTAGGTAAAGATCACCTCCATTAAAAGCCAAGAAGCCGAACATGAGGATGAAGCCGCCCAGCGAAGCAAACTGGAAGCAAGAGCTTTATCTTGAAAGCTTTATCTCTAACAATTGCTACCACAAATCGTAATTACTTAAATTTCATAAGCAATATGTTGATTCAAATTCAGGATATAATAATTTACAATATGAAGCCAGTTTGAATGGATCTTGCTGTACCTTTCGTTGCCACTAAAGTTGCCAAGGAAAAGCACAGTTGCCACTAATTTCGATACCATGAACCTATCATGAAACTACTGTTAAAACTCTAATAGAACAAACGCTTAGTTATAAATTTAATCTAGAAAAATAGGGGAATTTCTTTGAGCTATTGAATAAATTTTTATCTTTAACCAGCGCTTAGAAAACAATGATTGAAAAGTAGCAAAAAAATGCCGATTTTTGCCATTTTTTAGTCATCTTTTTCTAATCCCTGGTCAATGCTAAAAATATGTTTTATATCTCAAAAAATTACCCATTCTCTCTACTTTAATTTGATGCTAAAACTCGTGGAAACAAGCGTGCTGGTGTCAAGTTATGAGCCTTTGTTTGAGAGTAAATTTAGACTATGCGACGCTTCTGTAGGGGCCGTTGTATTAAAGTTTTTACGGTAAATTTTACGGTTTTTCAAGCGAAATTCAGTTCAATGCTTACTTGTTAGAACTTATATTTAGGAATTTTTATTGGTTTTCTATCTTTTTCGGCCAATTTCAGTTTCATTTCGTCTCTCACCGGCACAGAATGTCCTTTGATCTCTCCAGACACTTCCCCGCTATCATCCGGAAATCGCCCGATTCTTGGTCCCATAATATAAGCTGCAATGAATGAGATTGTCCCACCGCACAGGTGAACAACTCCAGAACCAGCAAAATCCTAGAAAAGATTTCAATTTCTCCAAAACAAAAGGAAACTTTCCTACCAAATACTCAGTTTTCTCTTGATCGGAAATCCAAAACCCTTGCGCCATCCAGCCCGATTCGTGCCATCCCCAATGTGTCAAAATTGGATAAACGACAGCTAAATCGCGTTTTTCTTTGAGAAACTCAAACCTTATACCGGAGATCGAGCAACAGTAAACGATATAGGCAACGATTTCGCATCTTTCCGCGACCGCTCCTGAATTTAAGAAGCTTTTGTGCTTTCTGAAGCTACCAATAATAAACTTTGATTCTAAGGGTTTTCTGTGATGGGGAATCCAAATTGTCGTTAGTTTTGACTACTGAAGCCACCAAAAGAGCTCGTCAAAACGGTGCCGTGAACAAACAACAACAAACAAACTCAAGAAAAAAAACAGTTAATATCTTTTTTTGTTTTAGGGAGCCACTTCTCATCATCTTGGACAAAACTTCTCAAAAATGTTCGAAAAAATGTTCGAAATCTCTTTCGAGGATCCAAGTGGTAGTCGACAAAAGGTTTTCTATTAAATTTTTCAATGTTATCTTTTTCGTTAGGTTTGGCAAAATTCTTGGGGACTCTCGACAAGAAGTAAGTAGTGCACCCCGGCGAACCGAGTTGGTGAATATTTTACGGTTTCCAAGCTTTCGCAGAAGCTCAACACTCTAATCCCTCGCAAGATCTCATCGTCAGCTACATTTTCCGACCCCACATCAATGGGTTCTGATAAGCGGTTCTCGAGATTTCGAGGGATTTAGGCGAAGCTTAGGGTGCACTACTATTAGAGAGAATAGGGCATTAGCCTATTGCATTTTAATGTCTCGTTTTTTGCTTAAATGTTTAAACTTTGATTTTCTCTTCTTTAAAAAGTGTTCAATAAACGTTCTTTCAATTTTCAATTCATTTTCATTGACTCCTGCTTCACTTTTAAGCTTAAACTTCAAAAAGTTTTAAACCAAAGTATGCTTGAATCATTGATCGATCTTTCTAATTGATTGGTGTGAAGCGAAAAGAACATCAAAAGGTTGCAATAGGCTAATACCGTATTCTCTAATAGTAATGTACCCGGCCGAGCCGAGTTGGTGACTATTTTACGGTTTCCAAGCTTTTGCAGAAGCTCAACACTCGAATCCCCCACTAGATCTCATCGTCAGCTACATTTTCCGACCCCACATCAATAGGTTCTGATAAGCGGTTCTCGAGATTTCGAGGGATTTAGGCGAAGCTTAGGGTGCACTACTATTAGAGAGAATGCGGTAAAGGGGGACGACTGTACCTGCAACAATGGTGGCTGCTGTGGCTGCAAAAACGTATTGAAAGAAGAATCTGAAAATTTTATTGAAAATATTATTGCATTTTTCTGAATCAGGCAAGTCTAGGGTTAGAGTGTGTGACCTGGGTCTGGCTTTATTAAAGACCTGGCCTGAGTATATGTTCGGTTAAAACATCCGTGACCAGAGATACTTACCGTAATACCTGTAATAGTAGCGCCCCTTCCCATAATGTCTAGAGTGTGTCCCTTTCAAATAATAGTGCAAGAGAGAAAACAACATTGAGTGAGTCTTTTTTAAAAATAAGAACATATGCCTTTGTTTTATATTTAGCCAAGTTCTGTTTTGTATTGTTTTGTATTGTTTTGTATTGTTTTGTATTGTTTTGAATTGTTTTCTATTTTGTATTGTTTTCTATTGTTTTCGATTGTTTTCTATTTTGTATGGTTTTCTATTGTTTTCTATTGTTTTCGATTGTTTTCGATTGTTTTCTATTTTGTATTGTTTTGTATTGTTTTCTACTTTGTATTGTTTTCTATTGTTTTCTATTGTTTCTATTTTGTATTGTTTTCTATTGTTTTCGATTGTTTTCTATTTTGTATGGTTTGCTATTGTTTTCTATTGTTTTCGATTGTTTTCGATTGTTTTCTATTTTGTATTGTTTTGTATTGTTTTCTACTTTGTATTGTTTTCTATTGTTTTCTATTGATTTCTATTTTGTATTGTTTTTGATTGTTTTCTATTTTGTATTGTTTTGTATGGTTTTCTATTGTTTTCTATTGTTTTCTATTTTGCACTATTACTTGAGAGAAGCACAGTCTAATAATGATGTACAGTAGTCGTTAAAGTAAATCATTCTATCGAAAGTGCCCAGTTCTTTCTAAAGTAAATTGTTAGTACCAAAAAAAAGCGCTATCTTTTTGATATGATTTAAAGCGCGCGAAGAATTAAGCGTCAAAAAATTGTGTGTTAAACTAGGCGACTCTACGGGGCGGGCGGCGCTACTATTACAGGTATTACGGTATTCATTTCTTAGTGTAATACTTGATTCAATTGGTTTTTTTTGTTCTAAAACTTCTACAACTACAGCTACAGCTAAAACTCTTATCTTTTCAATCAATCTAAAACATCGATTTCCTGAATGAACAACATGTTTTCAAAGATTTCAAAGATTTCGATTTTTTTGATCCGATTTTAGGATCGTTTCGCTCTCTCGATTTTTTCTTCCAAATCGCATGTACTCAACAAAGATTTATTACCATTCTTTCCCCTGTCAAAATCCTCTTTTCAATTTTTACAACCCTTCTTTTTTTCATTTTTTTCGATCAACCGATCAAGAATGAGATCAAAAAGGGATCAAAAAGTTGGCGGGAGATGATCAAAGTACGATTTTCTTAGTTCAGCAACTTAAATTCTTTATTAACATAAAGAATTTAACATAAAGAATTTAGCATAAAGAGCTCACTTTGTTGAACTCACTTTGTGTAATCATTTGTGCCGACGAGGAAGAATTCGGATTGTCCAAAGAGATGCTCGAGAAAACCCTCACCCGGCCCGTACGCTAAACCCCAACCGCAAGTCCAATAGCACACAAGAGCGAATACTAAAGATGAAATAAAAAAAAACCTTCTCGTTTATGTTTATTTTCTTAAAACTTACACGAGTCGAGAACATTCTTGAAGATGATATTCGTCGTGTTCTTTGACCGCACCGCACCAGCTTCCAAAAAAGCAAAACCACACTGCATCACTGAAAGAGAAGTAAGGCATAAGACCCTATCCTGGCGCCAATGAATATGTCTCCCTGTAGCTTATTGGTAGAGTGTTCTGGCCTGTTAAGCGAGAGGTGGCGAGTTCGAATCCTTGCGCCGACTTATAAAAGCACCGACGTGAGTTTCAAGTAATGCTTTAACTCCTTAACCATAAGTTATTGATTTCGGAGCTTGGTTTGATTGTTTTCCATTTAAAACCTTTTAAAGATCTTGGTTTGCATTGAAAATTTAGTTAACTACCGTAAATACTGTAATAGTACCCCACCCCCATAATGACGGTGCGGAGTGTTGCGTAGTCTAGCTTTGAACGAGATTTTTCTCGACACTGGTTTATGCTACAATGCGCGTTTAGTTATCAAAAAATAGCTGAAATTCAGAGCTATTTTTTTTGTGAGCATTTATGAGCAAAGAGCATTGAAGTTTTCGAGCGGTTGCTTTAGAAAGCTCTTGATGCACGATGGCTACTTTGTTCCCAGCTGGAATTAGTTAATTTAGATTGAATTTTTCATTCTACATGTCTTTAGATTAGGGTTTCTATCGACTAAACCATTTTCTAAAATTTGCCAACTTTTGAAAGTTAAGTAACGCTGCTTTTGTCAAGAAGAACCAACCGTAAATCCTGTAATTGTACCCCACCCCCATAATGACGGTGCGGAGTGTTGCGTAGTCTAGCTTTGAACGAGTTTTTCTCGACACTGGTTTATGCTACAATGCGCGCTTAGGTATCAGAAAATAGCTGAAATTCAAGGCTATTTTTTGATACCAAAGACGCATTTTTGAAAGTACGGGTGCTTTGCAAAAAATGAAATACTAAAAAACTTTTGCGACTACGTGACTGTACGAGGGGGGTGGGGTGCTATTACAGTATTTACGGTACTTGTAATGTATTACCTGTAATGTAATGTATTACCTGTAATTGTAATGTATTACCTGTAATGTAATGTATTACCTGTAATGTAATGTATTACCTGTAATTGTAATGTATTACCTAATGACGGTGCGGAGCGTTGGGTAGTCTAGCTTTGAACCCGTTTTTCTCAACACTGGTTTATGCTACAATGCGCGCTTAGGTATCAAAAAATAGCCCTGAATTTCAGCTATTTTTTGATACCAAAGACGCATTTTTTGAAAGTAAGGATGCTTTGCAAAAAATGAAATACTAAAAAGCTTTTGCGACTACGCGACTGTACGACGGGGGTGGGGTACTATTAAAGTATTTACGGTAACCTTTCAAAAACCCACAAAAAATAATGAGCGCCATTGTGCAGAGGAAGAAAGAGTCGATATTTTTCGATGTGTACTCTTTATAATCCTCAAATTCCTCCTTCAACGCCAACAATTGAAGGGTAAGATTTTGATCCATTACTAGAAAAACTCTAATAATACATTAACTTAAGAAAAGTTAAAGTTTACGGGAAAAAAAAACTCAAAATTTTGATCGAAACAACTTTTTGAAAGCCTTTTTATAGGTTTTATGTTCATCGAGTTCAAAAAGAGACAGTAAAATAAGAAAAAAAAAATGCGAAAAGAGATTTTGTTCAATAGGAAAATTTGTCATAAAATCCTTGTCGAGGTCATTGGAAAGGAAAAAAAAGGGGAACGGATATGGAGAGTATTGGGGAAAACGAGGGTTGCAACTCAAAGAATGAATGGGTTATCTTGTGATTTTGATGCTTTAGAATTTGAAGTCCGGATTGTCTTCTGTTTCAACTAGCACAACTGACTATGAACTCAAAACCGGAAAGCGCTAGAGTAGGTCTTCTTTAATGTCGTTTTCTATTAGGTTTGAGAGATTACCGCAATCTATCTCTTAACTTGATAGCTTGATAACAAAGTAGACTTGAGCTATAGATTACGGTAGCTATCTACCGTAATCTATAGCTCAAGTCTACTTTTGTGGCATTCTATGAGAGTCACACTTAAAGATAAGGTTAGAAAACGAAAGGCAAATCCTCTAGTAAGTAGGTTAAATTGTACAGAGTTGGAAATAGGATCAAAAAGCTTGGGCGCTGCCAGGGGTCGAACCCGCGACCCTCCGTCTACCTGGCAACTATGCTAACCATTCGACCACAACGCACTTGATCTCTCGGACTCCAGAGGGGGTTAACTACCCTCCTCTCTGGACGAGACGGTTCCACACGATTTATAGGCCTGGGCTGCGCTAGAAACTATGTATGAAGACCTTAGCAAGCATTGCAGAGCCTAACCTTCGTAGCCAGTTGGAACTAGGGCAGATCAAAAATTTGTGCGCCACTAGGACTCGACCCTAGATCTTTCGCCTATGGGGCAATTGTGCTAACCATTCGACCACAACGCACCTAATCTCCCTCACTCCAGAGGGAGTTAACTACCCTCCTCTCTGGACGAGACGGTTCCACACGATTCATAGGCCTGGGCTGCGCTCGAAACTAGGTATGAAGGACCTTAGCCACCATTGCAGAGCCCATGCCTTCCGCGTTCGCTAGTTGAAACTAGGATAGGTCAAAAACTTGTGCGCCGCCGGCACTCGAACCCGCGACCTTTCGCTTACCGGGCAAATGTGCTAACCATTACACCACAACGCAGTCGATCTCCCTTACTCCAGAGGGAGTTAACTACAGCAAAAACTCAAAACTTTGATTCAAAAAACTTTTTCTGAAGTTTTTTTAATGGTTCCATGTTCATCGAGTTCAAAAGGAATCAGTAAAAATCGAATTCGAATGCAGAAATCGAGTGCTCTCCTTTTTTGGTCAATGTATTTTTCTATAAATCGCTTATTAGGCTCTTCAGAAAGTGTTTATGGCTTAATTTTCATCTTTTTAAGTCGATTTTGGTTCACTTTCGAGCAAATTCGAGCGTGAAAACCTCTACGAAGAAATTGGCTGAATGAATTTCTCGGAAAATTTCGCTATATACAGGACTTTTTATGCTTTATGCTCTATCTTTGATCTATTTACACGAAGCTAGATTTTCTTAGCTAAAATGTGTCTGAAGCGCCTCATTTTCCGTTACTTTCTAACTTTTTTTTGCTCTATCTATCGCCCTTTTTGACTACCCGACTTTATGCTTCCAAAAAAATTCAAAAATAAACCATTTTAAATCTGTTTTAATGTTATTTTAAAGAAATATAATTGGCTTTTTTAATGAAACAAACAAAAGTTGAATTGATGAATTTGTGAATTGATTTTAAACGGAATTACAAAGGGGCAAAGACTTTCTAAACAGCCTAAAAACCTCTACCGTCATCAAATTGCATTAAAACCGACACAAAGTTAAGTTTCTTTTTGGCGTCACTTTTCCTTTATTAATGTAAAATATTTGCTTAATCAATTAGCTTTTATTCGCATCAATTTACAACAATATCTTGTCGATAATATTCTCGTATCGCATGGTTGTAGAAACACGATTTAATCGTCTCAAAGTGCGGTAAACATTTGAGATGAGACGGACTGATTTTATCAAAAGAAAGCTCTTCCTAGAAATGAAAGATTTTAGCCTCAAAGTACTGTAATTGAACGAACTTGGTCACAAAAAGTCAAACATTCAGCATCAACTCCGGCATTGACACAACACGATGAGTGATCAGCTCCAAACGCCGCACAATGAAACATTGAACCGAGATTGACGGGAGAGCATTGAGATGAAAGGAAAAAGATTGAAGATATCTAGAAAATCTTGAGATTTTTATATACAGTATTTTCTTTAATAGTAGTGCACCCTGAGCGTCGTCTAAATCCCTCGAAATCTCGAGAACCGCTTATCAGAACCTATCGATGTGGAGTCGGAAAATGTAGCTGACGATGAGATCTAGTGGGGGATTAGAGTGTTGAGCTTCTGCAAAAGCTTTGAAACCGTAAAATAGTCATCAACTTGGCTCGCCGCGGTGCATTACTATTAGAGAAAATACGGTATTGAAAATCTTATTATCTAGAGTTACCGTATTTTCTCTAATAGTAGTGCACCATGAGTGTCGTCTAAATTCCTTGAAATCTCGAGAACGGCTTATCAGAACCTATCGATGTGGGGTCGGAAAATGTAGCTGACGATGAGATCTAGTGGGGGATTAGAGTGTTGGAGCTTCTGCAAAAGCTTGGAAACCGTAAAATCGTCATCAACTCGGCTCGGCCGGGTGCATTACTATTAGAGAAAATACGGTAAATTGGATAAAACCTCTTGTTTGTTGAAACTCTCGAAAGTGCAAATGGGAAGACACGAGTCACCGACAGCCAAAGATTGGCAACAAGAAAGGAAACGAGCGTCTGGATTCTAGAAATTCGATTCAACAAAGCATTTCTAGTTTCTTCTGATCATTTACAGTATTTTATTACCTAAATTTACTGTAGCAATCAATTTCTCAACCTTTTTGACGACAAAACTAGCAAAAGCGTCGAGTTTTTTTTGCGTCAAAATCCTTTGCGCCAAATTTACGCTTATGAAAATCATTATGACAAACTTTTAACCAACAAAACCAAGAAATTTCACTTTTCTCCAACTTCTAATCAACGTTTTTCTTGAGGGTTTTACCTTCAGAATTTTAGTTTTCACTGTTTTCAATTAGAAAACATGTTTAAATACATGTTTAATTACTTATAGACCTCAAAAACAGTCATTTTTGAGTACCAGATTTGGCTTTTTACTAGCTATACTCGTTTTACTCTCGCTTTTTACTCTTTTTTTTACTCTTTTTTACACTTTTTTACTCTTTTTACTAGATTTTATGCTATTTTCGGATCCAGTAAAGACAGCAAAATAGCGAGAAAGACAAAGAAAATTGAAAAAAAATATAAATGCTCAATCAAAGTTGGTAGGAAAGTGGGTTGAAAAGCGTAAATTTAACGCAAATAATTTGATGCTTTTGCTAGCACCTCTGAAATTATGATTTACTCAATGAATCAACTTACGATGGGTGAACTGGTCGCTATTGGATTTCCCTGAAATGTTTTCACTCCATGATGAGCCATCGTTTGAAGACAACCCTTTGGTGTACAAGTCTTTGGTGGCTCACACCCGCTTCCGCACGGTCCAACCTTGGAAATTGGTAATTAGCAAATTTCACCATATACTAACCTGATTTGACTGTTGTTTCGCGCAAGTGCCAAAGAGGCAAGCCGCTGGTGGAGCCGGAGTACAATTAGTACCGAATGGGCAAGTGGGAAGTGCTAGCATACACTGGAAATTGAGCATAATATTGAAAATCTAGCATTTTCTGTTTCTCGCTAATGAAATCAGCCGAAATAGTGATTTGGGGCTGCTTTAGATCCTAAACAAGGTCTAAATTAGGTCTAAACTTCCGATAAAGTAATTTTGAAAATATTTTCCAAGGCTTTCCGGCTTTTTAAAACATTTCTCGAGACTTTGATCCCTCTTTTAGCTTAGCTAAACCCTTTTCAAAGCAAAATATCATTTCTCTTTTCTTTTTTGATAATTCTCTCTGGTACTTGTCGGTGATAGATTCAGAGACTCAACTCTGCTAAGCAAGGAGCTGACAACTTGATATTGGTACTCGGTACTTGTCCGTGATACATTCACAGAGACTCAACTCGGTTAAGTAAGGAGCTGATAACTTGATATTGGTACTCGGTACTTGTCGGTGATACATTCAGAGACTCATCTCGACTAAGCAAGAAGCTGACAACTTTTGAGCGGTGATTATGTTCAGTGAAGTAGAATGATCTCTTTAAGTTCAGTTCAGTGAAGTAGAGTGCTCGCTTGAAGTGATCAGTCGATCAGTCGAACGAAAATCGATAACCGAGAGATTCGGATGGAGATGCTTAACGGAGATGAGTCTCTGTGGATTTATAACCAACAAGTACCTTTTCTCTTTTAACTTACCCCTTTTACAGAATAAATAGCGATCAGTAACTGAAATATCTTCAACAAACAGGTCATAAGCCTAGTAATCAGCGATTGATCATGAAAAAATAGTGCTGAATGGTATCTAGAATAGATTTGTGAAGATCTAAAATACAAATCTGTCTGCTGGAACTACTAGATTACTAGATTCCCCATTTTGGAGGTTTTTCCAGATTCGAGAAGAATCTGGATTGTATTGTTGAGTGAAAAGAGCCGCATATTTGCGGAGTGTCCCTTTCTTTGCTCAAATAAAAACCTCTTTTGCTCTTTTCTCCGATGACTGGACACGAAGAAAGTTTCCATTTTTCGATGTGTTCGACCTTTGAAATGCGCGAAAAACTGGCGGATTTCTTTGAGCTTTTTCATTCAGAGATTTTCACCTCCTCAATGTCAATAGTCCGTGAGAAGGGAAATATTCAAATCCATTTTTTTTCACTTTCTTACTGACCAGAGTTTTGAGAAAGGAATTCAACTGACTCTATCAAAGATTTTGAATAAAATTTAGATAATTCTCGGTATATTGGGTTGGTGAATTGAAAACTGCCGGATTTTGAACTAAAATTTATTCAACATAAAACCATCAATTCATTCCAAATAATGTCCATTATTATTGACGACTTTTGCCCATTTTACAGGCAATTTGCGGATTCCTCTTTCGTAGTAGGATTTTGGTTTGTGTGTGAGACAAGTGTGAGACTCAAAAATGGAGGACTGGAGATGTCCCTAGAGGACGTTTGAGCACTTTCTTCAAAAGAAACCCATTTTGGTGTCAATAGAAAAGTTGTAGAGAATTAAAAATGAGGCTTATAGCCAAATTTCCAAAAAGATACACTTAGTAGTTTCGCTTAAAATGAAAGTTTTGTGAAAATTCGTAAATTTGGCATTTCTTGAATCGTTCTGAAAATTGGGATATAAGTTTAATTTTTGATTCTCTACAACTTTTCCATTGTCACCAAAATGGGTTTCTTTTGAAGAAAGTGCTCAAACTGTCACATATGACAATAGCCCGCAGTTTTCAATTCACCGACCCAATAGATTGAGATTAGCCTTGATTTGAGGAGAAGTCAATGTCCAATTTGAGGATTCGGAGCCGGCCAGAATAGTTTAGGAAATAGGGAGGGAAAGGGGTTGTGTGAAAGCCCTGCGCCAGGCGACGAGCGATTACGCGGCCATACAAAGATCACACAAATTTTAAACTACTAAGGTTATCTTTTAAACTACTAGTTTTGATTCTCTACAACTTTTCCATTGACACCAAAATGGGTTTCTTTTGAAGAAAGTGCTCCAACTGTCACATATGACAATAGCCCGCAGTTTTCAACTCACCAACCCAATAGATTCAAGGTTTTCAATTTCAGAATTGCTCTAACGTCACTCAAAATTCCATTTAGTGAGATTGAATTCGAAAAAAAAAGAAAGTCCACGTTCACTTTGATGTCAGTCGGATCGATCGTTTTTTTTTTGTCGATCACAATTGTTCCGCGTTTGGTGCCTGTATGTGGGGGAAACCCATTATGAGGAGCTTATTCTCCCCACGCCAACGTCGTTTCCCAAAAACCTATCCCTCCAACAAACTTCGCAAAAAAACGGGAAAAATAGCTGACAATTCGGTAATCGAATCTCATTTTTGCCAAATCATCATCAGATTTGGTCATCGAGTGGCCGAGAATGACTTCGTTTTTGCCATTTCTTCGGATCATCATCCAGTTTTGCTTTTTGTTTCTCTACTTCCGAGCGTTTGCGGACGCACAATGGGTGCCAGCTAATGGACAAAAGGCTTGTTTCTTGAATGAGATAATTATGAAGACAAATGCTTTCTAAAATGCCAATTATAATGATAAATTCTTTCTAAAAGGACAATTATACTGACAACTGCTTTCTAAAATGTGTCAACTGTCAGCTAACATAACCCTAGATATTCTGGAACCTGAAAACTTGCAAAAAGCGATAAGCAAAAGGTTTTAGAGACTTAAAGATAGATTGGCTCAAACAAGAACTACTACGACACTCGATTCGTACATTCGACGGTATTTTTCCGTAAACTCCCGTAGTCCTAACTGTTTTACTGATAATTTAGTGTAGATTCAAAGATAAACAAAGCTATTATAGTCATTCGATAGCTCTGAATCTGTTCTTGAAAACTAGTACAAAGCTACCGAGCCTTCAACGAAATGAGCTTCAACGAAAAGATTGATTTTTCGACAAACTATCGTAATCTCTTTATTTTTCTATAATTTTGTTAAGATTACGGTAGTTTTGAGAAATAAATTTCACGATTTAACTAAACTTTTCAGTATTTCGAGATCGGAATCGCTGAGAACAGCAAGACGCCGCAGAATTGCCTCAATGTGAAATACCCAAACTACATCTTTCAACAATCGTTTGTTTTAACGAATCCTTACAATTGTTTAAAGATTTAAACTCTAAAGTCCTTTTTTTTTTCATTGAGTAAACGAAAAGTTTCAGCATCTCGAACGCGGCACAACTTTGGGGAACCGTCCAGCTATCAGTGAGTTTAAAGGGTTTAAGTTTCATTTATCTTCACTTTCTAAACGTGAACACTTTCTACTTTTAAGCTTTTGAGTAGATTTAAAACTGTGATTGTCTTTTTCAGTTAAGTGTTTCGATTCCCGACCAAGAGATCGTCGTTTGGGTCTCTGGCCCGTCAAGTATCAGCGGTTTTGCCGGTATTTCTGGCGGAAGTAACACTGTCAAAAGTCAGGTAGAATTCAGCTAATAGTAAGTGTGTTTTTGAAGCTTTCTATCGTTTTGTGATAAATATAGATCTGTTATGCTATAGAGATCTGTTATGCTATAGATCTGTTATGCTATGGATCTGTTATGCTATAGATCTGTTATGCTATGGATCTGTTATGCTATAGATCTGTTATGCTATAGATCTGTTATGCTATGGATCTGTTATGCTATAGATCTGTTATGCTATAGATCTGTTATGGTATAGAGATCTGTTATGCTATAGATCTGTTATGCTATAGATCTGTTATGGTATAGAGATCTGTTATGCTATAGATCTGTTATGGTATAGAGATCTGTTATGCTATAGATCTGTTATGCTATAGATCTGTTATGCTATAGATCTGTTATAGTATAGAGATCTGTTATGCTATAGATCTGTTATGATATAGAGATCTGTTATGCTATAGATCTGTTATGCTATAGATCTGTTATGGTATAGAGATCTGTTATGCTATAGATCTGTTATGCTATAGATCTGTTATGGTATAGAGATCTGTTATGCTATAGATCTGTTATGCTATAGATCTGTTATGGTATAGAGATCTGTTATGCTATAGATCTGTTATGCTATGGATCTGTTATGCTATAGATCTGTTATGGTATAGAGATCTGTTATGCTATAGATCTGTTATGCTATGGATCTGTTATGCTATAGATCTGTTATGGTATAGAGATCTGTTATGCTATAGATCTGTTATGCTATGGATCTGTTATGCTATAGATCTGTTATGGTATAGAGATCTGTTATGCTATAGATCTGTTATGCTATAGATCTGTTATGGTATAGAGATCTGTTATGCTATAGATCTGTTATGCTATGGATCTGTTATGCTATAGATCTGTTATGGTATAGAGATCTGTTATGCTATAGATCTGTTATGCTATAGATCTGTTATGGTATAGAGATCTGTTATGCTATAGATCTGTTATGCTATAGATCTGTTATAGTATAGAGATCTGTTATGCTATAGATCTGTTATGATATAGAGATCTGTTATGCTATAGATCTGTTATGCTATAGATCTGTTATGGTATAGAGATCTGTTATGCTATAGATCTGTTATGCTATAGATCTGTTATGGTATAGAGATCTGTTATGCTATAGATCTGTTATGCTATAGATCTGTTATGGTATAGAGATCTGTTATGCTATAGATCTGTTATGATATAGAGATCTGTTATGCTATAGATCTGCTATGCTATAGATCTTTTATGCTAATGAATTCAAATAATAATTTAAATTGACTACAAAACAAGATCAACCAAGATCAAGACCAAGATTGGCTTTATATCCAAAAATCTTTTAAATAAAAAACTTGCTTTTGATAATAAAAATCAATAATTGAAGAACTCGAAAGTTTTGTTGAACAATTCTTTTTTTCTAGCGTTTGATTCCCTGGTCTCTGGGCGGTGGATATACGATGGGAGACAGTTTACTTGAAGGTTTTACAGCCACATGGTACTATGGATTCAGGTTCATGAAAAGGCAATTCCATTGAGAAATTCCATTTTACAGAAGTTTCCTAAAAGAAGTCTGGGCCGAGTACTGTGACTTCAAAATTGTGGTTAGTTTTGAGGGAAACGCTGGGATTAGACATGAGCTAAACACGAGCTAAACACGAGCTAAACACGAGCTAAACACGAGCTAAACACGAGCTAAACACGAGCTAAACACGAGCTAAACACGAGCCAAACACGAGCTAAACACGAGCCTTTCCACGATTCACTCCCACGTTTTAGTAAAAACTCTTGTTTTCCAAAGCTTAAATACAACGCTATTTCGAGCTTTAGAAAACAAGAGAGAACAAGAGTTTTCTAAAAAGTTCGATTGACTCGTTTTTTACGAAAGTCTCATTTATAGCTGGGATGTTCCAGAGTCATAGAGGCTGTAAGTCAGATCAGACCAGAGTCGATCGGCAGTCAGCCTTGCAGGACAGCCTAGAGCTCGGTCAAAAACCATACATGAAATGAAACCAAGCCAAAACCAAGCCAACATCTAACTTCTGGTCTGATCTAGACACGGGAAAATGCCTGAAATATGACTCAAAAACAAACCCAAAACTTTCCTTCAGTTCGCCGGGCACTCAGTTGGTGCGTGCGTGTCGCAAATGTTGGCCTACGTGACGGTGCGTGGAGAATACTGGGAAAAAGATCTTGTCTCATATTATGGATACGGAGCGCCGAGATGTGGAGATCAGGTGAGCCAGGCTTCACAAAAAGTATTCTATTCTCAAAGGATTACGCCGCTGTTTTCGATCAAACCGTCCCAAACGCATATCGCATCAACTGGAACTCGGACCCCGTCGTTGTAAGTGAAACAAGCAAAGCTTGAACATTGACAATTCTTAATTGAAATCTTAATCCTTTCAAGCCAAATATAGCATTTTGCTAATTTTGCCCAAAATTGCACAACTTTGGTAAGCCCTTGGACAAAGAAATCCGAGAAGTGAAGAGCTTCGTTCTCTCGAGGAGCGAGAGAACAGCTAAAATCTAGAATCTAAAAGAAACAGATCTAGAAACAGAGAAAAAAATGAATGCAGATAGATCAAAAAGCTCGCGAGGACTCGAACCCTCGACCCTCCGCCTACCGGGCAACTGTGCTAGCTATTACACCACAACGCACCTAATCCCCCTACTCCAGAGGGAGTTAACTATGCAAAAGACAAGCACTTTTTTGACCAGAAAAGAAATCTTAAAATCTTAAATCAAATTTCCAGAACTTAGCCGCGAATTCGTGCCCACGAGAAGTCGACCCGGTGCTCGGAGCGAATCCCTCGTGCTGGTTCCATTGTTGTGTAAGTTTTTCCAAGTTTTTGAACGATTTCGATGCTTTTGAATTTCTAAAAACTCATTCTAACTATCTTCCTGATCATTTTACATTTAAGGGAGTTGATATTTGAGGCTTTAAAGGAAAATTCTTTGCAGACAGCCATCAAGTACAGCTCTGGCGGCGCTCCGGGAACCCCGTGCACGATTGATGACAGTGCGACGTGCACAAGCGGTTTGTTGATTTAGAAAAAATGAAATTGAATTTATTAAGGTCAAAATAGAAAAAATTTTTGGGGATTTATCCCAATTTTGTCGAAAATCTTTGATAGAATCTGTCGAATTGCTGAATTTGAATCGCTTGAACATGGGGCTTTTTTTTCGATAAAGTAGAGCTTTTAAAATAGGTAATTTTACGCTATTTTACGCTTTTTACGCTATTTTATTGGGTTGGGGAGAATGAGTCGGCGCCAAACTTTAAAGGGACTTTTTGCACACATAAAGCCTTCTTTAAACATACGTTTGGTTTCATCAAAAGGATCCACTATTTCTCTACAAAATCACTTTTGAGAGATTCCACAAAGCTTTTCTTTCGTGGAGTTTATGAACTTCCAAACGCAGCTGGTTAAAATGGCAAAGAGTCCGACTCATCATTTGAACAGTTTCTTTCACATAAACCTTCTTTGGTGTTTATATAAAAAAGATAGAGCACATTCAATTACTTAAGTTGCCAAATTTGCAGGAAGATCCCACCAATGGTTTTTTCTAGATCACAGTTTGTAGTTTTTGTGAAAAAATGGCTTTTTCTTGAGCGGAGGCGCTGTTTGAATTTTCTTTTAAATGTCATTTTGTAGAGAATTAGTTAACCATTCTACTGATATCAAACGCATATTATTTGACGAAGTCTGCTGGAAGTTTTAGACATTTTTTTGATTTTCGGCGCCGACTCATTCTCCCCAACCCAATATTTATATTTGACGCTATTTTACGCTTTTTACGCTATTTTACGCTATTTTACGCTATTTTACGCTATTTTAGGCTATTTTACGCTTTTTACGCTATTTTACGCTATTTTACGCTATTTTACGCTATTTTAGGCTATTTTACGCTATTTTACGCTTTTGACGCTATTTTACGCTATTTTACGCCATTTTTAGCGCTAAAAACCTACAATTCTCGTCAATTAAACTTATCAAATACAAAGATTAACCAAAAACAAAAGAAAATAAATAAATATTGATTTTTCTAATCGAAACCAAAGCTTTTCCAGGTGGCAATCAACTGTTCAACTCGGGTGATCACACCGCCTATTACGGTGTCACATCCGCCAACTCCTACAATCCGAACACGCTAACTTGTTAAAAGGGAAAAACCAAAGCATTTTTTACCAAAAATAAATACTTTCTGTGGAGATTTTGGCTTAAAATTTGCTCAAAATATGCTCAAAATTAGCTCAAAATTGACGATTTGCTCGGCAATGGGAAAATCCGTTAGATCAAAGTTTTCAACCATCGCAAAACGAAAAAAAAATCGACTCAATGCTCGTTGTTCATTTCTTTTTTGAGTTAGTGAATACAAAAATTGAATCCCGATCGAGTGAATAGAATTTTGAACACAAAAATGAACACACCAAAAATTACTGGTGCCTAGCGCGAGAATAGAAAAGAAAGGTTTCTGATTGAACATGAAATCAATCTCTCTTTACGAATCAAATTCTCCGTAACGGCACCCGTCAAATTGAATTGAACAAAAAAAACTCCACAATGAATTTCCCATTTCAATTTTCTAGCTTAATTTTTCAATTCTTTGACTTTTAACCTAAAATCTTTCAAAAGCTGGATTTTTCGACGTGGTTTATCTCAAGAAATATATGGATAAGGATTTCGTATTCTTTATCCGGTAATAACAGCTAAAATTTCCTTTTTCAATGGATTCTTTTCCTTTTAGTTCCATGTCTCATATTAAATCTCTTTGGGTTATTTGTGATTTTCAAGAAATCCCCAATGGAAATGAGAACTGTTTCTTATTGTATTGCGTATTGGGTGGTGAGTTGTTTTTGTTGGGAAGCTGTGACTCAAGGGAAACTCAAAGTGGTTTTCTATAAGATTCACTTTAGAAAAAGGTATCGTTTCCCGGATTTCTTAGAATTTAAGCCAAGCTCTAAACTGGATTTATTCAATTGGTCTTGAGTCGTAGGTTGTTTTTGTTTGTTTCATAGGTTGTTTTTGCTAGATTTTTAAAGGTTTTCAATCACCGGCTAATGGAGTATCTACTAGATAAAATAAAATAACAATTAAGCTTTCAAAACTCGGTCGGAGTCGCGCTAGGGGGTCGAACCCGGATCGTGTGGGCCCTAGACGGCCGACCTCCCGACTGCGCCACCGCCTCTTCTGAAAAAAAACAGCATGAAAAACCCGTCGCCGTTATGGATTATTTAAATGGGCTTTTGGCTGGTTCTATAATAAATGGAGTTCAGAAAATTCTAATTGGAGTTTGGGAAACTTTTCCAACCGTTTCCCAAACCCATTTCCACATATCCATCCTTCAAATTCCAGGCAATCGCTTCTCTCTTTGATCTTTTCATCAAGTTAATTGGTGGCTCCTACTATGATTACTTTGATGACCACGTTGTCGCTCGTTTCAATGGAATCATGACTTTCTTGGAAATCGATCTTCGCATCCAAATGGTCGATAAGAATTTTTGATTAATTTTATTGTTTAAAGGGGGTTCTCATTGTCGTAATCAGCCAGGTGGCGCTGAGCTGTGTGGGTCTTTTTCTTGGTGCTCTTGGGAAAATTTTGCCTCTAACCTCACCGTTTCGGTATTATTATTGGTGAGTTTTTTTTGTACCTAATTACAATATTCTTGGATAAGCTACGTAAACTTTGGCTTAAAATTTGACTAAGTTAGCGTAAAGTGATCGGAATCGGTTGATCAAAAGTTGAGTTGAGCAAAATCACAGTAAGCCTTAGCTTATAAGTTGGATAAGTTATTATTAGATTAAAATTTGTAATGATAGATGATAGTTATCCGAATTTTCTCTAATAGTAGTGCACCCCGGCGAACCGAGTTGGTGAATATTTTATGGTTTCCAAGCTTTCGCAGAAGCTCAACACTCTAATCCCTCGCAAGATCTCATCGTCAGCTACATTTTCCGACCCCACATCAATAGGTTCTGATAAGCGGTTCTCGAGATTTCGAGGGATTAAGGCGAAGCTTAGGGTGCACTACTAGGGAAATACGAAAGTAGCAAATAGTTCTTAAAAAAATTAGCTGATAACAGTTTTAAATCGATTGTACGGGTGAATTTGGATCGATTTCTGTGATTGTTATTTTCCCTAAGTAGTGCACGCCGAGTTGATGACGATTTTACGGTTTCCAAATTTTCACAGAAGCTCAACACTCTAATCCCCCACTAGATCTCATCGTCAGCTACATTTTCCGGCCGACATCGATAGATTCTGATAAGCGGTTCTCGAGATTTCAAGGAATTTAGACGAAGCTTAGGGTGCACTACTATTAGAGAAAACACTGTATTCGAATTTGTAAATGGCATGCTCCATCTTTTAAACGTTTCAAAACCTGCCTTTATCTACAATTTTAGGTTTGGCTTCACAAGTGCCCTGCTATCATGCTTTACTTTTTGTGCATCATCCTGTTATTTTTCTTTGTCAACAGTACGTGAACCCAAAAGAAAAGCCTCTTTAACCACAATTTCAGCAAAACTTTGTCACTTACGCTCCAGCGTTGAAGCTAATGTTCTTCAATCACAACGAGTTATACTTTTTCGGGATGATTTGGGTGTATGCATTGATTGCTTATTTGATCGTGATTGGTGCACTAATCACAGAGAAACGATATTTCAAAGGAATCAGCGGGCAAATCAGTGAAAAAACAAAGCAACGACAACACGCGTATATGAGAAAATCGATTATACAGGTAAAAAACGAAATTTTCGGTCGATCATAATAAATTTTTTTTTAAAAAATTTAAAAAAAATTAGGGGTTAGGTGAATAGGTAAGGGGGGGGGGGGGGGGAAGAATTTGATAAGAAAATTATTGATCGTTTCTATAATTATTGACCGCTATCTGGTAATTTTTTAAAAACTTGTCTATGAAGAGAAATTTTATTCTAAAACAATGAAAATAATGCACAAAAACAAAGCAAATACTCGTTTTTGGCCTTTTTTCCTCGAATGAACTTCTGAAGACTATTTGGAAAAAAAATCAAGCTTCAATCTTCATCAAAATCTCCATCTTTCGATTAAAATTGAAATTCAAATCACTTCAAAACTTTATTTCAGCCATTTTTTAATTGAAAAAGATCATCTTTAGCTTAATTTTTTGAAAAGAAAAGAAAAAGATTCACATTTTTGAGGCCAATCTTCCATTTGGATCCTTTGAACTCTGACGCAAAGGCAATCTGTTCGATTTTGCAACCTCTTTAGAAGCTTTATTTTACTAAATTAAAACAAAGATCTTTCCTAATAGATTTCCATGGCCCCGAGGGATTATCAGCGGCCCCATTTTTTCAAAGAGATTAACGGCGGCCCAAGGTTATTGGCGGCCTACTACTTCTGAAGTTTTTCACACATTTAACCGATAACATTTAGGCCTTGTAAACCAACGTAACATTTACACAAATATTTCTCACACATTTACGAAAAATGGGGCCGCCGATAATCCCCTGGGGCCGCCGATAAACCTCTGGGGCTGCCGATAAACCCCTGGGGCCGCTGATAAACCCCTGGGGCCGCCGATAATCCCCTGGGGCTGCCGATAATCCCCTGGGGCCGCCGATTGACCCCTGGGGCCGCCGATAATCCCCTGGGGCCGCCGATAAACCCCTGGGGCCGCCGATAAACCCCTGGGGCCACCGCTATTAGGAAAGGTCCCAAAGAAATATTAAAATCACTTAATTAAATGAATAGAATATGTAAAAACTTTACTGCTAATAATCCAAACTCTTTTTAGACTTGTATCCCCTTTTTCACCTTGATTCCGATCTTCTCAATCACCGGCTACTTGCAAATCACGCAGAATGATCAAATGGAATACTGTAAGTACTTAGTTTAAGTTTCTAAGTGGTCGAATGATAAGAAAGTTATCGCTACTGATGAGGGATAAGGTCCCAAAGAACTATTGAAGCATGAAGTCATGAGGTCCCTAAGCATGAATATCCCTTTGGGATATTCATGCAAAGACATGTCCCGTGCTGTTTTCGAAAATCATCGTAATTCTGTCTGTTATATCTCAGGAAGGATCTCAGAAAGATACACAAAATGAATAGATGATAACTAGATAAAAACTAGCTTGATGATTACGGTAATTTTCAAAAGTTGCCCTCTTTCAGAAAAGAAATCAGTCGAAATACTGTAATCTTGCCAGCTTAAAAGTCGATAAAGTGATAAAAGTAGAGACAAGATTACGGTAGCTTTTAGCTGAAACCTTTTAGAAAAGCTTTACCGATTTCCAGTGGCAATTATTGGCAGCACGATCATGAGTTTTTATGGAAATGCCACTGTTGTCACCACTTTTCTCCTTTATCAACCATTTTACGATTATTTACGAAGTTTCATCTGTAAAAATTCAAAACGGCGAATGACGTTGAGCTCTGTGTTTGAGAATTGAATAAAAAAAGCCTTCTGCGATTTCTGAAAACTATTTTTACAATAAAAACACAAAACATAATCATCAAACAATGATTTTTGAATAAAAAGACTTCACTCGAGTAATTGTATTCTTGAAATCTTGGAAAATTGGAATCCTCAAGCTTTTACAATCAGATTTTTGTTTATTTACTGATTTCTTTCTTTACTTACTTCTTTCCTTACTACTTTCCTTACTACTTTCCTTACTACTTTCCTTCTTTACCTACTTCTTTACCTACTTCTTTACCTACTTCTTTACTTACTTCCTTGCTTACTTCTTTACTTAATTCTTTACTTACTTCTCTACTTACAGTGCACTACTAGGGAAAATACGAAAATAGCAAATAGTTCTTAAAAAAATTAGCTGATAACTTTTAAAGTTTTAAAGGCCGTTTAGACTTTCATCCTATTGCTTACTCTGATCTCAGTCTTTTCCATTGCCGGCTACTTGCAAATAACTCAAAACAATCAATTGCAATACTGTAAATCCTACTTTTCCTCATGAAATTTGAAAACTTTTGATTTCAGTAACAATTTTTAGCATGTTGATCATGAGTTTTTATAAAAATTTCGCTGTTATCACTACTTTTATCCACTATCACCTATATTATTCATATTTCTGGAGTTTTTTTCTACCAAAATCCTATCGAGAATGGTGTTGAGCTCACTGTGAATTGATAAAAAGTTAAATGTTTAGTTAAATGTTCTAAATAAACTTCATGGAAAGTTTGAAAAGTCAACTTTTTGCTTGAGGTTTTCAATTTTGACTTCAATTTTAACTTCAATTTGACAATTTGAACAATTCCTACCCATTTTGGCTCTTGAAAACTTTCCACAAATGCAAAGCAAGCTGCAAAAAAGGGAACTGAATTTGTTTTGTGATTGACGTAGCCTAGATTTCGCCCTGATTTCGCCCTGATTTCCCTTTCCATTTCCTTTTCATTCTCTCTTTTCTCTCAAATCAATCAACGAGATGACCTAATTTCCCTTTTTCCGATCACTGATTCGCAGAATAAGACGGGAGAAACGAGACTAATCATTTCATTCGAATCTCTAAAACAATTTTCGTAATTATTTATATTACTTGTGCTAAATTAAGGGCTAAGATTTCGAGCAAGTCTTGAAAAAAAACTCTAAATCAATTTTATCTTGAATCATCTTCAACCTAAATCATTAATTTTGCATTATTTTTATCTATTTCAACCATATAATTGCAATTTTTATACTCAAAGTTTCAAGAAATCGTTTTTGAGTTTTTGAGAAATCGTTTTTGAGTTTAAAATAAGGCTTTCTCTGACTTCAAAGCTTCCGCTTTATAATTTTGAGTGTTAGCTGAGCTGCTTGTTCGCTGAGCTGCTTGTTCGCTGAGCTGCTTGTTCGCTGAGCTGCTTGTTCGCTGAGCTGCTTGTTAGCTGAGCTGCTTGTTAGCTGAGCTGCTTGTTAGCTGAGCTGCTTGTTAGCTGAGCTGCTTGTTAGCTGAGCTGCTTGTTAGCCTTGTTGAATTGTTTTTTATTCACTCTCACCAATTTCCAGATGGACGAGGATCCACCAAAGAAAAGTCTCCGTCAAGCGGCTTTTGTCTCTGTGGCCTTTGCAACAATCTCGGTCCTTTCGTGTGTAATCACCCTTCCACTTGCCTACAATCATGTGCGCAGTGTGCACAGCTTCATGCACAATGAAGTCGAGTTCTGCAAGGTAACAGATGACAATTTCATTTCCAAATTCATTTCAGACTCGATCTCGAGACATGTGGAAAGAGATGGTCACCATGCAAGCCATTGCCGGAGTCCCGCGTAACAAGAGAGAAGCCTATGACGCTAATCCACTCGAAAACAATGCTGCCGTTGCTTCGGCTCCGGGATCGTGTTGCTCTTGCCAAAAGGGACCTCCAGGACCACCCGGCCCACCTGGAAGAGACGGAAGACCAGGGTAAAGACTTTGCTTTGCATTTGAGCTAAAGATAATCATGTTGTCAAACATGTTATCTATTTATAATCTAGAGAATTTGAGGTTAAAATGCAAGGACTTGTTATTTCTTGTCACCTTGTACTTGTGTCACATCTGTACTTCAAAAAACCATGATTTCTAGAGCTCCTGGACGACCTGGGAATCCTGGACCTCCAGGACGGGATGGAACCCTCCTCCCCGGTCCTCCACCTAAGCCTCCATGCCAGAAATGTCCTCCTGGACCTCCTGGACCCCCTGGCCCACCCGGACCTAAAGGATTGCCCGGACCACAGGGTGATGCTGGAACTCCTGGCCATGATGGAATCCCTGGAATGGCTGGACCACCTGGACCTTCAGGCCCACAGGGCCCACCCGGAGTCCCTGGAGACAAGGGACCGCCCGGAGAGCCCGGAAAGGTGATCAATGGAGCTCCACAAGGACCACCCGGGCCACCAGGTCCACCGGGACCTCAAGGACCGCCTGGAGCTCCTGGAAAAGATGGACAACCTGGAAAAGCTGGCCCATCTGGACCCCCAGGAGATGCTGGTGAGAAGGGAGCTGACGGACTGCCTGGGCCACATGGGCCACCTGGGCCTCGAGGTAGGGGACTTTGCTGTTGAAATGGGTTTAAAAGCTAATTTCCAGGTCCACCTGGTCAACCAGGGTCTTGTGATCATTGTCCTCCCCCAAGAACCGGACCTGGATACAGAAGGAAATGAATTATTGACTAGATTTTGTTTGTTTCAATAAACTCTATTCAAACAACACACTGCAAACTTTGACAAAACATGCTCTAACATTTAAACGTTCAAATGTTATACGTTCAAATGCAAAGTCGACGCTTACAAGGCGAACAAAATGACGAAAATAATTGCGAGCAAATGAAATTTTCTCTCAAAACAAGAGGAAACTTTGATTCAGAGTTTTTGGCGGTTTCATTTCTCTCAAAAATGAATTTCTCAACTTGGTTTCAACAGCAATACTTTATCGTTCAGTTATGCTATTGTTTATCGAGTGAGTTAGCTTTTGAAGTAGAGTTGGGTAATTAAGCCAGCCAGCTAGGTCAAATTTTGACCAATTTTGATCAATTTTGACCAATTTTGATCAATCTTTTGAGAAGCTCAAAGCCAACTTTAGTACCATGTCTTTTGTTAAACATTTTTGGAATTTATGTGATTCTCTACAAAGCGCCGATTGAAATGCGGAAAATGAGCCAAGTGATCACTTATTGGGTGGTGAGATTTTCGAGAATTTCTTGCTAGTTTTAGTTCTAGCCATTGGGTTGGTGAGTTGAAAACTGAGGGACTTTGAACTGAAATTTATTCAACATAAAACCATGAATTCATTCCAAATAATTTCCATTATTATTGACGACTTCTGCCCATTTTACAGGCAATTTGTGGATTCCTCTTTCGTAGTAGGATTTTGGTTTGTGTGTGAGACTCAAAAATGGAGGACTGGAGATGTACCTGGAGGACGTTTGAGCACTTTCTTCAAAAGAAACCCATTTTGGTGTCAATAGAAAAGTTGTAGAGAATCAAAAATGAGGCTTATAGCCAAATTTCCAAAAAGATACACTTAGTAGTTTCGCTTAAAATTAAAGTTTTGTGAAAATTCGTAAATTTGGCATTTCTTGAAAACCAGTTTTTGAATCGTTCTGAAAATTTGAATATAAGTTTAATTTTTGATTCTCTACAACTTTTCCATTGACACCAAAATGGGTTATGTAAAAGCCCTGCGCCAGACGACGAGCGATTACGCGGTCACACAAAGATCACACAAATTTTAAACTACTAAGTGTATCTTTTAAACTACTTGAATCGTTCTGAAAATTTGGATATAAGTTTCATTTTTGATTCTCTACAACTTTTCCATTGACACCAAAATGGGTTTCTTTTGAAGAAAGTGCTCAAACTGTCACATATGACAATAGCCCGCAGTTTTCAATTCATCAACCCAATAGCAATGCCTTAAATCAAAGCGCTTACTCATCAAACTTTGCTTTAACTTTGACCTCATTTTCAGCTTTCTTTCAGCTTAAAGTTAAGCTAGAAATTCAGAAACCTATCGAATTACTAGTTCTGCCTTGTTCAGAAATGATTTCTTAACATTACTAATATAATTTTTGCTAACAAATCAACAAGCTCAACTTTAATTTACCATTCAATGCAAAGTTCGATTGTTAAAGATTTGAAATTCGATTCAAAATTGAAAGTTGGACTTAATTTTTGCTCTTCTGACAAGAATGGGGCAAGCTTTCAAGGAAACTCCAGCAGAACAGCACCTGTTTTTAGTAAAAAAACCTATCTCATTAGTAAATTCTGTGTCAAAATGTATAAAGAAGTGAAGGAAAGGTAGATTTCAGGATAGGGGATTGAACTCTTGTCCTTTTGCTTTCCGGACTCTAACCATTGAGCCACTGCTTTACCCATTGAGCCACTGCTTTACCCATCGAGCCATTGCTTTACTCATTGAGCCACTGCTTTACCCATTGAGCCACTGCTTAACCCATTGAGCCATTGCTTTACCCATTGAGCCACTGCTTTACCCATTGAGCCATTGCTTTACCCATCGAGCCATTGCTTCACCCATCGAGCCATTGCTTTACCAATTGAGCCATTGCTTTACCCATTGAACTATTCAGGACCTTAACTTCCGAAGAGAAAGATGCTATAAGTTTGACACCATTTCGTCCACTGAAATCCCGTTACATTGAGAAAACTCAAATTTCCGCAGATTGTCGGCAGTTCTTTGGATTTATACCTGAAAATTATCGGTACTGCTTGTTATGATGTCATTAATCGACACATCGTCATTCGCTATTATGGAATAATGAGCTTTTTCAAAGTCAATGACAGAGTTCAAATGGTAAACAATGAAGCTAAATCGATTAGCTATAATCGATATCGGAAATTTCAGACAATTTTCTTTTTCCTGATCGGTCAAATCGGCTTCAGCTCGAATTGTCTTCATTTAAGCGCGCTCGCGAAAATCCTACCGGAAACCTACAAATTTCACTCGTTTTACAAGTGAGACAAAGTTTTTTTTTCATAAAATTTTCCCGTTCAATGTTTAGAATTGGATGTCTGCTCAGCTTGATCAATCTGATTGTGTTTCTGGCTGGTGGCGGGGATTATTATGTCTTTGATCAGGTGAGTAGAGATCGTAATCCTGACTATGAGTAAGTAGCTTCTAAAAAGCTTGGAATGGCTCTGAGCAAAGAGTTTTTTTAAAGAAAACTTAGAGAAGCTTAGGAAAGCTTAGGGAAGCTTAGGGAAGCCTAGGAAAGCTTAGGAAAGCTTAGGGAAGCTTAAGAAAGCTTAGAGAAGCCTAGGAAAGCTTAGGAAAGCTTAGGGAAGCTTAGGAAAGCTTAGGGAAGCTTAGAGAAGCTTAGGAAAGCTAACGTAACCCTGAGTGAGAAGTTTCTAAAAAGTAAACTTGAGAAAGCTACCGTAAAAGGAGTTAAGAGTGTTTTCATGCGTATTTTTCAATACTTATCTACTGATTCTGAAATGTTTAGCTAGCACTTTTCCTTAGTTACTATATAGTTAGTAAGTTACTGTACTAAAGCAAATAGAACTACGGCAGCTAAATGGAAAAGGGTAATACAGGCCGTTTTTATATACTTAGAGATCGAATCTGTAAGAGCTAATGAAAAACTTTGGAAGGTTCTAGCTTTGTAAACTATTTATTAAAGTTACAGAACGCTGTATAAAGTCAATTCAATGCAAATATGCAAGGGTTTTAAAGCAAAAAAGTTTGACGTGAGTGGGACTCGAACTTGAGGAAAAAAGATGTGACCGGTTGGTCAGTCTAGCAGACTATCCACTAGACCATTGCAATAGTTGCTTGGGAGGTATGTGAAGGCCTCATAAGGCCTTTAAGGTGATTCAAGGTGATCGAAATTCAAGGTGATTTTCTATGCCAAATATCTCGCGTTTGGGAAGCGGTCTGTAAAAACTAAAAACGGATTTGAGATCCCCATGGCCGACTCTATAAGATGGACTTGGCCTCAAGTCAAAAGGCCAGCTTAATTCGGTCAAAAGGCCAGCTTAATTCGATCAAAAGGTCGGCTTAACTCAGTCAAAAGTCCAACCTGCCCTGTAAGAAATGCACTTAAAAAAGAAACTGTAAAAGTAGTGAATCGCTTTCTAAAAAGCTTTCTATCAACTTTAAAAGCGCATTCAAAAAAAACTACCGTAACCCAAAGTAATTTTGTCCTTTTATTTCAACTTTCCCAACATCCATACCAGGCTCATGTCAGCGACAATCCCACCGAGCACATGCTAATCTTTGTAAACGATGGAGAAACCTATTTCAACTTTATCATTTTACTCTTCGCAATCATTGCTTATTCGATTACAATCGCAGCTTTATTCATTGAGAAAAACTATTTCAAAAGTGTTGAAGAGCAAATGAGCTCAACGACAAAACACAAGCTTCACTCTTATCTGAAAAATTCTGTTATTCAGGTAATTGTTTACAGTGTTTTCAAATGCGTTTTAATCTTGGAAGAGTTATTGAGAAAAGATTACTTTTGAAAGGGTTTAGATCAAATCAATATCTATTTTTAGACTTGTGTACCACTAATCACCCTGTTGCCCGCGATTTTTAATATAATCGTTTTGTACTTGAGGAATGATAAAGGAGATGATCAGGATTTGTGTGAGTAAATCTTTTGATACGCTGTACTTTTAATATAGACTGCTTTGGTTTAAACCGATAACTTCAATGGCTTGGTCTAATGTTAGCGCAGTATGTTTAGCTAGTACTTTTCCGTAGTTAGATCTACTATATATTAGGTTGGTAAAAAAGAAATGCGCGTTTTCGTTAAAAGTTTATTTTATTATAAAAACAAGATAACAATACATTAATCCAAAAGGTATTCGCCATCTGCATCAAGACTTGTCGCTAACGTTCACGCAGAGAATGGATGCCCTTCTTGAAGAACTCGACCGGCTGCGACTCGAAGAAGTTGGACACCCAAATTTGGACCTCGTCGCGGTTCTTGAACTTTTTCTCGGCCAAGGAGTGGTGCATTGATCGGAATAGATGGTAGTCGGAAGGCGCCAAGTCTGGGCTGTATGGCGGATGAGGCAGGACTTCCCAGCCCATTTCTTCAATTTTCGGCTGGGTGATTTTTGTGACATGCGGCCGAGCGTTGTCGTGGAGGAATTTTGTCGACGCCGTATCCACACCTTGACGTCGCAGCGCCTGGTCCACGCGGTCCAATTGGCCTTGGTAGAGGTTCGCCGTAACTGTTTGACCCGTAACTGAATGTTTTACTGTGAATAAAATACAAATCAACAAACACGACGCTCGTTTCTTTTTTACCAACCTAATAGTTAGTAAGTTACTGTACTAAAGCAATAGAGCTACGGTAGTTAAATGGGAAGCAATAGAACTACGGTAGCTAAATGGAAGGCAATAGAACTACGGTCGATAAATGGGAAGCAATAGAACTACGGTAGCTCATGGAAAAGGATACTGCAGACTGTTTTGATCTGTAAGAGAATCTGTAAGAGCTAATGAAAAACAAATTGAATTTTCGAATTACCAGATTAACTTTTTTCACTAACAACCATTTTCTAGTGGTTTTGATTAGTATGTTGATCATGTCCCTTTACGGGAATATCACCGTCATCACCACTTTTCTCCTCTATCAACCGTATCGAGCTTATTTCTATTCGTTCTGCTTAACCATATATCCAAAGAAAAAGCGACAAACGATCACTTCTGCTTGAAAATTTAGCTGTTTATTAGCAATAAATTATTCCAAAGCCACTGTAAATGCAATTAAATCAAGCACGATATGAAAAGAGCACAGTTCACCGTATCAGAGTGAGAGGACAATCAATGAAAAGGGTTTAAAATTTAAGCTTAACAAGATTCTAGGCTTAGATCCTCTTTTTAAAACTGGAAATGATTTAAAGCTTTAAAAAGAAGATCTAAATCTAGAAATTGTTATGCTTAAAGTTAAAGTTTAAACCTTTTTCATCTTTTGCCCGAAATAAGTGAAGCAAGATTTTCAGAGAAAAGTCTCCAAAGGCGAATCACAATAAAAGGGGAAAGTCGCCGAGTTGTGGCGAGAGTTTGGGGAAATTGAGCGAAACATCGGACGATCCTGAAAATTTCGACGTCTTTGCCGAAAATCCGGGGATCTTTCCTCACAAAATGAGTGTTTTTGAGTGATCAGCGAACGAGTGGGTTGAGGGGAAAGTGGGAAAAAAGTGCTACGGGAGGAATGGGGAAATGATTGGCTATCAACACTTGCACCATGAAGGTTCACCATCGATTTGCGGAAATGGGTCGGCGAGCTTTTTGGGGTCAGTCTGAAAGTAGGGCATAGTTTTAGACTGTGATATTTTCGGTATTTTGGGAATTTTGAGGTATTTCGGGGGTTTTTAGGGCGTACAGTCACTAGTCGTTAACTATTTTACTGATAGTTTTATGTAAATTTAAAGAAAATTCAAACATAACCCTAGATATTCTGGATCTTGAAAAATTGCAAGAAGCGATAAGCAAAAGGTAGGTTTTAAAGACTTAAAGATAGATTGACTCAATCAAGAACTACTACTACATTCACGACGACGATATTTTCCCGTAAACTCCCGTAGTCCTAACTGTTTTACTGATAAGTTGGTGTAAATTCGAAGATAAACCAAGCTATTATAGTCACTCGATAGCTCTGAATCTCCTCTTGAAAACTAGTACAAAATTCTCGAGACTTCTGCGGAATGAATAAAAAAAACTCCTTAAAAACTAGAATTAACATCAAAAATATTGTCATTAGATTCGCCGAATGGTCGTGAATGTGTTAAAAAGCAAGACTTGATCAGGTGAACATGGTATTCAACTTTAAAATGATAGAACTAGATTGTCAAGTAAACAAAGAAACAAAGGCTTTTCTACAGGAAATCATTTTCAAGCTAAACATTCATTTTAAAGCTAAACATTTATTTTAAGGCCTTTAAAGCCTCAAAATTAAAACAAATTCAACACCCACTTCCTCAACATTTCCCCCTTTTTTCGACAATCGAGCGAAACTTTTTTCCCATTACTCGTCCCATTTATCTCCAAATATGAATTCGATTGATAAAGACTGAAATATTTCATTATCATTAACTCAAATTTTTAATGCCACCTGTCATTTCCATTCTGAATTTCTCGGAAACGAGATTTTTTTGAATGATCGATTCCTTCTGGTGTGTCAAGCGGGTAATCGATTGGAGGAGAAAGAGGGCGCTCGTCTTGGATTGGCTAAATTTGAATTAATTTCAATTAATGTTTGGAAATTCTCAAACAACAACTTTACTTTCATAAGTAAAAACCCTTTTTCGTTGTATAATGAAAATTTTGAGACACTGAAATTGTTGATAAAACTATAAAACCCTGTGTCTTGTGTTGTCTTTACTATGCCTACAGCTATCAAGACGATCTCTTTCAAATTCAAAACGAAAAACTGAAGATTCTCAGTCTAGGCCTTGACTTTGAAATACTTTTGTACTTTACTCCTACCGTGTAATCGATTGGTGGCTCGTAAATAGCCTCCTGTGAGAGATTCATCGGATGGAGAAGCCCTGGTGGCCGCAATTTTCCAAATCGATTCCCAATCGAATTTGGTGGCTCTTTGTGAGGAGATACGCTGAAATAAATATTAGGTTGGTGAATTGGAAAATGCCGGACTTTGAACTTAAATTTATTCGACCTAAAACCATAAATTCATTCCAAATAATTTCCATTATTATTGACGACTTCTGCCCATTTTACAGGCAATTTGCGGATTCCTCTTTCGTAGTAGGATTTTGGTTTGTGTGTGAGACAAGTGTGGGAATCAAAAATGGAGGACTGGAGATGTACCTGGAGGACGTTTGAGCACTTTCTTCAAAAGAAACCCATTTTGGTGTCAATAGAAAAGTTGTAGAGAATCAAAAATTAGGCTTATAGCCAAATTTCCAAAAAGATACACTTAGTAGTTTCGCTTAAAATGCAAGTTTTGTGAAAATTCGTAAATTTGGCATTTCTTGAAAACCAGTTTTTGAATCGTTCTGAAAATTTGGATATAAACGTCATTTTTGATTCTCTACAACTTTTCCATTGACACCAAAATGGGTTTCTTTTGAAGAAAGTGCTCAAACTGTCACATATGACAATAGCCCGCAATTTCCAATTCACCAACCCAATACTTCAAGAACTTTTATCTTTAAATATCTTTGAATAAAAGTTGTATCTTGAAGATTTACCTTAAGATTTAACAAATTTCAAGCTATCATTTTGCCCGAAATTCTTCAAGCTCACCTTTCAACCCCGCTGGTTCCCTCACTGCCTGAGTGATCGTCTCTCATCGAGGATTTGTTACTGAAATAATTCTTGGATTTTAGTTGATCGTTCTAAACATTATTCTTTTGTTATGAGTTTAAAAAGGATATATTTGTCTTTTGAAATTCGCCAAATCGTTTGAAATTAGAAAACCTGTAAGGACATCCCGAATCCGATGATGGCGAATCCTCACGCTCGATTATTGGTTTACAAGTGATTGAAATCTAGAATATTTGATGATTGATGGCCAACTGGTTAAGAGCTCTGTATCTTAATCGAGAGACCAAGGGTTCAATCCCGCCAGCTCGATTATTATTGCTTTTTTCCTATCTATGGGTTTTCCCTACTTTTAGGGCTTAAGGATTATGCTTTTGTATTGTTTTTATCACATTCTTTTATATGGATAAATGTATTTATAGATTCAAAACGTATCATGAAAATTCATTCACCTCCGATGGATCCTTTGGCGGCTTGCAGGCACCATAGATTTTATCGGTGAACGCCACGGAGAGCAATGACCATGCTGAGGCGGCGTGTGGATACGCTCGAACACACTCTTGAACGAACATCACCTAAAAAGATTGCTGTCACCCGTTGAAAAAATACATTCTTATATTGTTTTCTTTTTATTCCTCACTCACCTCAGCCATACTTTCGCCCATCACTTGCCACATGTGCCGCTGCAGTCCGAGTGGGTACAAGCGAACATGATATGCGCCTAGAAAGACGTGATCGTGGTGGCTACTTTGCGTCAAATTTTGACCAAATTATTGTACTTGTTGAGATCTACAAAACAAGACTAAAATCATAAAGATTGACCTACTTAGAAGAAAGTTATGGCAAGTTGCGCAAAAAAGCCAAAGCCTTGGTGCCAAGCAGCCACTCGTAGAAGTGATTTATCAGAGTACAGGGTGCGCCTTAATTGTCGCAACAAGGTAGCGCGTTCAAAGACAATAACTCGTTGATTTAAGCTTCATTTCTGGTTTTTTTTGTTTTTATTATATTTGGAATTTAATTGAAACTTTTTTATATAAAATGTGTTGTTTTTAGAATCACTGGAAAATCCCCCATTGACAATCGATCATCGAATTGACAATCGATCACGAGCGAGGAGTCTCAGCGCCGGAGATTCATAAGCGTTTTAAAGTCGACAGAAGTCGACAGAGTCGGCAGAAGTGTCATTTCCCGCTCTATTCAACGCTACAAAGCTATGCGAACAATTGCCAATCCACCAAGAAGTGGTAGACGCCAAGTCTGGCTTGAAGCTACGGGAACAATTGCCAATCCACCAAGAAGTGGTAGACGCCAAGTCTCGCTTGAAGCTACGGGAACAATTGCTAATCCACCAAGAAGCGGTAGACGCCAAGTCTCGCTTGAAGTTTGCCTTGGTGACGACAACAATCGTCACCAAGGCAAACATCAAGCGAGTGAGGGACTGAATTCGGAAGAAGCCAAACCGGAAGGAGTCGGCAAGGTAAATGGCAAATGCAAGATGGCGATTTCAAGCACTTCATTGCGTCGGATTCTCAAAAATAAGCTCAAACTTACTGCTTACAGAAAAAAAACAAGGCACAACTACTTTCGAATGTCGTTAAAAACCAGCGAAAATTGAAAGCAGATCAATTATGGTCGCCACCAAGGCAGGAGTGACACCTTCCCGAAATGCCTGCGAGCCTACTTAAATGCTAATGGTGGTCGATCCGAATTTCAAATTTCGAATTTTTATGGTACCTATTTGGTTCCTATTTGGTTCCTATTTGGTTCCTATTTGTTTCCTATTTGTTACCTATTTGTTTCCTATTTGTTTCCTATTTGTTTCCTATTTGTTTCCTATTTGTTTCCTATTTGGTTCCTATTTGGTTCCTTATAGTTCCTATTTATAGCTGATTTATAATTTTTAATCTACAATAAATATTATTCAGTTAAAAATTTGTTTTTTTTGCTCTTGTCTGTCTTAAAATCAGAATTTTATCTTGTTGCAACGATTATGGCGCACTCTATAGAGAAAAAGAACAGCGATTTACAAATGGAAATCTCATTGAAATCAATAAAACCATGAAAAACATTAGTTAGAAATGTCAAAAGCTCTTACCGATCTCTTCCGGTGACGGCATTTGTCGATCAGCTTTCCCCTCAAACATCAACTGAAGCATTGTGTCGATGTATTGAACAAGAATATGTGCATGGTCTCGCGTTGTTGATATCGTGTCACCAACGGCTCTACCATCCTTTCGATCATGACAACAAGAAATGAATGCCGATTTATAAAACAATGATGGTACTTTTGGCTCAAGTTCGACCATTTTTTCAAAAATCTAAAATAAACAACATTTTTGCAATACCAATTTTTTCAATTTCAACCTTTTCCATGATGTGAATGGTGCCTCTTCCTGAGGTTTTTGGCGCCTCCGATAATCGCTTCCAAGTGACTTTAAGTGCTCTTTTCTAAAGTTAACAAGTTAACAATCCTCTAGAAGCAAAAAAAAGTAGAATCTCCTGATCTAGCTTTTTAAAAAGCCTACAATTCGTTCACAAACAATTCTTGATCAATTTTTTACCAAAGATTTGCACTTACTTGTAAAACGGTCAATTTCGTTTGTAGTTCATCGACAAATGCTTGCAATGGATGCTGTTTCGGTCCATCTTGGCTCTCCTTTCTCGTCAACGATTTCTTGTGCTCATCGCCCAACCCCGATTGCTCGTCAAGGGGATCTGAAATCGTAAGATTACTAATTAATCGATTACTATAAATTTCAAATTTCATTCAATAACCAAATTTTGTTAGAACATGCATAAAATTTCATGCAAAACAAGCAAAACAAGCAAAATTCTTGCTTTTTGTGCAACTTGCCATTTTCTCTTTCGTCGAAAACCCTTCGCCGTCTCCTTTGCCAACGCTTTGACTCTAAAGAAAGCAAAAGTGCTAAGCCAAAAAAAGGGAAAATATTGATGGCAATCTTTAAACGGCTTAAGAGATCATTTGTAACAGATTAAGAGATCATTGCCATCAATATTTGAAAGCAATTCTAGGTATCGAGAGTGAGCGGGCCATTTATCTACTCCAGTCCCCAGAACTATGCTCTTTGTTGTCTAAACCATTTGTTTTATAGCTAATTTTGTAGAGCTCAACGAGCTGAATCTAATGCTACAAAAAACAGCTTGATCTGTCGATTAGGGTCAAAGAGTTTTCCTTTTTTACTATGGACAATCTCCCCAGCGATACCCCAAGCAATCCGAGCCAGACACAGTGCCAAGAAAAGCAAACTGATCGATTGATTAATGTCGATTAATCAATCGATTAGATTGTTTTTTTGGTATCATTTGATTTAGCTTATTAAGTTCTATAAAACTAGCCATAAAGCAATTGGTTTTAACATTAATGAGCATAGTTAAACTGATCCAGATAGTTAAACTGATCTGATATTAGGTTGGCAACTAAATAATGGCCCTCGCCCTTTTTTGATAAAATCTTTTAATCTTTGCGTTTAATCTACCCTCGCTTGTTGTTAATTGAATATTACTGAATTTCTGGTGCATTATTATACGTTTTTTACTTTCCTTGATTTGATACTTTTCAAATAATTTTGTTTAGAAACGGAAGATCTCAAATATCGAATGCGTGTCTGTCTCTGGTACGACTACAAACAAGACAAAACAGCTGCCGAATCCCACAGAGATTTATTGCGAGTTTTTGGTGATGAAGCTCTTTCCGAAACACAATGTAAGAGATGGTATCGACGGTTCAAGGAAGGGGATCAAAGTCTTGAAGATGAGCTTCGCCAAGGACGACCCGAACTTCTGCAGAACGATATTTTGGAAGCAGCTTTAAAGGAGGATCCAAGTCAAACATCACGCGAGCTAGGGGATCGATTGGGCTTTTCGCATACTGCAATCGAAAAGCGACTTCATGCATTGGGGAAAAGTAACCGCAGTGGAAAGTGGATTCCGCATGAATTGAGCGAAGAAAATAAGGCTACTCGTGTTATCACAGCTGGAATACTACTAAAACTTGCGAAAAAGGGAAGCTTCTTGGATTCCATTGTCACTTCTGATGAAAAATGGATCTTTTATGATAATCGAACGCGAAAACGACAGTGGCTTAGCACAAACGAAGACCCAAAACCAACTCCGAAGCCGGATATTCACTCAAAGAAAACTCTCCTCTGTGTGTGGTGGAGTTCTCGTGGGTTGGTGCATTTCGAGGTTCTCAAAAGCCGGCAAACGGTTAATTCAGAACTCTATTCGTCTCAACTACATCGTGTAGATCAAGCAATTCGCTCTCAAGGACTCGAACCCTCTTCAATTCATTTTCTCCATGATAACGCAAAACCACACACTGCAAAACTTACAATGGAGAAAATCGAGGAGTTGGGCTGGAATGTTCTTCCTCATGCGCCATACAGCCCGGATATGGGGCCTAGTGATTACTATCTTTTTCGATCGATGCAACACTTTCTAGCCGAGAAAAAGTTCAATGACCTTGACGAAGTCCGAATTTCAGTGCAGAAGTTCTTTGAAGATCAACCAGAAGAATTTTTCAAGAGAGGAATCCAGTTGCTCCGTCAAAAGTGGAAAGAAGTAATAAAGAATGACGGAGAATACCTTTTGGATTGATGTTGATATTTGTTCATCTTGTTAATAATTTTTTTGTTTTTACTGAAAAGGGCCATTATTTAGTTGCCAACCTGATAGTTAAACTGATCCAGATAGTTAAACTGATCCAGATAAATAACCCGTATAAAACATCAAAAAAACAATTCAAAACCACCAACGACGTCTCTGCAAGCGATACTCAGCGAATTTCTCGTTTAACACCGGATTCAACATGATTTACTAAGCAAAAATAGAAATATTTGAGCTCTTGCCGGAACTTGTTGAAATGGAAAAAAATTGGAGTGAGAGCTTTTTTTTTGTGCGCTTATGGACTCGGGGAATTTTTCTAGCGACAAAAAAAACGATCACTTTAATCAGGAAATGATGGGAATCCGGCGGGAGGGGATTAAATGAGAAATTTAACTGAAATTTAAACGAGAACAGGGAAACTTTTCTGGGATATCCTGTTAATTGAAAAAATTTTTTAGAAAACTTTTCTAGAGGATCATCGAAACTCTAGGGGTTCAAAGGGTTCAAAAGACAAATTTTAGTCAGTCAGATTTCAAATTTCAATCAATTTCAGTCAAATTCAGTAAAAGAGTTCAAATTTAAAGGTTTTCTAAAGTATAATCTTCTTTTTAATCTAATTAATCTATTTATTATCTTTGAACTCTTTAAATCTAGCTTTAATAGTTTAATTATTGGGTTGCTGAATTGAAAACTGCGGGCTATTGTCCTATGTCCCAGTTTCCTTTGAATTGAAAACTGCGGGACTTTGAACTAAAATTTATTCAACCTAAAACCATGAATTCATTCCAAATAATTTCCATTATTATTGACGACTTCTGCCCATTTTACAGGCAATTTGCGGATTCCTCTTTCGTAGTAGGATTTTGGTTTGTGTGTGAGACAAGTGTGAGACTCAAAAATGGAGGACTGGAGATGTCCCTGGAGGACGTTTGAGCACTTTCTTCAAAAGAAACCCATTTTGGTGCCAATGGAAAACTTGTAGAGAATCAAAAATTAAACTTATATCCAAATTTTCAGAACGATTCAAAAACTGGTTTTCAAGAAATGCCAAATTTACGAACTTTCACAAAACTTGCATTTTTAAGCGAAACTACTAAGTGTATCTTTTTGGAAATTTGGCTATAAGCCTAATTTTTGATTCTCTACAACTTTTCTATTGGCACCAAAATGGGTTTCTTTTGAAGAAAGTGCTCAAACGTCCTCCAGGGACATCTCCAGTCCTCGATTTTTGAGTCTCACACTTGTCTCACACACAAACCAAAATCCTACTACGAAAGAGGAATCCGCAAATTGCCTGTAAAATGGGCAGAAGTCGTCAATAATAATGGAAATTATTTGGAATGAATTTATGGTTTTAGGTTGAATAAATTTTAGTTCAAAGTCCCGCAGTTTTTGAATTCACCAACCAAATAGTTTAATTAGAAAAGCTTAAGCTAATTAGGTAACAGGATATAACAGAATATAACAGGATATAACAGAAAAATTTCAAAACATGCACAAAAAGCACCTTTTAGTGTGGAGAGCTCTGGAGAGAATGGGAATTTCGATGAGGATTTCGTTGGAGAGTGTGGCGTTCGTGGAGTACGCGGTGAGAAACTAGCGGTCGAGATTTTTTGCTGCTTTAATTGCATTGATTTCGCCACTCGCAATAGATTCAGTAGCTCATTTGGATGATTCGCGTTCGTCTCTTGTCGAAGCAAAGCTGGAGTTGAAAAGCGTTTGATTAGAGCAACAAGATGGCAACACACACACACACACACACTTGATTTTAGATTTTGTGAAGGTTGAATTACGCTTTACGCTAAGCTATGTAAGTTTTGAGGTGATAAAAAGCATAGTAGCTTTTAAAATCCTAAAGTTTTCTTGAAAATTACATAATAAAAGCTGATAATTGCCGAACACACAAACAATTTTAGCTTTTGTCCTTTCTTTTTTCGGTACTGTTCGGTTAAACATCCATTTTTACGTATCCTATGCAATCCTTTTAAGAAAAAAAAATCTGGATAGTTTAAGTAGCAGATTTTTTTGTGATAATTTCATAAAAAAAGGTATTTTAGGTAAACATACATATAAAATAGATAAAACAATATCATAGATTTAAACTTATTAATTGTTAAGCTATCAAATGTATAAACGGATAGTATCGCTTTTGTTATTAGGCTAAGGAAAAAATTCTGACTCATCTGGGAAAAATTCAATTTATCTGCATTTTTTTGCTGGTTTTTTCGCTTATAGTGTTTTACGAATGTTCATCTTTGTATTTCAGAGGAGCTTTCAAGAAAAAGACCTTCACTTTTTGAGCTGATATTGCTGGAAACAGAAACTTTCAACAAGGGATGAATAGAATAGAATGAGAAGTAGAGGAAACCCTCATCGGAATCTCCCATCTCTTTCTCAATCCATTCTCGAGACTTCGAGGAGAAATGAAACATTCTTTCTTTCAACTATTGACTCATCTTCAATGTTTTTATGTGTCACTGAATGCTAAATTTGCAGGTGATGGTCGAAGCACTCTTAAAATGACTTTGAAAGTTTTATTCTTCATTTCTGTGAAAGGTTTCTTAAGGTTGATTGAAGAAAAATCCATTTCTCTTCAATCAACCTTAAGAAACCAAGCGCTTTTTTTCTTTTAAAAGGGATCATTCGATGATTTTTCTTTGTCTTAAGATTTGCGATGCTGAAGGTCAAGGAACTGTAAGTCAAGCAAGAGTTTCAAGATGGTACAGTTGATTTGATTCCGGTGTTCCCCATTCGACTACAGTCTCTTCCAATCATTGCAGCATTTCCGAAAAGGTCATTTGAGTCTTTTGAAGAAGTTGAAGACGTTGAAGAAGTTTGCCAAGAGTTCTTTGATTCGATTTGAAATTTTTTTTAGCTGATAAAAGCCAAAGCAAGACTATAGCTTTGGCTTGGGCTTGGCTTTGGCTTGGTCTTGGCTTTGGCTTGGCTTTGGCTTTGGCTTGGCCTTGGCTTTGGCAAACGAGCACTGTTTCAACAAGACAACGCTAAACCTCACACCGCCAAAAAGACCAAAGACAAGTTTGAAGAGCTGGACGGACTCGAGATTTTGCCGCACCCTACCTACAGTCCGGACGTTGCCCCATTTGACTACAGTCTTGCAGCATTTCCTAGTCTTGCAGCAATCATTGCAGCATTTCCTAAAAGGTTGCCAATCTGAGTCATTTGAAGAAGTTAAAGAAGTTTGCCAAGAGTTCTTTGATTCGAAACGGAAGGAGTGGTACTTCGACCAGATTCGAAAGCTTGCAGATCGAGGGCAGGAAGTCGTAGATAATGAGAAATACTTTGAGAAATAATTGTTGTTATTTTTATTATTAAAGTGTGCATTAAAAATTGAATTTTTCGCAGTTGAGTCAGGAGTTTTTCTTCAGTTTAGAATTTCTAACCAACCAGCAATCTCATCCTCATAATCTTTCCATTCCTCATTCAATTGTTGAATGATTTTCTTGCGAAGAATCGCTTCTTTTATTCGCATCATCTTTCAATCTCTTTTTTCTGAATTTCTTTCTTTTAAAATATAGTAAATAAAGATAAGAAAATAAGATCAGATAATAAAAATAAGCATAAAAGGCTTTTTTTTGGATTCGATTCGTTTCTAGACTTCAATTAACAATTAGATTTTGAGAAATTAGACAAAAAAATTAGAAAGACAAACTGTGAAATCAGAAAAACTTTCAATAAACTTTTGAAAAAAATTTTTCATATAATTCTATGTTTTTTCGACAAAAAGACATTGCTGAGGTCAGAAATGAGAAATTTGCGGTGAGAAAATTTGATTGTAAAATCGTAGATGGCTTTTTGAGAGGTCTTTCTTGGAATTTTTGAAGTAAAATGTCTACTAGGGTATTTCAAATTTTCTTCCTGAATGCATTAAATGTCAGCCTTAACCCATAAAGGGATCCATTGGCTTTCAATCAATCAGCGCGAGACCCATTGGCTTCTGGGTGACCCTGAAATCAAAGTCGGATTTGTTTTGACTTTACGATGACTATACTTCTTTACTAGATGGCTTGGATTCTATAATTTTAAACATCATTTAGCTAGGGATGATCGAAAGCTAAATCAGGTTTAGCTGGTTTAGCTAGCCAAAGGTTTAGCTAACCAAAGGTTTAGCTAGCCAAAGGTTTAGCTAACCAAAGGTTTAGCTAGCCAAAGGTTTAGCTAGCCAAAGGTTTAGCTAGCCAAAGGTTTAGCTAGCCAAAGGTTTAGCTAACCAAAGGTTTAGCTAGCCAAAGGTTTAGCTTTTGATTTCAAATTTTCTTCCTGAACTCATGAAATGTCAGCCTTAACCCATAAAGGAATATTTCAAATTTTCTTCCTGAATTCATTAAACAAAACATCTTCAAACAATAAAAACACTTCATTTGCATCGTCGATTGAGAAAAACCCTTCATTGAAAGCGGAAATGAAAATCGCTGTTTTCAAGGAAAAATGAAATCTAAAAACGATTGCGATTTCGAAGAAATATCTACAATTTTAGATTAAAACATAAAACAAAGCAGTTTTTATGGAAATAACAAAAGAAAAGTGATGTTACTTTACTTCCTCTGGGCAAACGTGGGCCGAAACAAGCTCATCACTTTTTCAAATCAAAAAAAACTTGCATTCTTGCGGCCAATCATGCCAATTTTGCGGCCTTTTGCGGCCAATTTGCAAAACAATTTTAGTTTGAAAGTCGAAATTTCTTTGACAAGTTTAAGCTTGATGGATTTACAAGCTTGTTTACTACACTAACTTCTTCTAAAGGTCATCAATTTGTGGCGAAATTTTTTCGATGCGATCGTAAGCTGATCAATTATGCAAAGAAGAGTGCATTTTTTGGGGTATTTGATCGGCGCCACAAATGAAAAGAAAGCTAAAAGCTTCTCTCATCAATGAATTACATAATCTTTGTGAATTGAACATCTAAAAATTGAACATTCCCCGTCCCTCCCAATCATCCCACTTGAACAGCTAAAGTCATCAAGTCAACGATGAAAATAATGAGTTGGGAAAAGTTTTTGAGAGTTTTTTTGAGGAGGAGATAAAGCTAAAACCAAAACATTATTGAAAAGATAGTGATTCTGAGTTATACAGAGTACAGCAATGGTACTTTGCAGAGTACAGCAATGGTACTTTGCAGAGCACAGTAATGGTACTTTGCACAACCAAATTTGTATTTGTACAGATAATTCACTCATTTATTGATAAGTTCCACATGAGTAAGTGTAGTTTTGAGTTTTGAGTAGTTTCTCGTACTTCTAATCGTTAATTTTCTAATCGTTTATGTTTTTGAAAATCTTTTTCTAGATTATTTTAAATGAGAATAATAAAACAAGTTATTCAGAGTGCTAGAAAATTTAAAAAGCAAAAACAATAATGGTGGCGGGATTTGAAAGCTTGAGGTGCAAAAAAGATTCGTCTCAAAGCCATCTCCACTACGTCATTCAAGCATATGAATAATCTACCAAAAAAGTACCAAAAAATGTTGAAGAGTTGAACGATAGGAGCAAAAATTTCTATGTCAGATATCTCGAGTTTAAGAAACGTTCAGCAAAAACTAAAAACGGATACTGAAACACAAGGCTTGACTCTATCGCAAGGCTGACCTTATGCCTCCCCAGGCTCTTTGCCACTCGGCCATGACGGCCTTACTAGGTTAATTCGTTACCTTGACTCTTTAGACAAAAATTTTCATTTTCTGGTTTTTGTCAACCCTTGGACAACAAAGTATTAAACTTTTTGAAAGGCTACCACTTAAAAACTACCAAATTTTTAAATACTATCAAACAACAAAGATATCAAACCAGAGCAAAGTCAAGCAGATAAAGCCGCCCAAAGATGCTTAGTTTCAGCTCAAAGTTCAAAGCGATCAATCTAGGTGGTCTGTGTTTTGAATGCAAAAACGAGAGCGATTGAAAAAGTCGGGGAATTGGTAAAGGGTGAATTGAAAGAGAAAAGACAGGAGGAAAGGTCGAATGACTTTCCCCTTTCGAATTTCTCCGTTGGACTCCCTTCGCATGCATTCCATATGGGCCAACAACGGGTTGTCGAGGGGACAAAAGTGAATCCACCCGAAATCCCTTTTTTCACAAAAAACAAAAGAGTTGAAAGGTTTTCCCTGAGCCCTTTTGGAGTCTAATCTGGAAGCACCTCATTGCGCGGAACGCCTGGAAAAACATTTACATTGCTTTTTGGCTTTCCGGGTCAAGCACAAGTGCTTTATTTAGGTAAGGAAGTGGAAAAATGGAGTCATGTGCTTTGCAGGAAGAAAAAATAAAACACGGATTTTGCAAAGACTATAATTTAAACCCGATAGCCCTAAAATAGCCCATTTCATCTCTCCAGATACGGCTCGATTTGTCTACTTTGATCAATAGGTTCTGGTTATCAGACATTTGATATGCGCCCCGCCATTTTTCCCCATTAGCTATCTAACTTTGAGCTCAAATATCTTGGTGTTGGGGTGTTCAATTTAAATATTTTTAATACCATTCGATGCGCCAAGTCTTTCTCTATCGATTGGTAGAAAAACTAGAGAAATTGAAGAGTCGAACACCATGAAATTTGAGCTCAAAGTTGGATTGCCAATGGCAAAGGAAGCGGGGCGCGTATCAAATGTCCCACAATCAGAGGTTCTACCTTGGCTTTTGGACCTAGGTTCTATCTAGGCTTATGGGCCTAGGTTCTACCTAGGCTTATGAACCTAGGTTCTACCTAGGCTCCAGTTAAACTCGACAGAATAAAGATCAAAATAAAACACTTTCACAGTTAACGACTGCATATATATGTAAAGAGATAGTGAAAGTAAATATGGAAATTTAATCATCTTAAAGTTTTCTCAGTTCACTTTTTAGATCTAAACATAAAAAAGAGCAGACATGGGAAACCCCACACAAAATATGAATCAAAGTATCACCAAAAAGAGATTGTGAAAAGAGAAAGAAAAGAGTGGACAGCAATTTTCGTTTCGTTCGGCAAAAGACCAACGATCTTCTTTTACTCTCTACATATCAAAGCTGAAAATGTAATTTCAAAAAGGTTTTTAAATGATAGAGAATAGTTACTAGATATCTAAAAGCTTCAAAAAAAATTGTACTGCTTGTAACAAAATCTAGCTTGTATCATGGTTTTTGATATCCTGATTTAAATGTTTCCTTTGCCAAGCTCAAACATTGTTAATTTTGAAATTTAATTGGAAAAAGACTTAGATTAAGTGATTAAGGTAGAGCTGTAATTTGTAAAATCAAAATCCCACGCTTCGACTTTGAGCTTTGTTCCGAAATACTTGAGTTTTCTCTTTGTTTTGAGTTTTCTTTTGCAATCGTATCCCATAAATCTGAATGTGGTAAACGAATGAGTCTTTTTTTCTGTCAAACTGATTAATCAACTACAGATTTCTACTCTCCAAAAAACAAGAAAAGGTAAAATTTAAAGAAAACCACCAACATCTGGTTTCATTTACATCTTTCAAAAAGCTTTTTGATGTGTAAAAGATCATTGACATGAAAATTTGGACTTCAAATGAGTGTTCAATGTCTAATTTGTATAAAAGATCATTTAGGCTATGATTTGTATTTATTAAATGTTTCCATTCTCAATTAAATTCTCTTCTTTTATAATGAAATCATGAGGAAATGATGATAGAGCAAAAGTGGTCTCTTTTTGGTTCGATTATGATGAAAAAGCGGTGAGGCGGAAAGCTGAGAACACATTGAAACAGAAAAAAAAATCGTGGAAAAGGAATAAAGTAAATGGAAAGGATAAGAAAAATGTTGATTTGAATAAAAAGAATAGGCAAAAAAGTGTAAGAGTTTTGTTCAAAGACCTTCCCGAACTTCATCTCGTTTTCTGAGTTTCGACTCAGCTCACCCGATCTTAACCCATTGGATTACTCAATCTGAAGTGTTCTTAAAGCCAAGGCATGTGCAAAATCACATAAAAATATCGAAATTTTGAAGAAGGCGCTCATCAAAGCATGGAATACCCTCGATGATGCCTATTTGCTCTCCACGGTGCGTTTTTCAACGGTCAACGCGTTTCCCAAACGTTTGCAGGCCTATCTGAATGCCGATGGAGGCAAATTTGAATTTAATTTAATTTAATTGTTAATTTGTCACTGTTATATGTTGAATAAAGATATTTAAGTTAACTTTTCGAGATGGGTTGCATATTTGGTTAAAAGTCAGGCCTTTTGTGTGTTGCGGTAATTCTTGGTCACCCTGTAGATTAGTTTCTGCAAAGAATTTGTTGAAGAATTCAACTTAAAAGCAAGTTTGTTTAAAAGCAAGTTTGTTTAAAAGCAAGTGTCATTAAAAGCAAGTTTGTTTAAAAGCAAGTTTGTTTAAAAGCAAGTGTGATTAAAAGCAAGTTTAATTAAAAGCAAGTTTAATTAAAAGCAAGTTTAATTAAAAGCAAGTTTAATTAAAAGCAAATTTGACTGAAACAAGTGTAAAATCAAATATCAAATCAAATCAAGTCTAAATCTTTATAAACATCTTTAAATATTTTATTAACCGAAAACCGAAAAAGAAATCTCCTTTATAAAAGAGAAATTTGAGGGAAACGCTGAAAAATATTGTAAAGAAGTGTTAAACTTATCGTTAAGTCCAACAGGAAACCAAACACCAAATCTAAAGGGCATTCTTGATGCAATGAATCAATGAAATGTCAAAAGAAGAGAAAAATCTTGGGATTTCATCTAAACGTAATCCTATAGACGAGATCTTCTTTTACTTTTTCTCTTCTCTTCTCATCATCAACGTCGATTCCATTTCCGGCACTTAACGCTCCGCTCATCATCACTGACTTTGTTTTCGATTTGAGAATTAAAGCCGAACGAAAAGCCGAACTAAAATAGGAACAATCTTCGATAGCTCACAAGACATCAACTCTCTAAAAAATCAATTTTCGACAAACCCCTGTTTTTTTTGGTTTTTCCTTAATATTGGGCACTAACACTTCTCTAAAGATGGAAAGTCAGACAAAACTCACAATCAGTCTTGGGAGTAGCCAGACTTGGATATGCTACTGGGTTGGTGAATTGAAAACTGCGGGCTATTGTCATATGTGGCAGTTTGAGGACTTGCTTCAAAAGAAACCCATTTTGGTGTCAATGGAAAACATATAGAGAATCAAAAATTAAGCTTATATCCAAATTTCCAAAAAGATACACTTACCAGGGAACCTTCCCAAGTTACCCGCGAGTTACAATATGAGGTAGGTACAAAAAGAAAGGCCTGAAAATGTACGTTCAGAAACTGTTTTCAAAAACCGCTAATCGGCAAAACGCACAAAAATGAAGGCTTTTCTCGAATTTCTGGCACACTGATTTTTGCCGGCGGAATTTTTGTTTTCCTTTCGCCCTCCCAAAACGCAGCTCTTAGCCTCGTGGTTGGTGTGCTTGCGCTTGGGACTCTTTGATCTTGGTTCGGATCCGGATCTCGACAATCGTCGAGCAGGATACAATGGTTGATAGAACGGATGTAATAATATTAATTTCATGCTCTGTGCACATTGCTCTTAAAGTTAGTGTTTTAATTGCGCATTTCAGGTTGTTCATTTTTGCTCATTCGCTAATCACCCTTGATTTTTAATTTTTTGCTTACTTTCTTTTAAATAAATTGTCAATGATTAAATAGCACTAGAAAATAACATTATACAAATTTCTAATAATCAAAAAAGTTTTTTAATGTTTTTAAAAAAAAAAAATAGCAAAAAGTTTGACCGTAAAATAGTCATCAACTCGGCTCGCCGCTGTGCACTACTATTGGGTTGGGGAGAATGAGTCGGCGCCAAACTTTAAAGGGACTTTTTGCACACATAAAGCCTTCTTTAAACATACGTTTGGTTTCATCAAAAGGATCCACTATTTCTCTACAAAATGACTTTTGAGAGATTCCACAAAGCTTTTCTTTCGTGGAGTTTATGAACTTCCGAACGCAGCTGGTTAAAATGGCAAAGAGTCCGACTCATCATTTGAACAGTTTCTTTCACATAAGCCTTCTTTGGTGTTTATATAAAAAAGATAGAGCACATTCAATTACTTAAGTTGCCAAATTTGCAGGAAGATCCCACCAATGGTTTTTTCTAGATCACAGTTTGTAGTTTTTGTGAAAAAATGGCTTTTTCTTGAGCGGAGGCGCTGTTTGAATTTTCTTTTAAATGTCATTTTGTAGAGAATTAGTTAACCATTCTACTGATATCAAACGCATATTATTTGACGAAGTCGAATTGAAGTTTTAGACATTTTTTTCATTTTCGGCGCCGACTCATTCTCCCCAACCCAATATTAAAGAAAATTAAAGAAAATACGGTACTAATATTAACAAGCTAAATCTGTTCACAGTCTAGCCGACTGGTCAAGCGCCTTGTATCTTAGTCGAGAGGTTAAGGGTTCAATCCCGGCTAGATCATTGGCTCTTTGTTTCGCTAGTTTTAGGCTTAAGGGTGCTTGTGTATTGTTCTCGTGCTCGTTTCACCGCTCTAAATCGAGTACATCGTATCATCCATGTTATATTATGAATTTGTATTGAAAAAAGCTACCGTATTCTCCCTAAAGGTAGTGCACCCTGAGCTTCACCTAAATTGGTCGAAATCTCGAGAACCGCTTATCAGAACCACGAGGGGCGTGTAGGACGATGAGACTTGGGGATTAGAGGTTGGCTTCTGCAAAGCTTGGAACCGAAATCACAACTCGGCTCGCCGGGGTGTACTACTATTAGAGAAAATACGGTATTGAAAATCTTATTATCTAGAGTTACCGTGTTCTCTCTAATAGTAGTGAACCCTGAACTTCACCTAAATTCCTCGAAACCTCGAAAACCGCTTAACAGAACCTATCGATGTGGGGTCAGAAAATGTAGCTGACGATGAGATCTTGTGGGGATTAGAGTGTTGAGCTTCTGCAAAAGCTTTGAAACCGTAAAATAGTCATCAACTCGGCTCGCCGGGGTGCACTACTATCAGAGAGAATACGATATTACCCTATTGCAGCTTTTTGATGTTCTTTTCGCTTCACAACAATCAATTAGAAAGATCGATCAATGATTCAAGCATACTTTAGTTTAAAACTTTTTGAAGTTTAAGCTCAAAAGTGAAGCAGGAGTCAATGAAAATGAATTGAAAATTGAAAGAACGTTAATTGAACACTTTTTAAAGAAGAGAAAAACAAAGTTTAATCATTTGAGCAAAAAAACGAGACATTAAAAGGCTGCAATAAGCTAATACCGTATTTTCTCTAATAGTAGTGCACCCTAAGCTTCACCTAAATTGCTCGAAATCTCGAGAACCGCTTATCAGAACCTATCGATGTGGGGTCGGAAAATGTAGCTGACGATGAGATCTTGTGGGGATTAGAGTGTTGAGCTTCTGCAAAAGCTTTGAAACCGTAAAATAGTCATCAACTCGGCTCGCCGGGGTGCACTACTATTAGAGAAAATACGGTATGTCTTTGGATATGTAAAAGCTTTACTTTGGATATGTAAAATCGACCAATTCCAATCGAAAAACAGCCCAGATGCCCCAAAATGCGGTCATTGAAAAAATTCACTTCTTTTATGGCTATTTACTACATCAAAAACGTTACTACAATCAAAAACATTTTCAGTGATCCTTTCTGAAAATCAAATACGCAAACTTTAATCATCATTTCACCCGGTCAACCTCATCAAAAATTCAATCAACTTGAAAATAACGATTTCACCTGTTCTCAAGAAATAAAAAGTCAACTAAATTACTAAATTACTAAATCATTCACTTTTTTTACTAAATCCTGAACTTTTCCATTTTCAAATGCTCGAATTGAATAAATCACAGGCGGCTTTAGTAAGCAGTCTTTTCCAATTATGCGGCTTCTTTGATTTGGGTATGTGAGGCAAATCTTTTTTTCATAAGATTTTCTCCATTTCTTTCAGCTATCGGATTCCTCACTGCTTACGCAATCATGTACAAATCACCGAAAAGCTGCCAAACGTACAAATGGTATTTGCTAAACAATGTGGTTGGCTGAGTTTTGTTGATCATTATCTTTGTCAAATTCAGTTTACAAACCTCGTCTTCGATGTCTGCATCGCTTACTTGTCACCGATTTTGATCACAACAGTTTTTGGGTTTTATTGCCTTTCTCCATTTCCACTAAAACCACTGGCTGCTCATTTGATGATGGTAGTTTTAGGAAGCTCATTTAGGAACTTTTTTTTGAAAAGTTTAGATATGAGCTAGTAGAAAATAAGTAAAACAGTCAATTTCAATTTAGAAAACAGTCAGTTTCACGCTTTAGCAAATAGCTCTTGTTTTCTGAAGAGTGAATGCAGGATTATTTCTATTTCTAAAGGCTTTTCGGGCTTTAAAATAAAAGAAAGAACAAGAGTTTGTTAAAACTGACTCGTTTGATAGAAAAGTACTCGGACTGACTCGTATAGAAAAGTTCAAGATCAAGACAGGTCATGACCATTTTTATCTAGCCTAGAACTAAGAACAGGTTGCCTTTGGTTCTTAGTTCTAGAACCAAAGGTTAACTTTGGGCAAAAGTTCTTCCAAGGATGATTTTCCATTCAGGACAGGCAAATCTAAACCTTGGTCTTACCAGATCGACTTTGCTGTGGATCTGGCCACAGCATTTGCATTGCTTGACCTTATTTGCCAAACCTATGGCTTTTTTACAGGCATAGGTTTGACATCCCTACCAATCAACGCTAAATTCTAGCAAAAGAGTCAACACAAAAACTTTCAGAGCACAGCTCTCACCTCGGTTTTTGCGATGATTATCAGCATTTCATTGTTGTTTTATTATCGAATCAGTTTGGTCGTTCCATTTGAAATCGTTTGTCCATCGTGATTCAAATGACTTTGTCATTTTAGAGAAGTTTTGTGAAATGGACTGCTATTTTATTTTATGCAACAGCTTACAGTACAGTTTGTCCCACATATTTTGCATTACTCTTAGTGTCATACAACAGTGATGTCACTGAGAATACGCAACTTGTGGTTGGTTTTTGCAATTCAAAATTGCTTGATAGTCAGCCTAGTTCACTTTTCCAGTTACCAGGTTTTGCCGTATTGAGCCGGTTACCGTTAGGTTTGATCCTGACCGGAAATAAGCCGAATAAATCTCTCAATCTTCACATGTTCGACTAAATAGAGTTACCGTATTTTTTCTAATAGTAGTGCTCCCTGAGCGTCGCCTAAATTGCTCGGAATCTCGAAAAGCGCTTATCAGTACCTATCGATGTGGGGTCGGAAAATGTAGCTGACGATGAGACCTTGTGGGGGATTAGAGTGTTGAGCTACTGTGAAAACTTGGAAACCGTAAAATAGTCATCAACTCGACTACTACTAGACTACTATTAGAGAAAATACGTTAAATCTAGGCTAAGTTTGAAGTAGAAGCTTTGTCGAAGCAATACGACTTTAAAATAAAATTCTTTCAAAACAAACATACCTCTCTAATAGTAGGGCATCCTAAGCGTCGCCTAAATTGCTCGAAATCTCGAGAACCGTTTATCAGAACGCATCGATGAGATAGCTGACGATGACGAAATTAACTTGATATTTCATATAAATATGAAATTAGAGGAATTGAAGAGTTGGGCGTCGGGTAAGAGTCAAAAAACCGAGTTGCCATAGTTGTGCCCAACTCCTGTATACCAGGCTTTGTTCCAGGTATTTATCGAATTCGATAGGATCTGTTACAATACAATACAGTACCTTGTGTTTACTGCTACAGTACTGAAAAAACCTATTGCATAATCTGGTGATCATCTGTTCAAATGTTTGATTTCAGATCTCTCAATCCCAAAATCTCACTTATCTCCAAAGTGTTGACTATCTTCGTCTCATCTATAACGTCTCTGCTTTCTATTATGAAATGTTTATCTGCTGGGGTTTATGCATGTCTACTATTGGAGTGACTCTTTTAGGATTACTTGGATTTTACAACTATAAACATGTTTTTAAAAACGCGAGTAAGTCTTGAAAGAGCTTATGACAGTGAATAGACTAATCAAACCCATTCAGATGCTAATATCTCAACGCAAACAAAGAATCTTCAAACAAATATCTATCATGTGATCATCTGTGAAGTATAGAAACATGAAAACTAAAAGATTTTCTAAAATTTAGTGTCTTGCATTCGTTTTAGCTGGTGGAGCCCAATCATTTTCTTTCGTTTTACCAACAATGCAAAAGATTCTTTTCCCAAATCTTGACATTTATCTCATTGACGTTGTTCTTAAAGCCATTGATCCAAGTGGGTTTTGTTTTTAGTACATCTAGCAGTAGTTTCTGAAGTTTACTCTTGTTTTTAGTCACCTCATTAGCTTGTCTCTTTGGATGTCTTCACACTACATGCAATTGCTTGATCATCATCTCTCTCACTAGGGTTTGTTAGCGTAAAAATTACCGTAAATACTGTAATGCTACCCCACCCCCCCTTTCGTACAGTCGCGTAGTCGCAAAAGTTTTTTAGTATTTCAATTTTTTCAAAGCGCCCGTACGTTCAAAAAATGCGTCTTTGGTATCAAAAAATAGCCCTGAATCTCAGCTATTTTTTGATAACTAAGCGGACATTGTAGCATAAACCAGTGTCGAGAAAAACGCGTTCAAAGCTAGACTACGCAACGCTTCGCACCGTCATTATGGGGCTGGGGTACTATTACAGTATTTACGGTAGCTATAATAGCTTAGATCTAGAAAATGATCTATTTCACTAAAACTTTTACCATTTCAGCATTATCGATCCTGGTTTCTCGAGCAAGTCTTGCAAATCCATAGCCAAAGATCTAATCGTCGATTGACCTTTGTACGTGCAAGCATCAATTTCGGATCGAATTCTGTTTTCAATAAAAGAACTAGCGGTTGATAAATAAAGATTTTTGGTTATTCAGCTCAAAGAACACAAGTATTTTTCAAAATTTCAAATTTTCAAACTATTTCAAAATCATTGGGCTCGAAAAAATGAGCCCACACAATGGCTGAAGCTGAAAGTTTTCCAACTGTCATTGTTTTTAGCGCAGATTTTACAGAAAGGCACATAAAAGTCTCTCTTTTTGGTGTCAAAAATGGGAATCTAATCGAATTCACAATGTTGAAACTGTTCAGAGCTCTGGCTGATATTGTTTCTTATCTTTTTCTCATCTTTGGCGCTTTTGAGATTGGTAGTTTAGTATTAACAGCTGGGAACAGCTGGGAACACAGCTTAAAATCGTTTCTTTTAGAAAGATTCGTAGAAATTTTGTGTTCCAGATTAGTACTACTCCAGAATTGGGATATCTTCTAAAAATCCCTTATCTTCGATTGATCTATGATGTGACGAGTGTCGTCTGTTTCATCTATGTCATCTATTTCTTGATCCTCGCTGTGATTGGACTCAGCTTTGTTTTGTGGATTCAAGCAAGAAAAGCTAATGTTCTAAAAAGCTAATCTTTCAAAACTTCAGTCTCATCGCTGAGCTTTCTAACAGGATGTTTACACACGACGACGACAACGTAGCCAAGTTGAGATCTTTCTCTGAAGTCAAATTCCAATTGATTACAAGGATGTGATATCCAATGTTCACCCGGCTCTTGTTGCTTTTTGCGATGCGGATGGGGTGGATGCTTCCCCGGCCGTGATTCTTGATCATTTTGAGAGTGACAAGAATGAAATCGATAAATCAACTAAAACTTCAAACTCTAGACAAGGTAAATTGTTTATTGTTTAGCATTATCGAAAATGGTTTCTCACAAAAATCCTTTGAATTCCCGATAGTCGATTTTCGGTTCACCAAAGTAAAGATGGAGTTAGTCAGGCTAAAGTCAGTCAGTGACCTCGATCGCGCACAAAAGAGCTAACTCAATAGCTACAAATCGATAAACTTTATTCTCATTGTTGATATCGAAGTAAACGCAGTAAAAACACCAATGTAACAATCATAAATAAAAGATGAACAAAAGAAAACATGGCATAGGTGACGAGGAGGTATTGAACGGTTAGTGTGTAGTCGGGTGAGAGTTGCGATAGATCCTGGAATTTGAATCCTACTGAAAAACATAGTTAAAGATCGTTAAAGACAGTTAAAGATCGTTAAAGACAGTTAAAGATCGTTAAAGATCGTTAAAGCCCGTTAAAGATAGTTAAAGATGATAAAGCAGAATTCAGGATTTTGAAAACATCGAAATTAGAGCCGTAGAGCCGACTCTTTTATCAGAATGCTTAAGGTAACTTTGTTTTTACAATCTAATATTAGAAAAGACAAAAAAGTTAGCTCAATCCTAGGCAAAATCGTAGATGATTTGATAAAAAACATGCTAAAAAGTTAAAATTCTATATAGATTTACTTAAAGTTGCTAAAAATGACAAACTTTTATCCCAAGTGGCCATCTTTCGTTGTGCGATGAAAGCATTCGCATCAATTTGTTCGCCGCTTCACTCTGAATCATTCCCTGACTCAAATCTCGAGGCTAAACTCATTTGAATATTAGTTCTCAATGTCTTTTTTACCTGTATCATGTAGAAAGATTGTTCAGCTGCTCGCGCAAGCGCCATCGCCTCTATAGCTGCTGAAAATTGGCACTATGTGATTTAAAGAAGTGATTCGAGTAAAATCTTTTGATTTCTGAACAAACCTGTGATAAAAACCGAATATCTTGGTAAAACGACGGTTGGCACAACGGAGACGACTACTAAAACAAGAAGAAATTTCGTTAGCGAAGCTGATGGAGAGACGACAGCCGAAAGGGAAACAAAACCGAGAACGATCACGAAAACCGGATACATCAATTGGGAAACCTAAAAGATTTGGCTATTGGATTGACAATGATATTAAGATAGTGGTATGATGCATTGAAGAGCTTACTGAAGAGCTGGGCTTTACAAATTCTTTGACTAGATTGAACCCTGACCTTTGCTTACCAGGCAATTACTCTACCACTGAGCTATTTAGGCTCTTACTTTGGCAAGAGAAAGAAGGGAACAAAAGGAAGAAAGAAAGAGAGAAAGAAAGAAAGAAAGAAAGAAAGAGAGAAAGAAAGAAAGAGAATGCACCGGTTCCTCTACTTGAAGAGCTTCCCCGGGCATTAGTAATAAAGAAAAGTTATTGGAATTGACATAGAGATTGACAACTTTCTTTCTCATATCATATTATTATTAATTATTATTAATTTAATCCCATATTTAAGTCAAAACTCACATATTCCAATTTCACATCGCTCAATGAAAGATAATTCCAGATAAGAACGATTTTTGATATATCCGTCACCAGTAACACTCCACCAGTGAAAATCTAAAATTTTAATTTGATTTATCAAAAGAATTTCTAAGAACCTGTGCAAAAGACAAAAATCTAAGCACATAAAGAGCGCGCTCGATTTTCTCGTATTCGTGTTCACCCTGAAATTTAGCTTTGGAAGATTTGGAAGCTTTGGAAGATTTGGAGGCTTTGGAATAAGCTTTGGAAGCTTTGGTATAAGCTTTGGAGGCTTTGGTATAAGCTTTGGAAGCTTTGGTATAAGCTTTGGAAGCTTTGGTATAAGCTTTGGAAGCTTTGGTATAAGCTTTGGAAGCTTTGGTATAAGCTTTGGAAGCTTTGGTATAAGCTTTGGAAGCTTTGGAAGCTTTGGTATAAGCTTTGGAAGCTTTGGTATAAGCTTTGGAGTTCGATATGGCTTTGTAATCAGGTTTTAAATGTGAAACTTTTCAATTCTTACTTGGCGTTGACTGTAATTGAAAGTGTTTTGTTGATCTACAACTCACTTTGTACGGCTTCTCATTGTTTTGTCGGAGATCAATGAAATCGTCAACGTATGGTCTTGGGATGATGAATGGAACTCTGACAAGAAAAAAGATAAAATCAAAATTTGATTCAAAGCAAGATAAAATCATAATTCGCTTCAATTTACCTCTGATTGTAGCCTTGATTGTAGACATTGTAAGGAAATGGATACATTAAAGAAAAGCTTTCTTTGAAATCGTTTGATGAATTGAAATTGACTGAAATTTAATGAATTTGGTAAAAAGAATTGCTGAAAAATGACTCAAATTAAACAAAATTGAATCAAAAGCAATTTTGAATACGGATTTTGATTCGAAAATGATTTTGTTTTGGTTGTTCGGCTCGAGATTTACATAGATACCTATGGAGATGAAGGACAAGGTCGATGGAGATCAATGGTACAGTTGAAAGTGAAGAAGAGAGCCACGTTCCCACTATTCTACTCTGGCTAAGCCTTGTGAAAAGAGAAATCGATTGTAAAAATGCGCATTGTCAATATGGAAACAATGCTTAAGAAATGAAAAAGAAGATTGGCAATGTTTCGAGATGAATTGGAATTTTGTGAAAGATCTATCCGATCTACTAGTTAAAATTTGTGAAATCTTTTCTCTAGACGCTCTTTAAAGTAGAAAATTTAACAAATTGATATACGTTAGGCAAAGATTGGAAAGAAAGTTCTCGGAAAAAGTTTGACTGGAATTTCTACCATATTCTCCTTAAAAGTAGTCCACCAAAAAGCGTTGCCTAAATTGCTCGAAATCTCGAAAAGCGCTTATCAGAACCTATCGATGTGTGGTTGGAAAATGTAGCTGACGATGAGATCTTGTGGGGGATTAGAGTGTTGAGCTTCTGCAAAAGCTTCGAAACCATAAAATAGTGATCAACTCGACTCGCCGCGGTGCACTACTATTAGAGAGAATACGGTAGTTTAAAACAGTATCTACTATTAGGTTGAAAGGAAAGTTCTCGGAAAAAGTTTGACTGGAATTCCTTAAAAACGAATCCACCAATTGAAGAAAATTTTGTTCTATTATTTACAAGACGACTCCAAGAAATTACTCTTAAAGAAAATGCAGCTTTCGCTTAAAATTTTCGAGATTTTTAAACAAACTATTCTTTTTCTATTTTCCTATTTTCCTATTTTCCTAACAAACTATTTTCCAGCTTAAATTCAGCTCAGTTTTTGCACCAGAAAAACGATTCCTTATGAGGTAAAGCTAGCATAAATGAGCAATACCCTCTACAATCTCTATTTTTGGCCAAAAATTCTTCACAGGAGAATCTGTATTTCAAAAATTATCTTTTTTTGGTGTCATCTTCTTAGCACTGAGTGCTTGCTAAAATAGATTATTCTGAAAAGTTAAAGCATCAGATCAAATTTGCCTTGATCGCAAATATTCCCTGTTTTAAGTACTTTATTTTAGGTTTTGAATGAGACCGATTGCCTATCTATTAACCCATGAAAAACTTGTCTAAAGGCTGGTCACTCAAAAAGTAATCAAGTCACTTCAGCTGAAGAAATTTCTTATTCTTCACCTGAAGCCTACTCTGATTTTTTTTGTTAAAGACTTTTTGAAATATGGCCAAGTTTATCAAAAAATCTGGGAAGAATTGATGGCTTGGTTTTTGAGAAATCACCTTGCAAACTTTTTCGAGGAACTTTCTTTCCAATCTAATATCTCCAGCCATCGATAGCAATCAATGTTTCGAGATGAATTTGAATTTTGTGAAAGATCTATCCGATCTGCTAGTTAAAATTTGTGAAATCTTTTCTCTAGAAGCTCTTTAAAGTTGAGGATTTAAAAAATCAATATACAATAGGCAAATAATTAAGAATAATAGTGAAAAACTCTTTAAACAGTTTTTTAAACATTAAACATTATCTAAGAAAATCTTTAAATCATGTCTGAAACCTCATCTCCTTTAGATATTTACTCTCAAAGTTTTAGAGCAGTTTTCGTGTTCTTGAACAACACGTTTTTCTCTTCAGAAAATCTTCTAAACAATGAACAAAGAGGGGCGAATTGGGGCGAGATTTGAGCCAAGAAAGAGAGCTCAAAATCGCACAGATTTTCCATAATCCTTCCATTTAAAAGATCCCAAGAGCATCAATTTGAGCTTGGAGATGAATGAGAAATACTGGCAAAGGGTAGGTTTGAATTATTGTTATGCATCAAAGGCAAAGTCAAATCAGCAAAGCAAGCAAATCAGCTTTATGCATTAAAGTCAAAATCCGATAAAAATGAGAGAAAATGGGCTTGAATGGCTGGAAAATGGGCTGAATCAAATAAAATCTTCAAAAGATGATCTTCAAAAGTTATTCAAGAAACAAAATGTATATTAAGTTGAAAAATAACACGATCCTAGAAAGGTGACCTCGAAAAAAGTGAATCCCATGGGTCATTGATCTCAAGAAATTTCTCTATAGATTGAAAGTGAGTGGAAAAAAGACTGAAAAAGGCGAGAATGGCAAGGGTGAAGAAAAGGAGGGAAAAATGGGTAATTTCTCGGAAAAATGACAATACTCCGAGAAGTGGGGGTAAAGGGGAATTCTTTTTTTTTCGTCTTTCTCTAACTCGAGACCAGTTCTACTTTTCTTTTTCCCACCAACCTGGAGGAGTTGTGAGTAACTGCTTTCGCTCACTCGATCTTGTCCAACTTAGTCACTTCAAATTACAAGGGAATGATCTAAAAAATCTAAAGAATATAAAGAATCTAAAGAATATAAAGAATCTAAAGCGTCTAAAGAATCTAAAGAATCTAAAAAATCTAAAGAATTTAAAGAATCTAAAGAGTCTAAAGGATCTAAAGAATCTAAAGAATCTAAAGAATCTAAAAGATCTAAAGAATCTGAAGAATCTAAAGAATCTAAAGAATCTAAAAGATCTAAAGAATCTAAAGAATATAAAGAGCCTAAAGAGTTCAAAGAGATAATAATGAAGCCAAAAATAAAAGCAATAATGCCAAGCGAAGTCTGAATAAAAGAAATAATAAATTTTCAACAAATTTTTATATTTTTGTTTTGTTAACTTTTGTTAGAACTTTTTGTTTTGTTAGTGATTAATTTTCTATGATCAATAAGCACTATAATAGCCTCAAAAATGGTATTTGTCTGTTTTTCAAAACAGTCCGTTGGCACCGGGACTCGAACCCACCACAGATAGCCGTATTGGTTCTACAGTCCGGCACACTACCCACTAAGCCACCGCTGTTCTGTTTCCCGTGTGGAACGCTCTTATTGGCTAGGGGGGGTTTTTAAAAAAAAAAAAAAAAAAAAAAAAAAAAAATTTTTCTTCATGGTTTTAAAATTTGGGAAAAAAAAGAGGAAATATGGATGGGGGAAATTTTTACTTGTGTTTGCACTCTGAGCTTATCCTTCTTATCCTTTGGATTGAACCTTAGCTACAGTTTAGATTGGACTGGACAGATTAGCTACAGTTTAGATTGGACACCGATTGGACGTCAGCTACAGTTTGGATTATCCCCCTTGTTAGGAAATCAATTTTTTACAGTTTTATTGCATAGTAATAGATTAACTCAATGAGAAAACGAAAAGAATGAGTGGATCACTTGAGAAGACACCCCACTCCCACGCCCCAAAATAATAAGCCTGCAAAGAAATATTGTTTGCGTGCTTGGTACTCTTCACTCAAGACACGTTATTTCTTGTTTTGAGATATCTGATCTCACTTGAACTAAAAAAGCACTTTATTCAATAGCCGCCGACTCGGGTCTGGGCCCCCACTTGAGCCATTTTCACACAAGTTCGACAATTGAATTAAAAGTGACGATAAAAACAGAAACAATTTCGTCCTAATTAGGACACAACTTTCACACAATGAGAGGAAAGCAGAAAAGAAAATGAAAGATAACAACTAACAAATGAACAACAGTTGCCTTATATAGGCTTTAACACAAGATACTCAGCTAACAAGCTACAAAACAATAAATGATTTGGGGCGCGAAATAAAATGAAGGCGCACCGATTTCCTCAATATTTTTCCAATTTTTAGGCTGTCAGAGTTAGATAACTTTTAGTGCTATTCGCCACAAAGCCTAGATTTTTCTTAATTTTTCGAGGTCAAGCCAAAGATTTTTAAGAATATTAAGAATTTGATTTGGAGAGTTTTAGGCAGATTATTCATTGTCATGCTTGCAGAAAAATTTGTGCTGAACTTGAAAATAATGAAAAATAATGCCAAATCCAAACTCCGAACCTCCCTTTCTGTCAGTCCGATAAGCAAAACCCTCTTACATTCATTGTTTTGCCCTCCCATTTCCCTATTTTTCCCCCATTGACAACCCTTGTCTCGGCCTCGTTTTTCGTAAAGAACTGTATCTGACAATGCCAGAGAAGGGAAAAAAAAAGGCGAAAAGAAGGGGTGAAGTGGGGTGTCTTCTCAAGTGATCCACTCATTCACCATTCTTAGAAAAAAACCCCCACAACAATCGCTATCGATGGAGGAGAATAGGCGTGATTCCAAAAATTTTCGCAACGATTACTTGTTGGACTTTATCAAACAAAATTAGCCATTTTAAGATCACTGGCTGACTTTATTCAGTCTAGGTTCTATAGATTTGGATCTATAGATCATCTATAGATTTGGGCAAACTTGGATTCAGTTACCAATCACAGAAAGTAGCCGCTAGTCAAATGTCATGGCACAAAAGAAGCCAGAAAGATCGGGCTCACTGACGAGATTTTAGATTTGATTGATAAAAGAAGATTGAGACGATTAATGAAAAGAAAGAGGATTTCAAAAGATTGCGGTCACTTGAACGAAAGAAAGTTTGAAGTTTCGCCAGAAAATCGCATCATTCAAGCAAATCACTGTAGTGAAAACTCGCCGAAAGCTCTCTGAGCACAACACCCAGCCCATTAACACGACCACAAACAAATAAAGAAGAGTTGGATGGATCGAATATCTTTCTTTAAACAAAGACCATTTCATTCTTGTCTCTTCTTCCAAATCACATTCCGTTTGACTCCTCTTGCTTCACCCTAAGGAACATCGAAATAAGTGAGAACGTGCATTATAGAATTCTAACGAAAACATCTGCCGATTGTATGAGGCTACTGACTTGGCGTTTGCAATGAACCACGATTTCGTCAAATCACCCAGGATTTCATCTCTTATTTTCAGGAGTTTAAGTCTCTTTTATCAGAACTGATTGGTCTTTTAGATTTCTACAAACAAATCGAAGGTAAAGTAACCTTAATCAAAAGTAATGTACTAAACTTGTAACGAAAACATCTGTCGATCCTTTTTTGCCTTTGACAATTGAAGATTTTTCATCTTTTTCCCAGCAGTAACCGTTCTATTTTGACTATTTTAACTATCATTCAATGCAGAATAAAATTACGCATCAAATGATACCAAAATTAACTCAAAATATAATATCCATGCAAAGTTGTTGGCTAAAAACCGAAACCCCATACATTATGGACGGGATTTAACCTTTTGCCTCATAACTTTGTATGGATATTATATTTTGAGTGAATTTTAGTATCATTCAACGCGCGATTTTATTCTGCATTCACCTATAGTTAAAAGAGTCAAAATAGAGGGGTTAGTGTTGAGAAAAAGACGAAAAATCTTCAATGGTCAAAGGCAAAAAAGGGTCGACAGATGTTTTCGTTACAAGTTTAGTACATTACACTTGAATAAGGCTACTTTACCTTCGATTTGTTTGCAGAATTCATTTTACCAAATTCGTTGACCTTGTCCTTCATCTCCATGAGTGTCTATGTAAATCTCGAGCCGAACAACCAAAACAAAATCATTTTCGAATCAAAATCCCTATTCAAAATTGCTTTTGATTCAATTTTCATTAGTTTGAGTCATTTTTCAGCAATTCTTTTTACCAAATTCATTAAATTTCAGTCAATTTCAGTCAATTTCAATCAATTTCAATTCACCATACGATTTCAAAGAAAGCTTTTCTTTAATGTATCCATTTCCTTACAATGTCTACAATCAAGGCTACAATCAGAGGTAAATTGAAGCGAATTATGATTTTATCTTGCTTTGAATCAAATTTTGATTTTATCTTTTTTCTTGTCAGAGTTCCATTCATCATCCCAAGACCATACGTTGACGATTTCATTGATCTCCGACGAAGCAATGAGAGACCGTACAAAGTGAGTTGTAGATCAACAAAACACTTTCAATTACAGTCAACGCCAAGTAAGAATTGAAAAATCTCGCATTTAAAACCTGATTACAAAGCCATATCGAACTCCAAAGCTTATATCAAAGCTTCCAAAGTTTATACCAAAGCTTCCAAAGCTTCCAAAGCTTACACCAAAGCTTCCAAATACGTTGACGATTTCATTGATCTCCGACAAAGCAATGAGAAACCGTACAAAGTGAGTTGTAGATCAACAAAACACTTTCAATTACAGTCAACGCCAAGGTATCATTTGATGCGTAATTTTATTCTGCATTGAATGATAGTTAAAATAGTCAAAATAGAGGGGTAGATGAGAAAAAGACAAAAAATCTTCAATGATCAAAGGCAAAAAAGGATCGACAGATGTTTTCGTTACAAGTTTATTACATTACATTTGAATAAGGCTACTTTACCTTCGATTTGTTTGTAGAAATCTAAAAGACCAATCAGTTCTGATAAAAGAGACTTAAAACCCTGAAAATAAGAGATGAAATCCTGGGTGATTTGACGAAATCGTGGTTCATTGCAAAAATGAACCAGGATTCCTGAAAATAAGAGATGAAACGCCAGCGATGAAACAAGAGATGAAACGCCTCATACAATAGTTTATTCTAGTAGTAGTGATAAACTAAATGTACAAATATGAAGCCAAAAACTTGATCTATCCTATCATCTCCGATTTTATCAAGAGAATTTCCAAAATTCCAGCATCAAAGAATACGAAATATAATTGCCAAATCTGAGCATTAATTAGAAAAACAGCCGACCATTTCAGAAAAGAAAAAAATTCACCTTTTCATTTCACATTTTCAAGCTTTTAGGTGAAAGACAGAGCATAAATCGTTTTGCCAAATCGAGCCAATCGTTTCGCATTCTATTCATTTCCATTTTGATGACAGACAACTCCACTGAAGCTGTTGATGATTTTGTGCCTGAAATTCGTCGTTCCGATGATTATCTGGCTGCGGGAGCGATTCTTTTGGCAAGAAAAGCATTTCAAAGACAAACTTTTTGTTACTAAAAGTCTTTTTAGATATTATAGACAGTCGATTTGAACGTTTTTAGATATTATAAACAGTCGATTTGAAGGTTTATCATAGAAAAAAAAGTTGAGATTGACATAAAACCTAATAGTTGTATCATTTTAATTCAAAATTTACATATTGTATCAAACACTAACCAAGCCTCTATCAATCACTTCAAAATCGCAACGCTAACCGATTTGTTTCAACATCGCAACGCTAACCGCTAACCGATTCAAATTCAATCATTTGTTGTTTTGTTTGTTTCGTTCTAACCGATTTGTTTAGAGTGAAAACAAAGTGCATTTACAGTAATTTTGAAAGCTCATATTGTAGAAAAAGTTGTTTATAAGTTGGGACTCAGAATCAGAAGCAGTAATTACTTTCTTGTCACCTACACAATGCCGGTTATTTTATTGTGAGCAGTGCTTCACAGGTCATATAGTTCCTTGTCTTGTCACTTTAAGCATTTCTATTTCTATTTAAGCATTCTAAAGCATTTACACGATAATAAAGTAAAGTAAGAAATGGAAAAGAAAGATTTCCGGAGAGGGGATTGAACCGACCAGCATTGTGTAGGTACAGTCGACTTTTTTGCTTTCCGGGCCGATGCTCTAATCACTGATCTATCTTGTATCATGTTGCAGGAGAAGAAAGAGAAAATACAAGGAGGAAGAGAAGGCTATTTGACTTGATTCTTTTTTCAGATCGCTTCAACAGGTCTCTGTCTCAATGCCTGGAATCTTTTCTATTATCGCCGTGATCCTCGATCGATCACCTATTTCATCCGTGCCCGAATCGTCAGCGATATGATCGTTTCAACGATTTTCCTCACCTACACAATGCCGGTCATTTTATTGTGAGCTGTCATTACTTTCTTCACTTACGGCTTCCCTTCAGTGCCTTAAACGATGTGCATTCTGGGTATTGGAATCGAATCTCGGATCTGTTCTCTTCCTGGTCTTACACCTACATTGTTTACTTGGAGCCTTTCGTGGCTATAAATCGGCTCATCGCCATTTTCTTCCCAGCATCATATGAGAAACTTTTCAGCAAAACGGTGACAAAGGTGAGCTTTTCAGTCATTTGGTTTAATTCATCACCAAAAAGGCAAAATTGGTCATTTCAAAGCTTTTTTGCTTGCCAGAGCTCGATCTGGGTTCAATTTCAATTCAATCTTCCAATTTGAAAGAGTTTTAGATGGATAATATTGCTGACATCAATGTTAACTTGTAAAAATAGTAGCTTATCAACCTTATAGCTAACTTTTATATAAAATCTTTTATACAATTCAATTAGAAAGTTTAATAATGCGTGCTTTGCTTAGTTGACAAGCTTCTCAGCTTTCCTTCTCAGCTTTCCTTTTTGTTATAAAAGAAAGCTACAATAATCTATTGAAAAGCTCATTCTTTTCCATTCTAGAAGCTCCTTGGCTACCAAATTCCAAATTGCATAAGGTTTCATTTAGATTTGCATCATCCTCGTCTGGCTCATCTCCAGCTCGGCGATTTGGGGTGACACTTTTGGTGGGGTCAACAACAACAACTTTATGATTTGTTTACCCACATCTTTTCATTTTCAGGTGAAGATTGTGTCTATTCATTTGATTACACTTGGCTATCTTGGAGTTACCCGTCTAGTCCTTGCGGAAAGTTTGCTCAAACGTACGCCTTTCTCCTACCAGCTTATATTTGCAATTTTGTCACTTTCATCATCAATATTGTCATCTGTTTTCGGTTGATTTTAATGAAATTCTATCTTGTGAGTTAAAGTTTTTAGCTTTTTTAGCTTTAACACATTCACAAAAAGTCACAAAAGTCATTTTTGTATTGGCTACCGTTTCGGACGAAAGCTAGACCTAAAACTTTGTAACCAAGAGCATTCTAGGGATTAAGAATCTGAATCCGTTAGTTTTTGAGCAACTTTAATTTGCCAAGCCAATCCGATCATCACAAAACTTCGGTAATTCGATTAAATTGGAGAAAAAAGAGCGAAAACGAGTTTGGGTTCAGTTTTATATCACCAGAATTGTGCCAGAAGCAGCACGATTACATAAACATAACGACTAGATAACATAAACATGAAAATTTTCACGTTTTTGTAGTCGGCCCTGGATTTGTTTGGGTAATTTGGGTAATTTGGGTAATTAAACCGGATGAAATCTCCAGAAATAGAGTAGCTTTCTTTAAAAATCAAGTAAAACTTCGAATTCCTTGACTCAGAAAACCACTGATGCAAATTTTTAGCCCAATTGACCTCAAAAAAAGATAGGCGATATCGTCGCAAATGTGTTCATTGTGAATAAGAATGTGAATAAGAATGTGAATAAGAATAAGATACAATAAGCTTGTCTTACAGTCTTACAGCTTACAAGCCATGGAAAGGCTACTCTACTTATAAGATATTGAAATTTCCCTTCAAAATTAACCCCATTTGGAATTTTTTGAGAAGCACACCGGCTCTCAAATCATCAAACGCCACAATATTCATGCACGATTTTTTATCCAGGTTGCAAAGCCAAAGGTATTACAAGCAAACACAACTTTTTAGTCCGGCCTTCAATTTCTCGTTTTTACCATCGATTTGTGCATGAACACGTTTTTCGACGAACCCGACGATCGTTTAATCACTTTTTTCTACTATTCACTTATTTGGATGTCTTTGCATACGATTGATGGGTACGGTGGATTGGAGAAACTACATAAGAATAAGAATAATAAGCTTGTCTTACAGTCTTACAGCTTACAAGCCATGGAAAGGCTACTCGACTTTTGGCCAAACAGGAATACAGTCGAATTAGCGATTTAACGATTCGTTTCGATCAGAAATTTCGAAGAAATTTTGATCAGAAAGTTTTGAAGACCTCTAAGAAGTGCTCCAAATTTCTTGTGTAGCTGTCCTGAACGGCCGACGATTTTTGGACAGCTAAGCAATTTGTTAGACAGCTAAGCAATTTGTTGGGCAGCTAAGCGAAAACCAAACCCTGTCAAGAGTCGTTAAATTGGGAGTCGTTAAATCGAGAGTATTCTGAATTCGGCTGTATTCTGAAGCCAGGACTAATTGCAAAAAACCTTTCTAGACTCATTATTTGTTGCTTTCGATCAAAAATCGAGCGCCGAAAGCTCGAATGGACACCGAATCGCATCTTTTCCACAGTGAATAACTCGGCGATTCCTAATCATTCGTAAAATGTTTTTTTTTTCAAATTTTTCCAATTCTCATGCCAAATTGTCATTAGAATATAGATCTAATAATTCTTTTTTAATAAAGAACACTTCCTATGCTTTTTTTTTGAACTTTATTCATTCAGAAATTCAGCTAATCGCTTAACTGATCTTCAAATTTCAGTGTGTAAACAAAAAATCAAATAATAAGAAAAATTTTTCCAAAATTCCCTTTCTCTTGTTTGTTTTTCTTTTTTAACAATTTTTTAATTTATATTTTGTGCTTTCTGGTAAAGTTTTTGCTTTGTTTTCCTTATGATATTCGAATAAAAAGGGGGGTGAGACAAATGCGACCTTTTTTTTGCGCACCTGGACATTTGCGCACCTTGCCTAAGGCCTTTTCCAGCAAAAAAAAAGTGCGCAAATGTCCAGGTGCGCAAAAAAAGGTAGCATTTGTCCCACCCCCAATAAAAAGTATGGAATCGATTGTGTCAGATGGTTTGCATTTGCTTGAGACATTGATTGATTGTCTACATTGAGTATATTGATTAAAATATAATTAGAAACGATGGCTGATGATGAGATGGCTGATGATCTTTATCCCATTGGCTGATCTTTATCCCATTGGCTGATCCCCAGCTTGATCCCCAGCCTGATCCCCGGCCAGAACCTTCCTCTCATCCAATCAAAGTTCATTTTTGAATCTCAAAATCTATTTAAACAACAAAATATATTAAAAATCTCTACAATAAAAGAAAAATTAAAAGCGAATTTGTCAAAAAAATTGATTAAAAATCTTTAAAACTACAGGAAAAGATCATTTGAAAGAACAAAAAGTCGCCAATCTTGCACTTTCCCCTTTTAAACTTAAAGAACTACTAAAAAGAAGCATTTCTCGAGTTTTCAGAATGAATTTATTAACAAAACGATCACTTGACTTCAAAAATTAACTTTTCCAAACTCCCGAGAGACCCACTTTTAGGGATGCGAATTTCCCAACTCCGATACACGATTTCAGTCAAAAGGACCTCATTTGCGGACAAATTATGTGTTTTCTTTTCTCCATTTCTTTTCCATTTCATTTCATTTTTTAATTTCTGAACGGAAATCCAATCATAAGTCAAGTCAAACTGTTGAATAATCCATTTGCACAATGGTAGAAAACTCTAGTGTTGTATTGGATGATTTTTTGCCTTTCATCAATCGAGTCGATGACTATTTAGCAGCTGGACTCATTTTAGTGGTACGTTTCGCTGAAACACAAATGAAAGCTTTGTTTTGTCTTCTCCAACATACATTCCAACGGTAAGTTATTTCAATTATCGATTATAGTTAGTTGGAGTTTGTATTGCTCTATTGCATTGCTGCATTGCTGTATTGCATTGCTGCATTGCTGTATTGCATTGCTGCATTGCTGTATTGCATTGCTGCATTGCTGTATTGCAATAGATCACTCTTGCGTTTGAAGCCAATCAAGATCATCCCAGTAAACAAGAGCTAGAAACTATTACCTGTGACTTCGACAAGTATTTTCGCAAAGGCAAACACTTCGATATCTTTTGTAAATTAGTCTAGCATTTGTGAAAGAAAGATTTTATATGTGTTTTATGACATTTTATTTTATACTATGCTTTAACATTACTTTACTATGCTTTAAATGCTTTAACAAAGCGCGCCCCTATAGGAACATTGCGTAGTCTAAATATGCACTCAAAGAAACGATCATATCTCTATGATTTGTTTGAGTGAACATTTAACAATGTAGTTAAAACGCAGCGCCGTCAGATTTCTCACAATCCAAAAAACCAAGCCGGCTCAAGTTTTATACCAAAAAATTCCTTGCGTTCTTGGCTACATGATGAGTTTTACTGCAAAATTCGCTTGCATTTATGTTCCGCATTTATGCATGAATTCAATGTTCCGAAGGTGTTCTTGGAATGATCCATTAGGATTTGAGAATTTTTCGATAAAGAAAGACATTACTGATTTCTAACTGCCATCTTTTGCCATTTCCAGGAGCCCTATTTGAGAACTGATTACTGTCCATTTCCAGGAGACCATATTACTGCTCATAGGTACTCTGGAAAACTTAAAAAATGGTTTTTTGAACCTAACAAAAAAGCAAAAAACAGTGAGGGGAATCGAACCAGGGTTGAAGTCAGTGTAATTTCAACGAGGCGCTGGCATACTATCCACTACGCCAAGCACTTTCCTCTTGGTCCTATACCGCGTCGTTTTTTCAAAAAGTGCCGCCTTCAAAAGTATTTTTCTTGAAAATTGCTATGGAGTAAAACTGAAAAATCGTGGCGTTTCTGGCTAGATTCCAAAACGACTAGGCTTAGGCTTAGGCTTAGGCTTCGGCTTAGGAGACTTGGTTTGGCAGGCTTAGACTTAGGCTTAGGCTTATTAGGCTTAGGCTTAGGCTTAGGCTTAGGCTCAGGTTTAGGCTTAGGCTTAGGAGACTTGGTTTGGCAGGTAAGAACTGACTCTGGTCTCTTCGGTCAGTACAAATTAGAGTTCTAAAACAGCCAAGGCCTAAGGCCAACCATACAAAAGTATAACTTCTTAACGCTGAAAGAGATTTCCCCAGAATTTTCAGATCTCAACCGCTGGCATTTGCATCAATCTGTGGAATTTCTTGTATTATCGCCGTGACACTCGATCGATCACCCAATTCATTTTATCTCGAATCATCTGTGATCTCATCGTTTCCACAATGTTCCTCACTTATGTGATGCCAGTTTGTCTATTGTGAGTCGTTTACACGCTAGTGTTGAACTGTATCAATGTATAGTTTTGGAAAAGATGAATTTCAATGATTAATTTCAATTCCCGATTTCAGTGCCTTAAATAATGTGGAGTCGGGTTTATGGAATCGTTTTTCTGACCTCTCCTCGAGTTGGGCTTACATGTTCATCGTAATTCTCGAGCCAATCGTTGCCATTAATCGCTTCATCGCCATTTTCTTTCCAACACTTTATGAGAGGATCTTCTGCAAAACTTTTTCAATTGTTAGTCTAAAGTTTTTAAACAAAATTTGCAAACAAAGAAGAAAAAACTTTAGATTTGCATTCTATCAGCTTTTCTCTCATCAAGTGGTACAATTATGGCTGATATTTTTGGTGAGTGAGATAAACACTTTGTTTACTTTACTTAACACGTTGACGACATTGTCACCTGATGCTGTCTGACACATATTCGTTCGCCTGGGACATTGTCACCTGATGTCAGGTGACAGTACCAAAATTGATTTTTTTTGTGCATATTTATGTTTGCTGATGATGGATATTAAATAAGCAAGTAGGGTAGTATCTATATTCGACTTGGTCCCGGAAAATGTCGACTTAACCGTTGATTATTAAAATTTTTTCAATAAAAGGCGATTTTAAAAAAATCGAGTCAGACGGATTTCGATAATTTCTTCACCATTCGATTCAGCACAATTTTCTGCGTCGAATGGATATTCAAACGTGAAATTCTGATACAGGGTGCGTCATAATTATTGCAACAAGAGTTCAAAGAGCGTTTTCCAAACAGCTTTCTTATTTTTTTGCCCCCTTTTTTGTTGTGTTGCGTTCTATCTTTTTTATTCTTGCCTAATTGCCTCCCGCTCACACGAAGAAGACGGTTCAGGACTGGTGTGTGGCCAACTTTCCCTCAGTGATCACCAAGGATGAATGGCCTTCAAACTCACCGGATCTCAATGTGATGGACTTTTCCATTTGGGCAATCTTAGAGGCTAATGTCTGCTCTCGAAAACACACAAGTTTGGATTCTTTGAAGAAGTCTTTGACCAAAGGATGGAAGGCGACTCCTCAAGATGACATTCGGCTGCACGGAGGCCGCAGGGCCGCAGTAGAGGCATATCCGAACCGATTAAGGGCTGTTATCAAGGCAAAAGGCGGTCATATCGAATGATCTCTTGTTTCCTTATTTGTTACTGTTAAATAAAGCTATTTCTGTTTAAAAATCTTCTTCCAGTGAAACTTCTTGGTGTGCAATGCCTTGAGTATCTTGTTGCAATAATTATGACGCACCCTGTAGAGAACGTTTTTTTGGCCTTATTTCGCACGGATTTGAGCCACTCCTTCATCATCATCTTCTCACCAGAAAAAGCTATTTAGTTCCCCATTGAGCTTAGGATTAGGGAGCCGCCTGTCATAGCTGTCGCCTGTCATGTCATTAAGTTAAGATATAGCCTAGTATTGTGTGTTGTTGTATTGTGATTGATTTATATCGTAAAGTTTTTCTGAATTGGCTTGATCTATGAGTTTGAACGATGAGTTTTGTCGTATTGGAAAGTGTAGGTTGGCCTACCGACGCCATGACGATTGTCATTGAATAGTTTGCCCCAGACATTGGGTAGAAACCAGCGCCAACTTCTTGTTCACGAGTTCTTGTGCTATTAAGAATGATCTTTGACAAAGCAATACATTTTCAAGGCAAAAGTTTTGCTGATTTCTTTTCGTCACTCAACTCACATCTAGTCTATGCATTCTGGGACCTTCTGAATTCTGGAATTCTGGGATATGAAGTATTTTACACAGAAACAGTCATCGGGTAGAAACCAACTGATAATACAATTTGATTGAACTTTTCCTCTATTCCAGGACCCGACTGCGTATACACATTTGATTATACGTGGCTATCGTGGGGCTATCCATCGACTCCGTGTGGAGATGCATCCGAAGCATACGGTTTTCTCATACCCGCCTACATCTGTAATGGACTCACTTTTGCGATAAATTTGATCGTTTGTCTACGACTGGTGATGCTGAATTGTCTCTGGGTAAGTGTTTTAAACTTGAAGTAAACACACCAGATCAATCATTGATCTAGTACTAGATCTAGATTTATCTAGATATAGTACTAGATCTAGTTCTATATCTAGATCTAGTTGTATATCTAGATCTAGATCTAGTTCTATACCTAGATCTAGTACTATATCTAGATTATGTCAAAGTGAATCAAATTTGAAAAAAAAAGACATTATGTTGAGTCAGGCACAGAATCTAGTCAATAATAATCTCTATAAACGAAAGTATCATCTTTTTAAAGTTTCCTCTAGTTGCTATTAGATCATTATTGACCAGGACTAGATCTAGATATAGCACTAGATCTAGATATAGTACTAGATCTAGATATAGCACTAGGTCTAGATATAGCACTAGATCTAGATATAGCACTAGGTCTAGATATAGCACTAGGTCTAGATAAATCTAAATAAATATAGATATGAAAATTATAGATATAGATAAATCTAGATCTAGTGCTATATCTAGATCTAGTACTATATCTAGATCTAGTCCTGGTCAATAATGATCTAATAGCAACGAGAGGAAACTTTAAAAAGATGATACTTTCGTTTATAGAGATTATTATTGACTAGATTCTGTGCCTGACTCAACATAAAGTCTTTTTTTTCAAATTTGATTCACTTTGACATAATGTAACTTTCCAAGAACTTATTGATTCAATTATGGTTCTTGGTTTCTTGGTTGCTTGATCACAAATCAACATTCTTAATCATAACTTAACTTCTTCAGAGCAAAAGCATCACGCAAAATAAACGCCAAAATGCTCACATTCGTTTCTTTATTCAGGTAAAAATTTTCAGTTTACTGTTGAAAGGAAACTTTTCAGTCATGCCTTCAATTCTTCGTTTTCCTTATCGATTTGTGCATGAACACGTTTTTCTCCGAACCGGAGAGTCGTTTAGTGACTTTTGTCTATTATACGCTCATCTGGATGTCACTGCACACAATTGATGGGTACGATTGATTTAACGATATTTAGAAATCAATAAAAATCTGAATTTCTTTTGAAAACAACTCTTTCTTTTCAATAATCTTTTCAATAATCTTTTCAGCTTTATCATCTACTTTTTTCGATCGAAGTCGTTGAAATCTCGAGCTGATTGGCGCTCGGTGAAATCACAAGGAGGATCGAGTGTCTCACAAGTGATCGCAAAATATTGATATTCGATTTCTTTTCATTTCATTGAAATTTCTGAAATGGGATTTGAATAAAGAGTGATTTCTTGTTTGCTATTGGTCTCGTAGCCATATTTAGCCTTGGATGAAGTTTATCACCCGCTTAAGGCTGCGTTCTCAGGCAACCCGACTCCAAGGAACGACCGAACGACTCCGTCACCACTCGTACAGCACTTCCATCTATGGCCCCAGTCAAAGGGACTTTGAGTAAGTGATGGTGCCGGATAGCCGCACCTATACGCTACATTTCATTCAAGTAAACATTCAAAGAATGACAACTTTTGCAAATTCGCAAACGAAAATGTGAATGATTAAAGATTGACTGAATAAGAAAAGATCACTCCTGGGAATCAACAATGGGTAACGTGACGAAAATCAGTTGCAATTTGAACTTAATTGCAGCTGGTTACTTTGAACTTTGAATTTTCTCATACTTTTTTAGAATTATATTTTTGGATTCTGATTAGGTATGTAATTTTTAGTCTTGGCTAAAACCTTGAACCTCCTTAAATCTTTACGATATCTCACTAGATATCTCTAGATACGATATCTCTTAAACTATCTAGTTGATATATGATTCCAAATGTCAGTCTGTCCGTCGGAGCTTTAACGGGGCACAGGAGTGAGTTTTTCGGAATCTCTAGATACGGAAAGTTTTTCGGAATCTCTAGATACGGAAAGTTTTTCGGAATCTCTAGATATTTGGGAATACGCACTCCCTAAAAGTTTAGGTAGTTGTGTCTTTTGAAAACTTTTTCAAAAAATACCCAGTCGAAAAAAAGTTATGTTCGGTTTTTGATGTTTTGTAGTGTTTTTTGGGAGCAGATCTCTGGACGACAATGGCTGAGTGGTTAGCGCGCTGGCTCCGAGTCCGAGGGATCGAAGGTTCAAATCCTTCTCCGGTCAAACCTTTTGATTTTTTACCAAAACCTCAAATATACTAGAAAAACCTTTTTAAGCAAAAAGAAGAATCCTTAACTTTGCGCTCGACTATTCGCCGTACCTAAACCACGGGCGGGAAAACCACGTTGCTCTAGACAGTTCTTTGCTATAGCTCTACAGCTTTCTACAACTCTTTTATACAGTTCAAGCTTGGCCAAAATCCTAAAGGAAAAAAATTCACAAATAAAAGAAAACAAGAGTTTACTTCTCGTCAACTTCTCTGAAGAGATCCTTCAATTACCTCATTTTCTGTTTTCAATTTTACTCTCGCCGATCTCTCTCGAGTACAGTTCAACAAAACCCCGGCCAAAGCAATCACATTTACGGGAAATCTCTTTTTTTTTGTTCACTTTACATTAACATCATTTCCATGGATCAATTTCCTTTTGTCAAGAGCTTTCACACGTCTATTGATGACTGAAAACTCGAGTCTTTTGCTGGCGGATGTTGGAGAAATTTTGCCTGATATCTATCGAGTTGACGATTATTTGGCAGCCGGATTGATCTTTTTGGTTAGTGATTTGTACTTTGTGCTCAAAAAAGAGGCACCAAAAGACTCTTTACAGTATAATATATGTATAAACTTCCCTGTGTACTTTGTACTGTTTCCTCTATTCCAGGACCCGATTGCGTATACGCATTTGATTATAAAAAACATTCACTGAACATTAATTTTGGTGTAGAAATCGAGTTTTGTAAAGCAAAATGAAACTATTAAGCGTATTTATGTTTCAATTTAGATAGCCACTTCTGGAATTGGGATCAATCTTTGGAATTTCTCGTTGTATCGCCGTGAAACCCAAACGATCACCCTATTGATTTTATCTCGAATAATCTGTGATATCATCGTTTCAACAATGTTTCTCATTTATGTGATGCCGGTGGTTTTATTGTAAGTTATTACCGTAAATACTGTAATAGTACCCCACCCCCATAATGACGGTGTGGAGTGATGCATAGTCTAGCTTTGAACGAGTTTTTCTCGACACTGGTTTATGCTATAATGTGCGCTTAGGTATCAAAAAATAGCTGAAATTCAGGGCTATTTTTTGATACCAAAGACGCATTTTTTGAAAGTACGGGCGCTTTGAAAAAAATGAAATACTAAAAAACTTTTGCGACTACGCGACTGTACGAGGGGGGTGGGGTACTATTACAGTATTTACGGTATATTTTATTGTAAGTTATTATATTTTATTGTAAGTTAATGTAAAACTAACTTTTTTTTGTTAAATTAAAACCAGTTTTTAGTGCTTTAACTGATGTTTATTCGGGTTACTGGAATCGGATTTCTGATTTAACATCCAGCTGGGCTTACATGTTCATCGTGAATCTTGAGCCGATTATTTCCACAAATCGCTTGATTGCCATTTTTTATCCAATGGCCTATGAAAGAATATTTCGAAAACGATTCACAATTGTGAGTTTCTTTTCTAATTTGTCTACAAGTTTGCTCCAAGAGAGTTAGATAATGTAAATCTACATAGATCTAAAAGATTTCAATTGGATAAAGGACTGGATTCACTTATTTACTAAAGCTTTAGGAGCTGATGAAATATGTCACTTTGAAAACTTCATAAGAACTTTTCAGGGTTGCCTTTTGGCAATACTGATCACCTCCAGTATCAGCATATTGCCTGACTTATTTGGTAAGAGATATTAATTTATAACTCTTAATATATTAATCTACTATATATAAGGAAAAGTGTCTGTCCGTCTGTCTGTCTGTCTGTCTGTCTGTCTGTCTGTCTGTCCATCTGTATGTCTGCCTGCCTGACTGTCTGTTCGTCTGTCGGTCTGTCTGTATGTCTGTCTGTTCGTCTGTCTGTCTGTTCGTCTGTCTGCCTGCCTGTCTGTCTATCTGTATGTTTGTCTGTCTGTCTGTCCGTCTGTCTGTCCGTCTGTCTGTCCGTCTGTCTGTCTGTCTGGCTGTCTGTCTGTCTGTCTATCTGTCTGTCTGGCTGTCTGTCTGTCCGTCCGTCTATCTGTACGCGCGAGTTCTCGGCTCCCTGTGAGCCAATTTACATGATTTTTAGTTTGTTAGGCTTAGAATTCTATGTAGTTGTGCATTTCATATTTCTTTTTTTAAAAAGCAAAAGTCACGACACAGCCGGGAGTCTGGTGGGGGCCGTAGACAAGCGCGCTCTCGACTGCACCCAAATTGAAAAGGTGAAAATAACGAAAGTTTACATACAAAAATTAGCAATCGCGTTATTTTGACGTCTACTTCTCTACTTATCTACCTGACTATATATGTCGTAGCCGAAAAGGTTTCAAATCATATCAGCTAGCCGAGGAAGTTTGAAATTTGAAACACCTGCCATTGGAAGAAATTGCTCTTTTTTGGGATTTCTTTTTGGAGGATCCAATGCACTTGCTGACAAGATTTTCTCCATTTTTGAAATTTTGAATTTGCCCCGTTTTTGTGCTCCCTGCGCTCTTTTCTTTTATTGAATCTGTTTATGAAAAATCCAGATCCAGAATCCAGAAAAAGATAAGAAAAAAATCGATCAGAAAATGTTTAGCGGATATTTCGGCTCAATATAAAGCTTCTTATCTCAAATTTTAGGCTATGATTGTGTCTATTCATTTGACTATACCTGGCTGGCATGGGGTTATCCATTGTCTCCTTGTGGCGATATTGCGACCACATATTTCTTCTTGCTACAAGCCTACGTTTGTAATGGAGTCACATTTCTTATAAATATTATAATTTCCCTGAGGCTGGTCGTGCTGAGCTGTGTTTGGGTGAGCTGAAAGGAAAAACTACAAAAGACTCAATGTCTCAATGTGTGAGAGAGAAATACCGATGGGGGCAATGATTATTAAATATTTATTCCGAATCTAGCACAATACTAATCTAGCGAGAAAATACAAAAGAATAGAATCAATCGTTGGTTCAGTGTTTCATAGCAATACGAAGAGAATATACGGAAAGACAATATAAAGTGGGCTCCGTCCCTTTATCATAAAAGCGATCTTTTAGAGGCGGGACAAGAAAATCAGACATTCAAATCAAAACATTAAATAAGATTTCACAGAAAAGAGCCACTTTTCTGCACACAATCTTTCAGAACAAGATCCCATCGACGAGTCGCCGCCAGCGCACCCACATTCGTTTCTTCGTTCAGTCGTGCCTTCAATTCTTCGTTTTCCTTATCGATTTGTGCATGAACACGTTTTTCTCCGAGCCGGAGAGTCGTTTAGTGACTTTTGTCTATTATACGCTCATCTGGATGTCACTGCACACAGTTGACGGGTACGATTGATTTAACGATCTTTAAAAATCGATAAAATCTGAAAATCTTGATTTTTTTTTCTAGATTTATCATATTCTTCTTTCGCTTCAAATCGGTGAAATCACGAGACAGGGGATCGGTTCACTTTTTGCGCTCTCGAGTCGGATCTGTCTCACAAATTGGTACCAAGTATTAATCTTTATAAAAAAATAAACAAATTCTATTAAATTCCTTCTCCGGTCGAACATTTTGATTTTTTACCACGAGCTCAAATCTAATAGAAAAACCTTTTCAAGCAAAAAGAAGAGTCCTTAAATTTGCGCTCGATTATTCGCCGTACCTACGGCGTACGGGAGAACCCCGTTGTTTTATACAGTTCTTTGCTATAGCTCTACAACTCGGTTCACTCTTTGCGCTCTCGAGTCGGATCTGTCTCACAAATTGGTACCAAGTAATCTTTAAAAAGGTAATCTTTAAAAAAAAGGTAATCTTTATAAAAAATCAACGAAATTCTATTAAATTCAAGTAATAATCTTTAATCAAAGAAATGTTATTAAATTTTGAAAAAAAAAACAATTTATTTTTGCCCAAAATCGTTCTCTCGTCAAAATGGAATCGAAGAAAAAAAGAAAAATCGAATCCCCGTCAAATTTTATATTGCGTTTTGTTTGGATAATCGAATCTCATCACTCAACACTCGCCCATTGCACGGAGGAAATCAGGACAATCCTGGAAATGTTTGAAAGTCTAGAAATTGATTGATGATCGAGTTTAAGCTAAAGCTACAGTAATCCAAGCTACAGTAATCCAAGCTACAGTAATCCAAGCTACAGTAATCCAAGCTACAATAATCCAACAGTTTTTTACTCTTTAAAGTTTTCTTGGATAGTCCCTTAATCAAAAACTTATCATAGCTTAAAAATTGTTTATCAATTATGGCTAAAACTTTGACTATGTTTACGTCAAACTAATGACTTCAAAAGTGACTTCAAACTTTTCTAGTATATTATTCTAAATTATTTCTAACAACTCCACAAAACTTCCTTGTTTTCTTTATAACCACCAAAAAAACAACTCACCGCCTCATTTTCAATCAACGGACTTGCCACAAAGTCCGCGTAACCTGGGGATCTGAATTCAGAAAACTATAAAGGTTGAAAAATGTTCCCAACTTTCTTTGCTGTTGTGCTAGTTTGATGAAAAAGTCACGTGTCTTGAGGATCTGATCGTTCAACCTTTTCTGATACGCCTCGAAATCGCCGTCATCGCCTGTCGTGTTCAACTGAAAGACATTGACTCACTACTGAATTTTTCTACAGTAAGCTTTCTTCAATTCTTTATCCTGGATGAAACTTACCAACTGCAGCGTTTCCTTGTTGTCCGAGGTTTCGAGTTGTCTGTAAAGTAAAGGTACAGAACTTTTTAACGTTAGGCTTTAGATTGAAACTAAAATACTGTATTTATTCTGGAAGCAAAACTAGAAACTATTGTATTTATTCTAAATTATTGTATTTATTTTATTCTAGAAGCGCTTTTATTTTTCAATCATTTCACAAAATTGCTTTTATTAGAGGCTGTGCTATGGAGGCTGTGCTATGGAGGCTGTGCTATGGAGGCTGTGCTATGGAGGCTGTGCTTCTATTGGAGGCTGTGCTTCTATTGGAGGCTGTGCTTCTATTGGAGGCTGTGCTTCTATTGGAGGCTGTGCTTCTATTGGAGGCTGTGCTATGGAGGCTGTGCTTCTATTGGAGGCTGTGCTTCTATTGGAGGCTGTGCTTCTATTGGAGGCTGTGCTTCTATTGGAGGCTGTGCTTCTATTGGAGGCTGTGCTTCTATTGGAGGCTGTGCTTCTATTGGAGGCTGTGCTTCTATTGGAGGCTGTGCTTCTATTGGAGGCTGTGCTACTATTGGAGGCTGTGCTTCTATTGGAGGCTGTGCTTCTATTGGAGGCTGTGCTTCTATTGGAGGCTGTGCTTCTATTGGAGGTTTCATTCATTTCTAATTGCTTCTATTGGAGGCTGTGCTTCTATTGGAGGCTGTGCTCTATTGGAGGCTGTGCTTCTATTGGAGGCTGTGCTTCTATTGGAGGCTGTGCTTCTATTGGAGGCTGTGCTTCTATTGGAGGCTGTGCTTCTATTGGAGGCTGTGCTTCTATTGGAGGCTGTGCTTCTATTGGAGGCTGTGCTTCTATTGGAGGCTGTGCTTCTATTGGAGGCTGTGCTTCTATTGGAGGCTGTGCTTCTATTGGAGGCTGTGCTTCTATTGGAGGCTGTGCTACTATTGGAGGCTGTGCTTCTATTGGAGGCTGTGCTTCTATTGGAGGCTGTGCTACTATTGGAGGCTGTGCTACTATTGGAGGCTGTGCTACTATTGGAGGCTGTGCTACTATTGGAGGCTGTGCTACTATTGGAGGCTGTGCTACTATTGGAGGCTGTGCTTCTATTGGAGGCTGTGCTACTATTGGAGGCTGTGCTACTATTGGAGGCTGTGCTACTATTGGAGGCTGTGCTACTATTGGAGGCTGTGCTACTATTGGAGGCTGTGCTACTATTGGAGGCTGTGCTTCTATTGGAGGCTGTGCTACTATTGGAGGCTGTGCTTCTATTTTTCAATCATTTCACAAAATTGCTTTTATTAGAGGCTGTGCTTCTGTTTCTCAATCATTTCACAAAATTCCTTCTAGGAGAGGCTGTGCTTCTATTTTCAATGACTATAAAAAATGAAGTAGTTTTTAGAAAGAAAACCTTTAAGTAACAATCAATTAAAAACAATTCAATCATCAATAAAGCATTCTTCTCGATTCCATTAACGTTAGAGTAATTCCATTACCGTTAGAGTTCCATTACCGTTAGAGTTTCAATCAAGATGTCACTATCGTAGTCAAGAAAAGCTACTGATTAAGCAATAATGATAATAATAATCTAAAAAAAGAACTAAACAAGAAAGATTCTTTGCTAAAAGATTGGATACTAACATCTAAAATGTCAAAATGTTTAAAGTGAGAATTTTATGGCATAAAATATCTAATACTTTACGTTACCTAGTCTAAGTTAAAAATTGATTCAAATAAGCTTAATACTTAATTACAAGAAATCAACAAATTGCTAACTTATCAAATTTACCGCTGAAAAACATCAAAATTGCTAAAAGCAAATGATAAAGAATGCAATTTTTCCCAAGAAAAATGTTTTATATATTCTTAAAGGCTCGAAACTAAAGGTATTCAGTCTATTAATATCTATAGTGCTTCTATTCGAGGAAGTGTTTCTATTTTTCAATCATTCCACCAAATCTATTAGAGGCTGTGCTTCTATTGGAGGCTGTGCTTTTATTGGAGGCTGTGCTTCTATTAGAATAGAATATGGTAACCTTGTTGGCGCTGCTGTGATCACGTCAATCACGAGCAGGACTGCGCATATCAAGGAGGCGCATAGCATCTCCGATTTTTACCTAAAATCTACGAGTTTAAACTATTAGTGTTATACATTTTCTGAAAGCTCTTTTCAAGGGCTACACAATGGTAATATTAATATTTAGAAATACGGTAAAAACAAGGGAGTTACAGACGCGCGAAAGTGACGATCTTTTTTCAAATATGATATGATTGATCAAATGATATGATAATCAGAATATGATAATCAGAATACGATAGTCAAACATGATTGTCCAGTAGTGTGCCTCATGCAGATCAAGAGAAAAGTAGAAATTGTTTATTGAGAAAAGTAAAAATGATTAGTAAAAGATAAGTAAAAGATAGTAAAAGAGAAATTTATGGAAATCATCGTCAAAAAAAAGCTTAGTGATTCAGCTTTTCTCCCTTCAATGATGATAATTGAGATCAAATGAAAAATTAATTTTTCATCTTAATCCAACCAACGATTTCATTCAATACTCAAAGATTGATGAAAAGATAGAAAGGAAAAAGTGCAAATGAATATTCATCATTTATCTAGATCTCTTCGCTCTTCATTTCATCATCATTTTCATTCATATTCACTCAAAAAAAATGCAATATCGCACGAAAGAAAACAAATATTCGGAGAAATTCAGAAAATGAGAATTTTCAGAGAAAACTTACAGAGAAAACTTGCAGAGAAAGAGAGAGAGAGATCATTTTATGGGGAACAGATTTTCTTCAGGATTTTCCCTCGATCCCTTCCCATCATTACAATGCAACTTTGATGAACAAGTAGAACATAAGGAAGCTTTTTTTTAGGTTTTTTGGATTTGAAAGAAACCTAGCAGAAACTTGAGTTGATTTGTTGGATAATTATGTTTAAAGATAGGAAATATAGCTTAAAATGTAGAGGAGAAGAATTTGATTTGTTTTGATTTGAAAGAAAAAGATTTGTTCAGATAAAAGCTTCATAATCTAATAAATGGATTTTACGAAAATTCATCAGTTATCTAGATCTCTTTGCTTAGGCTTAGGCTTAGGCTTAGGCTTAGGCTTAGGCTTAGGCTTAGGCTTAGGCTTAGGCTTAGGCTTAGGCTTAGGCTTAGGCTTAGGCTTAGGCTTAGGCTTAGGCTTAGGCTTGGGCTTGGGCTTAGGCCTATTAAAAACGCCGAATCATCATTTTCATTCAAATTCAAGCCCATTTAAAAACACTAAGATAAGCAATGGATTAAGAGCTTGTGAACTTACATTAAGAACTTGTAAAAGTAACTTAGAAAAACCTTTAAATAGTTGATAAAACTTTGCAACAACTGAGTGATCAGTGATCAACAACATAAACGATTACAAAACAATCATCAAACAAAACAAAAAACCCAAGTTTTGTAGCAATAAAACAATATAAGAAAAACAAAAATAACTCAAGAAACTTGAGATGAAAGAAAAATGAGGAAGTTGATTTGGCCGTTAGCCTAAGCCGTTAGCCTTTAAGAAAATGAAAAATTCACATTCTGTAATACAATCCCCACATTGTTAATCCCATCAAAAAGCTGTTTCCAATATTTCCAATATTTCCTATTTATCTCCCATTCCCTTTCCTCCAGAAGCCATAAATTTACTTCCAAAAAGTGAGAAAACAAAATTTTAGGGCTTTAAAGTTTTATTTTTGAATCATGAATTTTGAAATTTTGGGTTTTGGTTGAAAAGAAACCCTATCAAATGTAGTGAAGCTTTTTGAAAGGGAAAACAAGACAGAAAAAGGCGGACAAACAAGGCAGACAAGACAGAAAACTGAATTTTGGAAAAAATTTGCTATTTTTTAAAGAATGAGTGTAGAAATTGTATTAGTTAGTTTAAAATTAAGCAAGAAATAAGACATAGCAAAATTAGATAACTTTTTAGAAAACTATAAGTTTAATTTTCTGTTTCTGTCTTGTTTTCCCATTCAAAAAGCTTCTCAACCAACAATTTTGACTTTTCTTGGGTTGGGGAGAATGAGTCGGCGCCGAAATTTAAAGAAACTTTTTGCACCCATAAAACCTTCTTTAAATAAACGTTTTGTTTCATCAAAATGGTCCACTCTTTCTTTACAAAATGGCTTTTGAGAGATTCCACAAAGCTTTTCTTTTTTGGGATTTTATGGATTCCCAAACACAGCTAATCAAAATGACAAAAAGTCCGACTCATTGCTTGAACAGTTTCTTCCACATAAACCTCCTTTGGTGTTTATATAAAAAAGATCGAGCACACTCAATTACATAAGTTACCAAATTTTCAGGAAGATCCCTCCAACCGTTTACTCTAGATGACAGTTTATCGATTTTGTGAAAAAATGATCCTTTGTTGAGTTGAGGCGCTGTTTGGGTTCTCTTTTAAATATTATTTTGTAGAGAATTAGTTACCCTTCTACGGATATCAAACGCATATCATTTGACAAAGTCTGCTATAAGTTTTAGAAATTTCTTTGATTTTCGGCGCCGACTCATTCTCCCCAACCCAATATTTCTATGCATCACGTACTTGTCGGTTAGCATAATATTAGCATTAGCACAAACATTAGCATACCATATAAACAAGTCAAATTATCAATTATGTGTAGCACAAGGGTTAAAGATGTTCAAGGAATACTTCTAGATTAATTTACAATAGAAATAGCTAAACTTGACCCACGTAAAAGAGTAGTTTGATGCTAATTGACAAGAAAGAAAACTGAATTTTAAAAAAAATTGCTATTTCTTAAAGAATGAGTGTAGAAATTGTTTTATTTTGTTAAAAATTAAAACAAATAATAAGACAAAGCAAATTTAGATAACTTGTTAGAAAACTATAATAAGTTTAAGTAAATAAAAATTGATAAATAAGCATCTTAGAGTTGAAATTGATATAAAGGGTGGTTTATTTGGCTGTTTATTATAAAAGAAAGGCAACTGATGCAAGTAGAAAGTAGAAAGACATCAGTTACAAGATTTATCTTGCTTCCAGCGCTAATATTGGATGTAGTTAAAGCAGCGCCAGAATAGAAAACGTTCAAAATAGTGTCGTCAAATTTCTCACAATTCAAAAAGCCAAGCCGGTTCAAGTTTTATACGAAAAAATTCCATGTGTTCTTAGCTAGATGATGGATAAAATAGTTGTTTAAAAAGTTAATATTTCATAGATCAAATTAGCCTTCAAACTGTGCTCATAGCGCTCTCATAGATCAAATTAGCTTTCAAACTGTTCTCATAGTGCTCTCATAGATCAAATTAGCTCTCAAACCGTTCTCATAGCGCTCTCATAGATCAAATTAGCTCTCAAACCGTTCTCATAGCGCTCTCATAGATCAAATTAGCTCTCAAACCGTTCTCATAGCGCTCTCATAGATCAAATTAGCTCTCAAACCGTTCTCATAGCGCTCTCATAGATCAAATTAGCTTTCAAACTGTCCTGTTTTTCTGTCGAGAGATACTAAGTTGGTTAACTGAATCTCTTTATTTTGAAACTGATTTTGAAATTTGACCGCGCTGATTGAACGTTTTCTATTATGGCGCTTTTTTAACTATATTCCTAATGTTGGGTTCTAAACCTGTAAGCCAGGACAGGCTAAAGCACTGAATCCAGGTCTAGACCTGGCTTCTAAGACTAAGAGCTTTTGCGCGCTAGGCCAAAGGCTGCGGGCTAAGACAGGGTTTCTAGCTAGACTTGGCTTGGAAAAATGTCTTTAGAACAACCCCCGCTTTGATAAATATGCTATCTTGAAGAAACACGAAGATGAACAAATGAGTTGCTTTTCTACTCTTGTCTTGTGTCTTGTCTACCCTCGCATAAACTCATCCCTTGGGTCTTCCCTTCACTCCTTTCATCCATCCCATTGGGGGTGACCCTGGACTGAAAAACAGAGTCTCCTTCAACCCCACCGCCACAAAAAGATCCCAGTTTGATGTCAAAAAGGTTGTCGATTTTCTTGCTTGCTTTGTGGATGAGTGGGAAGACCGAAAACTCATCAATTCACCACATTTCGCATAAATCACGAGAATTTTGAGAATTTTTTGACTGAAAACAGAAGGATGAGCTAGCAAATAGGAAAACTTATTTGGGATTTGTTTCTGGCTTGTTAGTTTGTTAGTTTGTTAGTTTGTTAGTGTAGTGTTAGTTTGTTTAAAATTAAACAAATAATAAGACAAAGCAAAGTTAGATTACTTCAGGTAAAAACAGGAAAACAGATTTGGGATTTGTTTCTGGCTTGTTGTTATTGCAGAATGACTTTAAGCTCAAGTTAGAGATGATTCTAATGCTCTAAAATGTCTTTTCATAGCGTAAAACTAAAACAAACTTATCTAGTGATTTGTTCATTTGACAAAGAAAACGTTAACAGTACGGTAACGTACAGTTTATAAAGTTCGACTAGAGGAAACCTTTGAAAAAAGTATTTGATGTACTTTGCCCAATGAAATGAATTTGGAAATTTACGCAAAAGCTGCGAAATGCAATATAATGAGGATTTCTCGCTCCTTCTCAATAAACATTGCCACTTTCCGCTCTTCTTTTTGCTCATTTTGAGTGACAAGCCTCCTCCTCTAACTAAAGCAACCAAAAATTACGAGGAAACCTTCAAATTCGGCAAACCAATTAAAAAAACATTGAAGGAAGTTGTTAGAGATCTAATTAGGAATAAAATTAGATGCGTTGAGGAAAATATGGAATGGTGAGGGTTAAAGTTATGAGTTGAACGCATAGAATAAGCGATAATGCTATTAGCAGCAAAATGATTCAAAAGAAAAACAAAACGCTGCATTAGGGATTGAACTCTAACCCTGTGAGCCGCTTATCTACTGGTCGTTATCCACCAGGCCACCAACCTACTTTTTCTCGGCCTGGCAAAAGCGTTTTAAAGCCTCCATTTTGACGCCAAGAGCTCACCTTTAGCTTGTGTTTTTCCTTAGTTAAATTCATTGCAAAACTTGAATTCATATTTTCTCTTCTTCTTGATTATAATCTCATTGATGAAGAGATCAAAATCAATTCAACGAATAAAATCTGAGGGAAATGGTCTTAAAATTGACGATCTTTTAGGAAAAAAAGCATTATTAGATCGCAATGAATCAATTAAAATCATGAATTTCAATAAAACACTACTATTTAAGATAATCGATTTCAACTATTTCAACCATTTCAACCATTTCAACCATTTCAACAATTCCAACAATTTCAACCATTCCAACAATTTCAACCATTCCAACCATTCCAACCATTTATTCACCATTTTTCTTTCCTAATCCCATTTCTTTCAATTCTCTCTCTTCTTTCGTCGATCGAATCGCGAAAATCCGTTTCCCTAAAGAAAAGTTTTTGATTGAATAACGTTTAAAAATACTTGGAAGAATGATTTTCTTTAATTAGCTACTTTTAAATAAGCTACTTTTAAATCAGCTACTTTTAAATAAGCCACTTTTAAATAAGCCACTCTTAAATAAGCCACTCTTAAATAAGCCACTCTTAAATAAGCCAATTTTAAATAAGCCACTCTTAAATAAGCCACTCTTAAATAAGCCAATTTTAAATAAGCCACTTTTAAATAAGCCACTCTTAAATAAGCCACTCTTAAATAAGCCACTCTTAAATAAGCCAATTTTAAATAAGCCACCTTTAAATAAGCCACCTTTAAATAAGCCACCTTTAAATAAGCCACTTTTAAATAAGCCACCTTTAAATAAGCCACTTTTAAATAAGCCACTTTTAAATAAGCCACCTTTAAATAAGCCACTTTTAAATAAGCTACTTTTAAATAAGCTACTTTTAAATAAGCTACTTTTCATAAACTATCTTTAATAAGTTACTTTTGAAAATAAAATACTGTTTTTTCTTAGTTAATCTTCAAAAAATCCTCCCGTCACTCACATTTCCGAAGCCGATTTGACCGATGAAACTTTGGGGTTGTTGATTTCCTGAAATTCATTTCAAATCAACAACTTTTAAGCACTTTTTCTCAAAGATCTTTATGTATTTTCTAATATATTAAAAATATATATGAAAAACTAATCCGAGTTCGAAAAAAAACAACTTTTAAAGCACCTTTTTGAAGTCAAACACCCACCCGACATTTGTCCATTGAACTGTGGTACCTGAAAACTATCGTTGATACAGAAAATTCTCTCAAAACACCAACAATCGCTGGCCCAATCGGTTTTCCATTGAAGAAAGTTTGATCGTTGAATTGCGAATATTGACCAATGAAAAAATCTGAATCTTAATCTATTGGGTTGGTGGAAAAGTCCTTTCGGATTTTTTGGGAGAGTACCTCTAGCTCCAGCTCTAGCTCCAGCTCTAGCTCCAGCTCTAGCTCCAGCTCTAGCTCCAGCTCTAGCTCCAGCTCTAGCTCCAGCTCCAGCTCTAGTTCCAGCTCTAGTTCCAGCTCTAGCTCTATCTCCAGCTCTAGCCCCAGCTTCAGCTCCAGCTCTAATCTATTGGGTTGGTGGAAAAGTCCTTTCCGATTTTTTGGGAGAGTACCTTAAATTTGTCCAATTTTGACGTTTTCAGACTATAAAATAAGAAAAATACACAAAAACCATAAAAACAGGTAAGCAAAAAGTGAAATGGGGCTCATAACATAATACGACGTTGTTGCGGTAATTCTTGGTCACCCTGTATAAGTTCAATCCTTGGCTTTTCACTTAAATAATGCTGTTATTCGTTTTTTGACGTCTTGTATGGGAACTTCGAATAATAAAGTTTTTTTAGTAAACGGAAAAATAATTACGGAAGTGAAGGTGTAGATAGCATTTGATTTGATTTCATATTTCATTTATTTGATAGTTTTAGTTTTTTCTTGAACTTTTAACTTTTCTATTGGGTTGATGGAAAAGTCCTTTCCGATTTTTTTGGGAGAGTACCTTAAATTTGTCCAATTTTGACATTTTATAGCTCATCCTAAAGCTGAATTCAAGACGGATCGTTTGGTAAAAACCGTTTTGAGATATCTCTTTTCTAAAAGTTTTTACAGCTCTTTTAGTAAAGGGCGGCAGAGCCAAAAAATGGCTGTTTTCACGTTTCGTTAGTTTTCCGTGCAGAACCCTAGGCTAAAAACACGAACCCAATAAATCTAAATCTTAATCTTAATCTAAAGATGATTGATTTTATGAGAAAAAACCATTGTTTACCTACCATTGTTTCCATCGTTTCGTTGATCCATTCCGGTGAAGTAACGACCTAGATTTTGAGCTAAAAATTAAAATCCCAAAAGCCTAACTTATTCCAAAATATCCAAACGGCAAATAGAGTGTGGGTGGGCCGTCGAATCCTTGCAGATTATTATAAAGAGTGAAATCGTCTCCATTTTGTGGTTGATTGAAACCAGTGGGTGGACCGTTGAAAAGGCTGAGAGCACCTTGCGAGAAGAATCCCAACGATTCGCTGAATATTTTGCTGAACATTTCAAATTACATCTATCTATATAAACTATATAACTTTAGAACTTGTTTTGTAACCGATGTTCGATTTTTGTGTGGATTGGAGAAGGGTAAAGGTAAAGGTGGTAAAGGTAAAGGTGGTAAAGGTATGATGGTAAAGGTGAAGGAAGGTAAAGGAAGGTAAAGGAAGGTAAAGGAAGGTAAAGGAAGGTAAAGGAAGGTAAAGGAAGGTAAAGGAAGGTAAAGGAAGGTAAAGGAAGGTAAAGGAAGGTAAAGGAAGGTAAAGGAAGGTAAAGGAAGGTAAAGGAAGGTAAAGGAAGGTAAAGGAAGGGAAAGGAAGGTAAAGGAAGGTAAAGGAAGGGAAAGGTAAAGGATGAAATCAGCTTCAGTTCATTTCAATCTTCAATAATTTGGTTTGTTTCGTAGTTTTGGTGGTTTTGGTTTAGAGAAATGCGGAATTTGTGGCAAAATACTAACAGAATTAAGGCAAGGGTTGCTCCCAGGAATTTTAGCATATTGACAGCCAGAAGACGAGAAAGTTCAGTCGTTTGTCGTTTTAATTCAGTCGCTGCCTTTGCCTTACTGATTCCAAAAGGAAAGCCTTTTATACTGGGGCGGTTCGGCAGATGGCGAGCGATTATCCGCACAAAGAACATTTTGCCCGTCATTTTTATAGGGGATTCTTTTGTCGATGCCAAAGATCTTCAGTTGCAAATTTGTACCCCGGGGTTTTCAGGATCGGGAAATCGATTGGAGCTATTCATTTTATTGAGTCAACGAATCTGAAGCTATTCTGAAAGCTGGGCAAACGATATAAAAGGTTACTAAACAAGAGCTTTTAGTCTGCTTTGTATTTCCGTAAACAACGATCTTTTTTTTCTTCAACTTATAGCACAAAATAAGCTACACTAGTTCAATTGAGTACAAAAAGATCTTCAGCTGTAAATTTGTACCTCCGGGGGTTTTCAGGATCGGGAAAACGATTGGAGCTATTCATTTTATTGAGTCAACGAATCTGAAGCTATTCTGAAAACTGGGCAAACGATATAAAAGGTTACTAAACAAGAGCTTTTAGTCTGCTTTGTATTTCCTTAAACAACGATCTTTTTTTTCTTCAACTTATAGCACAAAATAAGCTAGAGCAATCCAATTGAGCTTGTTTTCATTTAATCAAAAAACTTACCCTGAAAATAGCGCCAAAATCAACGAATATTTCCACATTTTCACCTCAAATCGAATAAATTTCAGATAAATTCATTAGTTTTATGAAAATCCAAATCGTTTTTTTGTTTTTTTTGATTGTTTTCAGCTTTCATTAGTCATTGGAATGTCGGTTTTTTTCGTTTTTAATTTCTTTTCCATTTCTTTCTCATATTTATCCATCTGATTTAAAAGCTGTGAAAATTTTCAAAACTTTTCCGGAAATTAATAAGTTTTTCTTGATCGAATTCTAGCTGAAATTTCGAATCTTTTATTCAATCTTTTCGATATTTACAGAAAAAAAGGAAAATATCACAGTGATTATGCAAATTGGGGGGTGGGACAAATGCTACCTTTTTTTGCGCACCTGGACATTGGCGCACCTTCTTTTTTTGCTGGAAAAGGCCTTAGCAAAGGTCGTAGAGCTTCGAAAATGTTTCCATACTGGGGAATCGTATGCGTAGATTCCGAATTTCGACAAATCAAAGCAAACCAGACCTCGCTGACACGTTAAATTTGAGCTAAAAGGCAAAAACTACGCAACTTAACGCTTTCCCGCAGTTTTTGCCTTTTAGCCCAAATTTGACGTGTCAGCGAGGTGTGATTTGTCGAAATTCGGAATCCACGCATACGATACCCTTCTATGAAAATATTTTCGAAACTCTACGACCTTTCCTAAGGCCTTTTCCAGCAAAAAAAAGGTCGCATTTGTCCCACCCCCGCAAATTGCAAATGAATTATGCAAATTATTTTATATGCAAATTGCATTCCACTGAAATTTACCGTATTTCTTCGAATAGAAGCCCGGGTAAAGAGTATCATCGCGTACTCCTGCAGCCCTTCTTAAGCAGCCCTTTTTAAAATTTCTTTTCTGCATAAAAGCTTTCAATGAAGTGCTATAGAGCTGGAAAATGGCTCAAAAATACCACATGATTTTTGCTAACAGATTTTTGAGCTTTAATCAATATTTAGTCGTTTGATTTCGAGGCTCAAATCGCTCCTCCTTTTGCCAAAAGTACTTCTTTAATACGAGTAGGCATCGATGCAATTAATTCATCAAGAATTTAAGGTCCAATCGTCCTTCAAAATCTGTTAGCTCATGTGGTATTTTTGAGTCATTTTCCATCTCTATAGCACTTGATTGAAAGCTTTTATGCAGAAAAAAATCATCGCGTACTCCTGCGTAGCAGGAGTACGCGATGATACTCTTTACCCGGTCTTCTATTCGAAGAAATACGAAGAAATATGCTTTACAAATAAAAATCTCGAAAAATAAGCAAAAATCGAAGAAAATGAGGGGTAGAAAAGGGTAAAAAATGTACTCGAAACGTGAAAAAAAGCAGCACCCGTATTGAAAAGGAAAGTGAAGGCTTTTTGAAAGGATTTTTCGAGGAAAAATTGAGATAAAATAAGCGCAACAATGATCAAAACAGTTTAAGAAACGAGGAAAACTTTAGAATTCTCTTTTCCTCTTTCGTTTTCACCATTTTCACTGATTAAACTCCGATCCGGCAATAGTTTTGGCACTCGGCTCGTGTCGCGAACCTGAAAAGTTGATGAATGGATCATTAGAATCATCAGAAACATCAGAAACTTGAAAATAAATCGAATTTTTAATAGTTTTATGTCATTTTTCAGTGAGGAAAAGTGGTTTTTTCATGATTTTTTCAAAAAAGAATACCATTTCCCGATCACTAACCGATTCTCGTTTCCACCACAGCTCTGCACTCCAAATGGGTAACACTGTTGTGTCGTTTGATCAAAATAATATCTGATTTGTAGATCGGAAGCCTCTTCCGAGAGATTATCCACATTTTGTGATGGGCATAGACCAGAATCTGAAGAAAAAAAAAATAAAAACAGTACAGTTAAAGGACAGTACTAGCTTGAAGCACAGTACTATCCTAAAACCGATCTTAAAGTACTATCTTGAAGTAAAGTACTATTTTAAACTTATCTTAAATACAGTACTATCTTAGAGCCGATCTTAAAGTACGATCTGAAAGTACAGTACTATTTTAAATCTGCCTTAAAGCACAGTACTATCATAAAACCGATCTTAAAGTACTATCTGAAAGTACAGTACTATTATAAACTTGTTTTAAAGCACAGTACTATCATAAAACCGATCTTAAAGTACTATCTTGAAGTCCAGTACTATTATAAACTTATCCTAAATACAGTACTATCTTAAAGCCTGTCTTAAAGTACTACCCTGAAGTACAGTACTATTGTAAACCTGTCTTAAAGTACAGTACTATCTTAAACCCGATCTTAAGGCACTAGCTTAAAGTACAGTACTATTTTAAACCCATCTTAAGGCGCTAGCTTAAAACCGATCTTAAAAAAATAGTACTGTACTTCAAGATAGTACTATCTTGAAGTACAGTACTATTTTAAGCCGATCTTAAAATCTTTCCTAAAGTATCGCTACAATACTATCTTCAGCCTTAAAAATGTAGCCATTGATAGCTTCAGCTTCTAATTACTCAACCTTCAACAGTTTTGTCTAAATTAGTACTAGTTTATAGCCAAATAGCCATATATTTATATAGATTTTAAAGTTCAAACTTCTTTAACTTACCCGGGGGTAGATAACAAATACTGGGATAGTGCTCAACAGCGGCAAACACAGGTGGATCCGGGATTCTCATCCCCAAAACGACAAAGAATATTGAACACAGGAAGATCAATACGTAATTCAACCAAAACATCTGAAATTCCTTTTTAAAAACAAGCAATAAGAGTCAATTTTACAAAAAGAATTAGAAAAGTCATCAAAAAATACGAAAAACAGATGCTTTTCTAGATTTTCTCAAAAAAAAAGTCATTTAATGTCATGTAAAGAAATCAAAAATCAATTTAGCGTTGAAAAAGTCAAAAGATTTTGTGAATTAATTGTTAAATAATAAGAAAACGACAAGGTTTGACTGAAATATGATAGAGAAAAATTAATTTTTGCCGCAGAATCGTTTTTCTTTTCGCTCAGAACGCTCAAATCTCAAAATTTGATGTAAATTTAAATTCAATTTCAAAATCGAAAAGCTCAAGTCGATTTGTGAACGATTTGAGACAAGCTTTTGTCCTTTGTTTGCCTTTTGAATAACAAATACACATGGTTTTCCGTTTTCTCCATTTTCGGAAAAGCAAAATGCCAAAATGCCAAAAAGAAACGGGAAAAATCTAGAAATGCAATGTAAAAATAAACAAAAAATGTGTCATGTTTGTCAATTTTTTAAAAATTTGATTTCTTGAAAGACAAGGCTTTGATTTTGGCGCATTTTGGCGCACAATAAGAACCCGAATCTTAACGAGTCGGATGATGTTTCCCTCATCAAACAACAATTCGGCAAGGATATCAATGACAGTCGACGCTTGAATCGAGCAGGCTTGGTAACTAGGCCAAGAAACATCTGATGATTGCCAAGCACAGGAAGATCTGACTCGAGTTCGCAAAAAAACCAAAGTCGGATGTCAAATGACTGGGCCAATGTCATTTTCACCGATGAGTCGAAGATCAATCTCTGATTCTGATCAACCCTGATCTTGACCGGAGGCAACTTGATCCGGAGACCATTCGGACAACGTCATAACATCAAATACTTGCAGCCGATAGTCGAATTTCGTTCCGGATTGATGCTTTGGGGTAAAAAAACTTGTTCCCTTGCTAAACTTGCATTTTTTCCAGGAGCGATGACTTCACCGGGTTCGCTCACATTTCTCAACTCAACCTTGAATGCTCAGCGGTACAAGACAAGCCTGGAGAATGATCTTCTTCCATTTGCAATCACAAATCTGGGACAAGGATGGTTGTTGTACCAGGATAACGCTCCGTATCACAAGTAGCAAATGTTGATGGGAAGGGTTGTTCGATTTGCAAACGGTGGAAGAGCTTGTTTACCGGGCTGGTCGCTTCGCCGGTTCGCTTCGCCGGTTCGCTTCGCCGGTTCGCTTCGCCGGTTCGCTTCGCCGGTTCGCTTCGCCGGTTCGCTTCGCCGGTTCGCTTCGCCGGTTCGCTTCGCCGGTTCGCTTCGCCGGTTCGCTTCGCCGGTTCGCTTCGCCGGTTCGCTTCGCCGGTTCGCTTCGCCGGTTCGCTTCGCCGGTTCGCTTCGCCGGTTCGCTTCGCCGGTTCGCTTCGCCGGTTCGCTTCGCCGGTTCGCTTCGCCGGTTCGCTTCGCCGGTTCGCTTCGCCGGTTCGCTTCGCCGGTTCGCTTCGCCGGTTCGCTTCGCCGGTTCGCTTCGCCGGTTCGCTTCGCCGGTTCGCTTCGCCGGTTCGCTTCGCCGGTTCGCTTCGCCGGTTCGCTTCGCCGGTTCGCTTCGCCGGTTCGCTTCGCCGGTTCGCTTCGCCGGTTCGCTTCGCCGGTTCGCTTCGCCGGTTCGCTTCGCCGGTTCGCTTCGCCGGTTCGCTTCGCCGGTTCGCTTCGCCGGTTCGCTTCGCCGGTTCGCTTCGCCGGTTCGCTTCGCCGGTTCGCTTCGCCGGTTCGCTTCGCCGGTTCGCTTCGCCGGTTCGCTTCGCCGGTTCGCTTCGCCGGTTCGCTTCGCCGGTTCGCTTCGCCGGTTCGCTTCGCTGGTTTGTGTCAAGCTTGTCGTAATGTCGTTTTGATCAATTTTTTGATCTGATCTGATCAATTTTGCAATTTTGCCTTAAATTAACCCAAATAGAATGAAAACGGACAAGATTACGGTATGTTTTTGAAATGATCGTTAGAAAAAGTTTAGAAAAAGAAAAAGTAAGTCAAAAGTCGTTGCTAGCAAGTCTACGAGTAAGGAGAGTTTCGTTTTTTGCTGTTTTTTGCGGAAAACACGGCGATGCTGTGTTGGGATTCTGATTATTAAAAAATACCGACTGGGGCTACCAGTGGTGAATTTATCGCATACACGAAATATATCAATCACAATACAACGACACACACAATACTAGGCTATATCTTAACTTAACCCACGTCATGACAGACGGCTCCCTAACCCTAAGCTCAATGGGGAACTAAATAGCTTTTTTGGTGGTGAAGGGAAGATGACGATGAAGGATTATGGATAAATTTTCAGCTTTTTTCATCTCTTTTCCATTTCTCTTGTCAAAATTGTTTCGTTTTTGTGTGGAAAAATTTCCGAAACATTTCTCTTTTCTCTTTTTTCTCTTTTGTCGCTCCGAATACATAGCCTTGAAATTGGGCGTTTCTATGGATGAACGAGCAGTGAATATCAAGTGAATAATAAAGTGAACAAACGAAAAAATGACGAAAAAATGACTTTAATTGGAAGAGCTTTTAACTTATCAATTGAAAAATGATTTTAAAGATTATTTTATATTTATTGAAAACAGAAGATATTGTTTTTCTTTAAAATTTAGTTTTAAAGTTAGAAGTTACTTTTCCTTTTTGCTTTTCTATTGGGTTGGTGAATTGAAAACTGCGGACTATTGTCATATGTGACAGTTTGAGCACTTTCTTCAAAAGAAACCCATTTTGGTGTCAATAGAAAAGTTGTAGAGAATCAAAAATAAAGCTTATATCCAAATTTTCAGAACGATTCAAAAACTGGTTTACAAGAAATGCGAAATTTACGAACTTTCACAAAACTTGCATTTTAAGCGAAACTACTAAGTGTATCTTTTTGGAAATTTGGATATAAGCCTAATTTTTGATTCTCTACAACTTTTCTATTGACACCAAAATGGGTTTCTTTTGAAGAAAGTGCTCAAACGTCCTCCAGGGACATCTCCAGTCCTCCATTTTTGAGTCTCACACTTGTCTCACACACAAACCAAAATCCTACTATGAAACAGGAATCCGCAAATAGCCTGTAAAATGGGCAGAAGTCGTCAATAATAATGGTAATTATTTGGAATGAATTGATGGTTTTATTTTGAATAAATTTTAGTTGAAAGTCCCGCAGTTTTTAATTTACCAACCTAATGCTTTTCCTTTTCCTTTTCCTTCAAAAGATATTGTTTTTTTACTTTTCCAGTTTTCAAAACAGTTCTACAAATTCATCTTTGGATGGAAATGATGGAAAGTTTAGGGAATTTTAGGTACGAATTTAAAACTAATCAAATAGGGAGAAGAGTGCCCGAAAAAAATTGACCCAAAAACCCTAAATACACGTTGCAAAAAAAGGCACAATACTCTAAAAAAAGTTGAGAGCCAAAGCTTTGGGGAGAACCCAAAGAGCTAAAAGAAGGGTCCGACCATCATTTGAACGTTTCTTCACATAACCCCTTGGGAAAAAAAAAAAAATAATCAAATTGGGGGCCCCAAAGAAAGGGGAAAATTTTGGGGGGGCGTGGTTTTTGGGAGATAGTGATTCACGAAAGATGAGGGGGCGGCCCCCCCAACCCAATAGTTGATAATTTATAAAGCCTCATAACCGATAATGGAAAAAAATAGGAAAAGAATTGAATCACTTTTAAAAATTTTGCTTTTGAAAGAATGAAAACTGAAAATGCAATGTAAAATGGAAAAGATTTTCGACTGAAAAAAATGACAAGGGAAAAATTTGAATAAACAAGAAAATATTGGTAAAAAAGTGTAGAGATGGAAAGAATCCTGAGGAAAAAAATAATAAAACCATTGAAAAGAAAGGGGGAAATCCTATTTGACGAGAATCACTTGTTGATTGCCAAAAAAAAAGGAGGAAAGTTTTTTTCATTTTCCCTTCATTCTTCAAAACTTTCTAATCTCATCGAATTTTATTTCTTTTACAAAAGGAAATTGATAGAAATTGATACAAAAAGGAAATTGATAGAAATATTTGATATTTGATTTTTTTAAAAGAAAAATAGTAAAGTTTTATTGTGAAAAAGTCGAGGAGGAGTTTAAAATTGTCAAATCCAAATTGTCCAATCCATTTGATCATTCAAAATTCTTCAAAATCAAAGCTCACCAGTTCCCAAATCCACAATTTTTTTGGTGTACCATAGCTGGATTAAAGGCTTTGCTCTGTTCTGCTCTGTCTTAATCTGACCAAACCAAAACTTTACATCTAGAACTAGAAATCTTGACCTTGGCCTGGCTTGTAGCTTTAATTCGTTTGACTTTACTGTCCCGGAAGACAGAAGATCGGAAGACATTTTTTCCAAAACCGAAGCGGCCATCCCGTTTTTCGATTCATTGGCCATTTGCAAAGCATTTGCATTTTTGCATTATAATCATCTTTTTGCAGTTGCATGAAAAAATGGAAGCTCAAGCTTATCCTAAAAGAAGCCAGGTTGAAAGCATAGATGTACAATAGCTGGATTGTTCTGTTCTGCTCTGTCTTAATCTGACCGAACTTGATCTGATCGTAAAGTCTGTTCCTGAGTTGCACTATCTCAAAAAGTACTGCCTTACGCCAGGTACTTTTTGGTTGTCAAGGGTTGTCAAGGGATCTAGTCAAGGGAGCTAGTCTAGTCCTGGTCTAGTCTAGTCCTGGTCTAGTCTAGTCCTGGTCTAGTCTAGTCCTGGTCTAGTCTAGTCCTGGTCTAGTCTAGTCCTGGTCTAGTCTAGTCCTGGTCTAGTCTAGTCCTGGTCTAGTCTAGTCCTGGTCTAGTCTAGTCCTGGTCTAGTCTAGTCCTGGTCTAGTCTAGTCCTGGTCTAGTCTAGTCCAACTAGGCTGGCAATAGTCAGGCTAAAGTGAGCCGAAGAAGCAAAGATTATTGCCAGAGTTTAAAATTGTCAAATCCAAATTGTCCAATCCATTTGATCATTCAAAATTCTTCAAAATCAAGCTCACCAAA